AATCGCCTGCCGAGGCTACACTACACGCAAAGAAAGAAAACGCCGAAGGGGCAGGGCAAAGTCAAGCCTTTCGCGAACATGGGGAGGGCGAAGCCCCCCGGCAGCGCAAGCTTGCGCGCGCTGCAAAAATTAAAAGAGTTACTCTTTTCATTTTTTCAAATATTCATCACCTAAAATCTCGGGCGGTGCTCGACTCAAATCTCTTGGGGAGTAGTAATTATTGCAATCATGCATTACAAATTTTTAATTTCATCTCAAGGTAAATCCGCACTACAAATTTTATTTCTCATGCTGAGAATTTGTAATCCATGTATACGAGTACGATGCTTTTGCAGTGCATAATCCGGAGGTGCCAGGGAATTTCCCACCAGGATTCCACGTACCCGTAACTATCAAATGCAAATTAATATGTCTGGGTCTGGAAACTTGTAATGGTGCGTTGGGAATAGTGAATGCTCTGTAATGCACAGGCAAGCATGAGAAATATCTGCGCTTATTTGTGTTGCGTTTTTCGCATGTACAAACTGGGTTTTTGCATGACAGGCAACAGGGTCTTATCTTGGACACGCATCACAAACTTTTTGGTCATGCCAGACAAGCATGGCAAATCTCGCAATCTTCCAGACCCAGACATTTTTGCATTTGATAGTAGCAGCCACAGAACAAACCGAGACAGAGACGCGTGCAACGAGACCTTTTCCGCATACGCATTTTCGACGCTGTGCTGTGAGAATAGTACCCCGTGTTCTGCAGAACTTGCTTCAGATGCCGGATTTTCTCTTCCGGCGAAAGTTTCTTGTACTCTGCGAAATTTCTCACCGACATCAGGCGTGCTGTGGCACGCTCGTCGGCAAGCACTGCTTCCTGCGCGTCCTGCTGAGTCTGTTGCTGTTCCTTCTTCTTCAATCGGTTCGACTTCCGCTTCGCCGCCTTCTCTGCGGCCTTCTGCACATTGGATTTCGGTGTCCGCCGGATGTTCGCACTGACTTTGTCGTCCACTCTCGCCGCGGCTTTCGCAAATTTGGACGAGATCGCAATTTCCGCGTCGGCTTCTGGCGGGAGCTGCAAGCCGGACTCGGAAAGAGAGTCGCTTGACACACGCGATACGGTGTTGAAGCTACAGGAAGAGGAGGCCGCTACCAAAGAGCAGTTACGGCGGCCGTCCACCTGCGAGGTGGACGAACTACTTGCTGATGCTGAGCCCCCACCTCGGAGGATCGATTTCTTTTGCTTGTTTTTTCCTGGTGCTTTTTGTGCTGCAGCCGCTCCTTCATCTCTAGATCCTGTCCCCCGTCTGTCTTTGTACAGGGCCTGCCACATGAAGAACCTGCGGGCCCAGTCCCGAAACTCCGAGATGTCGTCCGGTGCGGCCAGATCTGCCTCGCCCCAGTAACAAAGATACTTCGAGAGGTAGTAGCAGGCGAGGGGAAGCAGATACATCTGATTCAGTCTGCTCTCATCGGGGATCAACGGCCGAAGTGGTCGGCTTTGACGATGTTCTTCTTGCCCTCGTCCCTGCTGCTGGTCGGAGTTGTTCTTGTGCCATGCTGAGTGCAAAACGTCGGTGAATCTGCCGACCCATTTCGGCGACGGGTAGAGACACAGAACCTTCACAGACGCACTGAACGCGTTCAGACTCACGTGAATAGCCTCTTGATTGTCCATAGGGTGCTCGAGAATGTGGTCCTCCTGGCCACTAGTATTCCGGACTGGGACTATAAGCACGTCGCCGTCTTGCACCTGCCCTTTCCCACCTCCACTGGAGCAACCACAAGCGTTGCTACTCGAGCTAGCCGTCGGCGCTACTTTCTGGTTCGTACGACCGGCATCAGAATTACTTGTCCTCTCAGCAGTTCTCCGTGCTTCAGCTCGGTTCCTAGCATCGCTCGCGCGTGCACGATACATAGCCGCGAAATCCTTGGCATCTTTGAGGAGTTCTGCGGCAGAAAGGTCAACGCACTCGCTTGTTCTTTGCTGCGAACTCTCTTTTCCACTCCTGCTCCGGTGCGCAGCTGTCGTGTAGTGCTCACTAGGAGCATTCTCCTCCCCATCAGTTTCGTCATTTCTTGCGGCTGTTGGCGTAGCTCCGGCAGCCGCACTATTGTACGAATCTCGTCTGTTATTTCTTCCGCGAGAAGTCGAGCGCCTACGCGTTCTGCTACTGGCGCGACTCCTGCGTGGGCCACGATCCTCGGCGGCGCAGTCGTGATCGCTCACGAGGTCCAGATGCGCCATTTCCTGCAAAACTTTTTCGAAGTCTTCTTCGTCATCGCACTGCCGCCCTTTGGACGTCCCAGATGTCCCCAAGTCTGGATTCGGATCCCTCCCGCGGCTGTTCGCGCGCCGGGGTCCGCGCGAATTCGTCCTACGGGAACGAGAAGTTGTACTAGAGGCATTGTTCGACGACGTCGACGTCCCAATGGCTCCTGCTGCGCCGCCACCGCTTGATGCCGGTGTGCAGCCTGCATCCCCTTTACTGCCGTGGAAGGTGCGGCAAGGCTCTCTTTCAGCATCTTCCGGTTCATCAGCTTGATTTGTCCCTCCTGTTGACGTCGCGCCACCACTACCAAATATAGCCGCCGGGGCGGAGGTAGTGAGGTCGGTGGCGTTTTCTTGCCGACCGTTGCCCTTGTCACGGCTTTGCTTTTTCTGGGCCCGCCGTGCCGCCGTGGGTAAGGTTATGCCGCACGGCATGGCGGCCGGTTGAAAAAAATGGCAGATTTTTGGCAAATTCCCCAAATTCCTGTCCGGAAACCAGCCCCGACGCTATGGGGCCGATCCGGGTGCCACGGGGGGCGCCCAAAAACCGAAGAAAAATCGGGCCCATACCATGCGGATTGGCTTCGCGCGCCTCGCGCGCTTTTTCTTTTTTGCGTTTTTATTTTTCGCGCCGGCGCTTTTTGCGAAGCTTCCCAGGCTCTGAAACCAGCGAAAAGGCCACCGCTTTCGCGGCCGCCCAAAATGCTCCGAGATCGCGGCCGTGCCATGCGGCTTCGCTGTTCTGATTTTTGGCGCGTTTTTTTCGGGCGCCCTTTTGGGCACCCCAAATCGCCAGAAACTACGGCGGTGGGCGCCTCAGAAGGGCGCCCCTTTTGCCGGCGCCCCTGCGTCGTTTTATCAAGCGGCGACCGATAGTTTCCGCAGGCGATTCGTTGCCAACAAAGCCAAACAGGCTTGCACGCTGGGAGATTTTTCATGCAAAAAAACTCTCTGTAGGCTTCAAAACTGCCGGTCGTTTTTGCCGGGACATGGCAAGAAAACTGCCCGGTTAGAACCGTTCGGTGACCTCACTACATACGAAGAAACTTCTTCGGCGCCGGAGTCGGAGCACGCGACCGCGCCGCACCTGCTGGTCTTGGAACTTGGGCCACTTGCTTGGTTGGACTATCTTTATTCTTTATCTCTTTGTGCTTTTCTTTTTTCGGCTTTGATGGGACGTGATCGGATCTCTCAGCCGTAGTTTTCCTCCGAGGTCTGATCGGAAGCTGTGCGGGGTCGCTCGCAGAAACACCGATATTCGACTCGTGATTGGGGTGGTTTTCTCCACCAGTTCCGGCTCCATCTCTACACCTTGTCAGCAGAGGCGCTTGTAGTAGCTCCGAAGCACAAGACCCATCAAAAACCTCTCTCGCAGCGGACGATTTTTCCACATACGGGGGCCGCGGTGGCGGACCAACATCTGTAGAAGTTGCGTCGGGTGATGTCGTAGCCAGATAGCTCCCTCTGTCATCGAAAGCCGAGCTGTATGAACACGAGCGCTGCGCCGCTGGTTCGCTGCTGTAGTTGCCAGGCGTCGGAGGTGTCGCTGACAACTGTTCTACCGGTGTCAACAAGTCACACGAAGTTCTTGGCAACACGACCGGTGAAGAACTTCTATGCGCCGGCTCGAACCGCTCCTCGATATTACCTCCTTCGTCTTTCGCAAGATTTTCATCTTCTGTGTCGCTGCACGAGGACGAAGAATCTTCATCTGAATTAGATGCAGACGAGGAACTGCTGGTGGTCTCATCATCGTCTTCTCCCGGCGACGTGCTATCTTCCGCCTCGTACTCATAGATTTGTTCCACGAGCGCCTCAAGGAACCGCACCTGCTTCAGCAAGTTCGCCGTATTTTGATCATCCTTTGTAGTTCCCGCGCCGCTTCCGTCCTTCGGGCACGACGAGCCATCTGCTCTTTCATGAAAAGAATCACCTTCTGTCGCTGCGCCTGGGGCTGGTGAATCTTTGTCACCAGATGAATGATTGGAGGCCGATGTTGGCGATGGTACTGCGCTGCCTGTTTTTGGAAGTCGTGGCCGGCGCCAGAAAGCCGCCCAGGTTGTGCCACGGGAGGACGATTCCGAAACCGCTTGTTGCGCGGCTGATGCTGGTGCGCTTGCGGTTGCAATTTCGGCGAATTCTGTTGTAAATGCAAGTGCTAAAAAAACGAGTACCGGGTATAGAAATCGAGAAAGTGTAGTAAACGAAGTATGGAGTCGTGATTGACCCGGCGGCGTTTTGTGGCTCACAACTGCCATCCGCTGGTTGGCGCTTATGACCAACATGTTCTTTGCAGATCATTCAAGATAGATGTTTACATGCGAGTAGTTCACCAACGAGTAGAGCGACGTGAAATCTAACTCAAGAAAAAATGCAACTTCCTGGCAATAACGTGAATCACAAACCACGATTGATAGATAGTCTGGTACTTATGACCGTCTGCACACAACCTGTACTGGGATTGGTTTTTCAACTTGTTCTCGATTTCTGACGTTCGGCATCGGCCCCCGTCCTGGATAAGTATCTTTTACTATGGCAGGGAGGGGGGGATGCACGAAAGAGTTTTGCAGCGACTGCCACGACAGTTGTCTCTAGAAGTACGTGGCTTTAATATTTTTCACCACTGCTATTCACTGTGCAGCTCAACATCATGATCAACTTGACGCAACCAAGGCCTGCTCGCCGCGCCTGCTCGCTGCTGCTCAATTGAAGGAAACAACAAGAATCTTCGTATGAATAAGTAAGTCTGTGACTGCAGTTGCGAAAACCGGGGGCTCAGATAGGATCATACTACACACGAGCGGGTGAACGAGTGACAACGATATCGGGTGGTCATACAGATGTGATCATTGTCGTCGTGTGTACGTCATCTAATGATTGAGCAAGAGCAAAAAGGCCTGTATGTAGTGATCCTATCTCGTTCTCGGTGGAGTTAGTAGCGTCAGGGAAAGTCCTGAAGATCCTCTCCGGAGGACACTGCAGCAAGAGACGACAAAATCGTGTTGCACCCGAACAGGTATGATTCCGATTTAGACGAGAGCCCACCGCGCAGCTAATACGGCAAGCGCCGGCCGAGCAACGAGGCGGAAATAATCATCCACCCACCTTAGGATTTATGTCTACAGATGTTGTTGTACCCGCGCAGGGGTATTACTTCTAAACAACAGCACATAACAACAAAGTAATGCACAGCTTGCTACATCTACAAACCTTCATAACCGTAATCCGGCTGAAGCTTTGCAACTTTCTTTGTCTTTGGGTTTCGCGGACCTCCAATCTGAAAGTGAGGCGACCCAGATCGAACCGCCACACGATCTAATTTACAAATACTTACCTGCACATATCCAAAACTGTAGAAATACAACATAGTTAATTTACGAAATCGTAATTATCGAAAAAAGATTGTATGGTAGACGAGATTGATGTCAATTGCGTCGCCTCACGACAAGACCATAGGCATGACCACCATCTTCAAGACAATAAATGGCATGATGGTATGAATTTCTCCTGCTATCAACGCCTATGTGAGGATAATATCGGCAGGAGTGGTAGTGGAGAAATGAAGAAATGGAGAGATGATTATAGAAAGTGAAAGGATGCTTGCTCCCTCCACTTCCACCTCAGGCTTTTCAGTCTGAAAAACGGCTTTCGTGTTTTATATATGTTTTCTGTACGTAGTTTTTCATTTTCTGTGATTTGGTAGTATTGGTGAACAAGACGTCAGGGTCGAACTCGTGAGGGAGAAGTATCATCAATCAAGGTATTTACTCCAGTGGTGCCAGAAGTTGTAATCGTACAGAGACATTATCAACAAACCAAGTTGAAAAAGCAAATGCAGCTCAAGCCATAGATATAAAACGCGGTAGGAATAATGCAAAAAAGACATAGTGGCACATTTTTCCGCGCTAGTGAGTACAGTACTGATAAATATGGCACAATTTTGTGCGTAGTTAGTTGTAGTTTAAGTTTTGTCATCATGAAAAAAAAGTAACAGTCTACCTTGTAAGCTCAAGAGATCTTATTTTTATTGTTTATGCCCATGACAACTTAGACGTAGCCACGCATAGCAAGCAAGAAAAACAGTTCTTGTTGATCATATGAACGTGTATGAATATTCGGTACTCGTACTCCGATCAGAAATCATGAAGCCAGAACGAACTGGATTTGTCGAGCCCTTTTGCTCAAACTTTTCCAAAAAAAGAAACTATCTCTAAAAAGCGTAGAAAGACACTGGTGAAAATCAGCCTCGCCACTGCCAAATTTGTGGCAGTTGGAAACAAGAAATGCAAGGCTACGTTTAAGTGTATCAACTGAGCAGCCTGCCAGGGGCTGCGGCTTTTCTTGCAGACGCCTTTATTTTATTGAGTTTCAGGTGGCGGTGCGCATGGCCGCCACGGCCCTCCTACTTCCTGATGCAGTTGCTGGCTCGGCTGAGCAGGTTCAGCTTCATCAGATTCAATTGCAGCAGCATGATGATGATTCGTCCTTGACGCTGCGGCACCAGGCTGGGATAAATGCGTCGGTGGAGATGGCCCTGCATTTTCATTCCACATCCACGTGTAGTCTGCATGTTCGTGCGCTGCTTCAGGAGGCACTAAGTCCTCAGGCCAGGGACCATTTGGGCTTATACTTTCATGAAGACTTTTACTGCCCGTCGGTGGCGGTGGCGGCGTCGGTACGCTGGCTGCTACAGTGGTACTACTGACATCCTCCGGAAAAACCAACACTTTTTGGTCGATGGGCAGTGGGCGGGTGCGGGGACGCCCATTCGCTCCCATCTGCCGCGGAGACTCGGGGCACCGGAACTTGGGCATCGAAGGCGCGAATTTAGAGCTTGGTGAGGAGGTGGGGGACGACGACCCAGTAGCTGGCACAGCCATGCTAGGTGAAGTTTTTTCCCCACCAACAGCTCTACTAGGTGACAATGGGGCCGAAACATCAGGAAGAGGATGCTGACGGTTCGTCGCACCTTCAAAAGGTCGTGAGTTCTCTTGTTTCTCCGGAAGATCCTGTTGCTCCAACTTTGTGATGTCCTGCTCTTGCGCAACCGCAGTTCCGCTCCCAGACTCATCTCCCTCTCGTCCTTGATTTTCAAGTAAACCGGCATTGGCCGCGCCCGAAGATGCAATCACCTTAAAAATTCCGCTGGCGGAGGGCCGCATATAGGGCCTGCTCCTGGTCCCCGCACTGGACGGGGTCGAACCCGCAGTAGATATGAGCTGCTGCTCCATCTCCTTGATTGTAGTGGCCAGTTCGAGGGGATTCAAATTTTCAGCACGCGGATCGATCTGCGACGACGTGCTGTCGTCTCCACTGGAGCTGCCTGTAGTTGTGCCGATCAGTGTGCTGGACGCAGTCCGCGTACTACCGTCGGGAGGTGGAGGGGCAGCTGGTTGCACGAAGGCTGCATCGGCGGCTTCGGCTGCTATTGCTTCTAACGGTTGTACCACTTCGTACGGGGGCGCGGGGACTGGTCCCGACACTGCAGCAGGCGCCTTCGCGTCCGCCAGATCGGGATCTACAGCACCGGTGTTCATCCCGGTATTTATCGTTCCATCGCGCTGCATGCGCAGCATCATCAAATCGCGGGCCGTCGAACTACCAGCCGCACTTCCTGTTCCTCGCGGAGTCGCTGTTCTCCTTGGCCGGGGCTGATACTCCGGCAAGTCCTTGCTGGGGCTTGTGCTGTCCGCGGTCGCAACACTGGCGGGGTTCAATTGCTGTCGAAATCCCATCGACGGGTGCGTTGCACGCATCGAGATGGTCCTCATTGTTTCTCCCGTAGGCGGGTCAGGTGCTAAATCATCTCTTTTTGATGTAATTCCACCGGCGTGGAATCCCTGTCCAGCGGCTTGGTTGCAGTTGCTCCGTGTTTTACTTGCGGCCCGTGAGCAAGTAAACTGGTTCGTGGTGCCGGTTGTCCAACTCGGCCCCAAGTCGACTTTAGTCGGTCGTGCACCAGCTGCTGCTGCTGCACAACTATTTGCAGCCGGACTTTTTGGCTTGCAGTCGTACGACGAAGAAAAGCGCGAGCTACGCGCAGAGGGTGGACCACTTGAGAATTGTTCTTGGCCGCCTGTCTTAGTCGTTGTACCTGGTTGCGGTGAACGCACCAGAATCTCGCCTTCCGGTCGTGGTGCATTTCTGGAACCGTCAGGGTCAGTCTCTCCCCCGGCAAGCACAGAAGTTCCTTCACGCAACTTGTCTTCAGAAGTGTCCTGTTCTCCTTTAAGCCGTTTCTTCTCTTTCTTCTCTAACCGCCTCTGCTCCTTCTTCAGCTTTTTTTCCTTCTTGTCTTTTTTGCGAAGTTCTTTGTCGTGATCCTTTATTTCCCTGCTCCTGGCCTGAAGATCTTCTTCGTGGTGCGGAGCGGCAGGCTCGCTGGTGCCGTGGTAGGTGGAGGTGGACCCTGTGTCAGCGACAAGATTTTTCCCTTGCTGAAGATGATGATCTTGCAACAGGTGCTGCTGCTGCTCAATAAATATCCTGTGCAAACAAGTATCGCACTGGTGTAGTGGTCTCAGCATGAGAAATAAACTTTGATGTAATGCGCATTGGCATTTATAGCTCACGATGAGAATTTGTCGTGCATGATTGCGAAGATTACCGTCAGCACTACATAGCTACGATACTTTTGCAATGCATAATGAACGCGTTTGCCTTCTTGCTGTCAACCAATTCGTTTATGATCAACCCGATAGGCTTCGCGTCGGGGTGCTGAAGATTACTGCTCGTAGTCGTATGCCTTGTAGGATCATGTTGAACAACCGACTTACCGGAGAGAGAAAGAGATGCAGATGCAGTATTTATAATTGCGGACGATGATCCTGATGCTGACATAACTGTGCCAGACTGGTCTTCGTCACCAGCATCTACTCCTCCATTGTTCCCAGCAAACGCCTCTAAATCTTGTTGTTGATCCCCTTCTTCAGAAGAACTGTGCTCGGGATTATTATGGCCGCCCTGATGAAGGAAACTAGTGATGTCCTCTGTAATGGTCTGCGTCCCGGCTCTCGTCGCGGCTGTGACTAGTGCTGTGGTCCTCGTGTTGGACGCTTGATGTTGTACTGGAACTCCAATTCCTATTCCTGATCCTGGTACGCCGACCGTGGCAGATGGAGAAGACGATAACGATCCCACGTCAGCACCAGTTTGAAACATCTTTCCACTCTGCCCCTGCGTAGAGTGGAATTTCGAGGAGCTCGACTTGGAAGCAGTTCTACTTCTTGCGCCTGAACCCGCCCCCGCCCCTGTGCCAGTCCTCACGTCGTGGTCGTTTGAACTTCCACTGGTACCAGCACTCGTGCGCCGTTTCCCCGCACGCACTGCAGTCAAGGGTGACCCAACGCCGATGCCTCCGTATGCGGCGGTCGGGACTTGCATCATCAGCTCATCGATGCTCTTCCTGGCCGCGGCGGCCTGCTGGTGCTGCTCGTTGTCTTCTGCGGTCGGGGGCGATGACGACGGGTGGGAATAAAGAACTGCACCATGATGATGATGTGAAGCAGCACTACCGATTCCATACAAACTGCGCTTGTCATTTTGCGTGAACTGCCGCGGTCGCTGCGAGTTGTCACTTCCATCGTTTGTCGTGTGACAACTACTTCCGGAAGTTGTAAATTTTTCGGTCACGACTTGATGATGTTCTTGTCCCGGAGTACTACCATCATGATGATGATCAAACATACCAGTAATTCGCATTTGCAACGCAAGATCAGCCACAACATCCTCCGACTCCGCTCGGTCCTCAACCTCGACCGACGCGCCGGTAGGGGAGGCATCCATGCTCATGCGCGGCGCTCCGCCTGGTGCGCCTCCTGCTGTTAGGGGTCGTCTACTTTTGGAAGTAGGAGGTCCTACTCCCGAAGAGTTGCTTTCATTGGCTCGTCCAGTTGTCTGCAGTGTATTGTAAAAGTGATCAACAGCATGATGTTCTTGCACAATTCGCGGCCCTTGCTGTCGTTCTTCTGCGCCTAACCCGCTAGAGCTGGCTTGCCCCGGAGTGTACGCCCAAACCGGTGCAGCTGCAGGAGGTTCTACTCGCTCTGCGTGACCTGGCTGGCGCGAAGGTTCTTCACGTGCACGACCAGCACCACCAAGGGGCCGATCTACAACTACTTCTGCACCAGGTGGATGATCCTTTTCAACAAAAGTTTCGGCAGCACCAGCGCCAACAGAATTACTCCCTTGACCTTGAGGTCGCGGTCCGTGCGTCTCATCTGGTCCTCGTGCTTCCGCAGCGCCACTCTTGGGTGAAGTTGCAGGGGTTTGGTACGCCGTGCGACGATGCGTCTTTTTTGCCGAGGGAGGTCTTACGCCACTTTTCGACCCTTGTCTTTGCTCTCGTTCTCTTTTGTGCTGGTGCTGGGATCCAGCATCTGGTGGACAACTGCTGCTCACCGTCGGTGTTGGTGCTTTATTTTTCTCATCCTCCTGCTGCCTCTTGTTCTGCTCGGTGGGCGACGCCGCGCGACCCGCGGCTCCAGGTGCTTTTTCTCGCATCTTGATGTAGTTGCGGTCATTCACATTTTCCGCTGCGAGTGCTGCGACCCCCTGGCGGTGGTGCCTACTATTCCCCACGACAAGTAGCGTCTCCAGGTGCTGGGCCAATTGGTGCATTTTCGCGGCACTATCCTCAAATGTTGCATCGTCTTTATTTTCATCTTCGGCCCCACTTTCGTCCATTTGTATTTCCACATCCACATCCACCGGTGTATGGCGTTCTCAAATGGTACATTCTGAAGTGTTACATGATTTGTCATGCAAAATCACAATCAGAATTGACACGATCGAGCTGCTTCGCATGACAAATTCTCGAAGAGCCAAACAGGCTGAGAATCTTTGCCAGATCTGTCATGCAAGACGCGCAAGGTGACCCCTTTCACTTTTGCCATTCTTGCATCACAAATCCATGTAACAGTTGAGAATGTAACAGTTGAGAACGCCATACGGTGACGATCCGCCGGCGTCCTCTTGCGCTTCCGCCGCCGTGGTCGCGGAGATTTGCTGTTTCTCCTGTCGGCAGGATAGAGAATCTGCGGCGGACTTGAAAGACGTGTGACTGTGCTGGCGAGGATCCGGATCCGCTGCACAAGAACTTTCGGCTTGTTGGTTTTCCTGTAGTTGGGGCACCAATAACACTCCGTCCACAACAACCGGTGGTTGGAGCAAAATTTGACTGTTGTAGGTTGTGTCGTACAACTTTTCCGGATGATGGTGAAGATGCTCATGATGTTGAAAGTTCGTACCTCCCCCAGCACCACCAGCACCAGCAAAGTAACCACCGCCGTCAAAAATGCAGCTGGACGCCGCCGACGAGCCAACCGAGGGTCGGTTCACGACCGGCGTGGGCGCGCAACTGGCAGAACAAGAGGGCAGCCCGACAGACAAGGAGCCCGCAGCCGAACTACAAGCTCGTGAGTAGACATCAACGCCAACTGCCGCAGCGCCGAGGTTGAACGAGGGCGGCGCCCTTCCGGAAGTCGACCCCGCGCGCGGCGTCATCGCCATGCTGCTGTTGTCAAGCGAACCAGAGCGAGAACAGGAGGAGGACAACGGTGTGTGGACGATTTTTGGCTCGTGAGGACACGGACCGAGATTCGGGGTGTCCATCGTGGTGTCGGTGTGACCACTTGAGCACAGACTCGTCAAGTCGATATTATTCTTAGTTAATGTCCCGGTCGTCGTTGACTGGTTGCTGGTGTTGCCTGCATTTGATGTTGATCTTCCGTCGATATCACCATTTCCGACTCGTCCTGCAATCACAGCTATTTTTTTCCGAGTCATCACAGTACTCGACTTTTCCGACTCCGTGTTCTGCACAAAACCTCCTGGAGTGGCGGTCTCTTCGCTGGTCTCGTCGCTGGTTGTTGCTGTTCCCCTTCCCGCCCGTGTGTAATGTAATGGGGTCGTGGTCTCAGAAGCTGTTGAGCCAAAAAATGAAAATCCACCGCCGGTCGACGAGCCATTGTCTGCAGTGCTTTGGCACGACGAGTCCTCGCAACACGAGTTCCCACTGCGGTCCGCATCTTGATCTTCCCCGTGCGTGTTTACGTAACTCAGCCGGTCCTCGGTGAGAACCTGGTATTGACGACGTTCAGAAACGATTGACGATGTCGTGTGATGTTGTCCAACGCCGGTTGTGCGAGAAACAAGCGGGTTATTCGTATTTCGTGCGCCGCTGCTCGATAATTCTACACGAGGACAACTGTCGTGTAGGTAATAGTCGTATGGATCCGTAGCTCTCGAATTATCTACAGGAAAGGGCGTTGGTGATTTCCAGCGATCGTGTTCTGGATTATGGTACATAACAACTGCATGATTAGGTGGTTCTCGCTCGAGACTTTTCTGTTCATGTTCTTGCCTTTCGTGGTTCCTGCGTTGGTTCATTCCCGATGCAGCAGCTACCGCTGTGGTCAACCCTGCTTGTTGCACTACAACGGCTTCGGCTTCTTTATCTTTGCTGCTGCCGCGACTGCTCTTTTTGCTCGATGATGTTTCTTTACTACCTTTAGACGACAGTTCGGGCGGCCCAGCATCTTCTTTTCCTTGTCGCCCCACCCTCCGCTTATTGTACTCGACCTGTTCGGCCGCCAACCCGCGCCCCCACTGCTGCAGCTCGGCTAATTTTAGAAGGTTTTCCGCGTCCGAAGGAGCGGAGAGGGAGAGATTGCTTTGGTCAGTGGTGTATGCATTGCAAAAGTATTTATATTTTTATCGATGTAGTTACGTACTATATCGATCATGAAGTCGCAATATAACTTTGAGTTTCTCAAATTGAAACAATGGTTCTTTATCTTTGTGCAATTCATTAAGTATGCTGGGTCATCGTCAGGTCGAAAATGAACAAGAGCTTGGTCATGCGTATACCCAGCACGACTGTAAGTGTGAACATTTGATATCTCTTTTTGGTACGCGTCCGACAGAAGAAAACTTTATTTTCAGGAACAATGCATATGGTGATGTTCGAATTGTTGCCCACAATCGACGACCCTTTGGAGGACGAGGAGCTGGGCGCGGGGCTGAATTGCAGGCTGGATTCTTCGGAGGACAGGTATTGTCTTGACATTGTCATTTCGGTTGAGGAGTACGTTAGAGGCGCATGGCTTTCCAGCTCGTGTGGGCCGCTCCGTTCGGCAACGAGGCCGAACGGGGTCACAGCCCCGACGGACGGGGGCGCCGCGGCGGTGCCGCTACCAAGGCCGCTCGTCCCCCGGGCGACCACACCGGGAAGGCGGATGGTGTTAGTATCTTCCGCCGGCGAGCAGCCACTCTGCTGACTGTTGCCGGAAGAGGTCGAGACCGTCGTACCGATGGAAGAGACCGGTCTCTCGCGGCGTTGCGGCGGTAGCTGCTCCGGAGGTGGCGGGGGGTGTTGGGGGGACGTAGAGGTTGGCCGGGCAGTCCCTATGCGCGGGGCTGCAGCAGCTTCAGCATTCCCCTGGTGCAGCTCCTGTGCTTGCGGTTGCGAGGATGTTGACCACGGTGGCGCTGTCCCTGCATCTGCCTGCTCCCCGGAAGTTGTGCTAGTAGTTCCCCCCACTCTTCGATTTGGCGGAGGTGCTACGACGGAAGGCAGGGACGTTTGTTCTGGGATTGACGCCCCCGCGGCTGTTGCACTGCTGGAGCCGGACGACAGCCCAGACGAAACCCCCGCTGCTGGTCCTCCTGAGACCGACGCTACAGCCCCCGCGTAAAAAGCACCTGGTGTCTCGCCCGTCTCTCCCATCGCCGTTGTGCCTGGATAATTGCCCGCAGCACTGGAATTAGATGTTGAAGCTGCAGCGGCACTGGTCAACATGGTGGGCTCCGCAGTTCGCAACCCGCCTGTCCATCCCCTGCGCCAGCCGGAGCTTGTGCCCCCGCGGTCTTGCTGCTGGGCGGCGGCGTCGTCATTTCCAGCGCCTCTAGAAGTACTAGACGGCTGCGGCCGTCGCCTCGGCGCGTTGGGGCGCCCGGGTGGCGCTTTTGCTCGCGCCAGCATATTTTCGATCGCAGGAGGCAGGTGGAGGTCGACAGTGTCCTCTGTGGTTGGCACCCTCGTTCTTGTGGTTCCTCCTACACCAGTAGGCCTCGACCTTCCGCGATTTTGGGCGGCGGTATGGGTCGTGCCAGTTCCTCGCCGCCCTAGTTCTGCTCCTGGTTGCGACGTTCCGTCGTCAATACTACGCTGGTCATCTTGTGATGGGCGTATAATCGGGCTCGGGGGCGCCGGGGCCAGAAGCGGAATTTGTTGACGTGCGTTTTGTGATGTTGATGCGGGATACGATGCAGAAGACGAGGTGGACGTCGCCCTAGCATTGGGTGCAGAAGTACTAGAACCGGGCGAAGATTCTGCCCGTGCGGTCAGCGGCCTCTGCGTCTGAAGCTGCTGTGCCTGCTGCGAAGTAGATGTTGATCCCCTATTCGGCGGCGGTCCTCTTGCACTAGCGGGAGTTGCAGCCGCTGCTCGGTCTGCTCGTGTTGCAGTCGCCTCTCCCCCTGCGGCAGCAGCAGCTCCTCCTACTACACCCCGCCGTCCTCGGCGGGCCAAAAGTTGGTTTTGCGCACTCGCTTCCGCTTGATCATTACTCTCGACTGCGGTAGTTGCTTGGTAGGCGTTCATGCCGCGTTCTGACGCTTCGCGCTGTACAACCTGCTGTTGTTGTTGACCACCGCTTCCTGCAGCACCACCTCCGAAAAACTGCCGTGCCCGAAACTGCGAAATATTGCGAATCACGGTTGTTTGCGGTGGCTGCTGCGTTTGCGGCGCGGGAAAAACGACGTGCTCCTCCACCGCATCTGGGTTTTGCAAAAGGTCGTTCTCTGTTATCCCTGGGTTCAAGGGAATCATCGCCCCGCGGCGATCCACATCGGGCCCGACCGCGGCGGAGCTGAAGGAATCATCCGGATTTATTTGCGCTTGTTGATAGTTGCGCGCTGCACCTGCACTTCGGACTGGCGGGGAATAAAACGTGCTGCAGCCGATGGCGACCAAGAGGAAACAAGTAAGAACCGGACGGAGGTGCATCATCAAGCCCGTTCGTTTCCTTGCTAGCATCTTCGTGAAGATGTCAGTAAGAAGCGTTTAGTCAGTGGAGGCGCTGCTGCAGCTTGTGGTCACATTTACGTTTTATTTTGCCTGTTAGCTACCGTAACCGCTTGTTATTTGCCGGTGCTGCTCGCAGATTTTCATCTTTTCGGAATGTCTTTGGATAAAAATTCCGTCGTCCTTCGTGATTCGTCCGGTCCGGCAAAATACGCGCCAAAGTAAGGCTGGTGGAGGAAGGTGGAATGTGATGGATATGACAATATCATATTGGGCGAGATGACTCAATAGCGCCTTAATAGCGTCGCAGTCAAGAATAACATTTTATAAAAAGATGATCAAGTACAAGTTTAGTTGAAAAAGTTAAAGTATAAGTGAGCTCTTGAGATAGAAGAAATTCAGTTCTTGTTCTTACAAAAAAAAGCGCGATGATCAATGCAAAAGTATACAGGTACTTATTAAAATGAGAAAGCTTTTGTTCTCGATCAAAATCAGTTTGATAAACACCTATTTCGACCTCCTACTAAATAGAAATATGGCATTTGGAAAATGTCGATGAATGTTGTCCGAGCCCGGTGCAATAAGAATAAAATGGTGTTTGAAAACGAAAAGCATGTGACTTCAAATTCAATTGAATACAATCCTCCAAAGAAACAATGCAAACCTGTCGGCGTGAAGACAAAAAAAAAGATGAAGCGATGAACAACACCAGGATGTGCTGCGTTTTGATGTTGGTGCCAGGGATCTTCGTGCCCTGTCGCAGTTTTCTTCAACAGCTGACTTCGGGTGCATTTCGACAACATCAACAAAAAATCCTTTTCGCGTTCGTATGATGCTGCAGACAAGCGACGCACCCACATGATGATTTACTTAGTATTGGCGCGAGTAGAAGTTCAGGAAGGAAACATGAGGATATCATGTGTACACAAAACCAAAAGTCAAAATTGTCTGTCGCTGATGCTCAGAAATATTTCAGAAAAATGCGTTTTGCTGTGTTCTCAAGTGGAAGTAAGTGAGAGCTCAGCGCAAATATGATCAACAAGTCAACAAGTACAAGTTGCACATATGTTCTTGCTTCGGTCAGAGTACATCATAACTTTTCTGTCGTCAGAAAACTAAAACTGATCTGTATTCTCGAAATGACCAAAAGGTACGAATAGAGTCAATCAATACGGGACCACGATATATAAGCCCGTTGTTTGTACTTCGTTCTATTGGCATGATACATTCATAAAACCAAAATCGAGCTCAGATTCACGGCACAGCAACTCGAAAACGAAAAATTGTCAGTAGCTGCGTTAGTAACATTGTGCGCCGTTAATATTTTTCAACGATTCAAAAAAACTCCGGCTGCCAGGGCATCCCGCTTTTTGCCACCAAAATTACGGGGTCGTCAAACATCCCCACTCGATCCGAAGCTCGCTCCGCGTCGGCAAAGAGCCGCACTTTGTCGCTGATTTCCGAATTCGGGTGCGCCTCCATGTCGTACTTCTCTTTTTTCATCAGCTTCAGAGCGTCCTTCACAGATCCCAACCCCGGCCGCTCCCGCGGGCCTGCTCCGTGACTGGAAAAGGGGTTTAGGACTAAACTTTCCGCTTTCACAGACATGGAAGGACTTTCGTTGAACTTCACATCATGCCAAGCAACGTCGAAGAACAGCTCCTTCTCATCCAGCAGAGCGCCGGTAATGGCATCTTCCTTGTTCTTCTCCATCACGCCGACGATCGTACCGAGTAAATTCCCCGGCTTCGCGCACGATTTGCTGTTGATCTCCGCGTTCTTCAGCGTGATCGTGCGAAATTCGTCGTCTTCCTCCTCGTCGACGTCGGAATATTTAGGTTGTTCTCGAACTTGTCCTTCGGGGGCGCCCGCTTTTTTCGTCGTATCAGAACCAATTCTAGTACTTCCTTGCATCGCTCTCTCCACCTCCTCCGCCGTCGACAGCAGCTCAATCTCGGGCTTCGCGACGGTCTCGCCATTTTTCCCCGCAACCATGTTCCAGCACAGTCTACCAATCCCGCGCACCTCGTCTCCCGCCCTTGCGTGCATGGCGACACGGATCAAAGCCGTGCGAAAACGAATCCAATACATCTCCTCCAGAGTCCAGAGCTGGTTGTATGTTTGGTTTTCTTTTGTAATCGTCGAGTTTTGCATTTGCACTGCTACACTTTATTGAAAAGGAAATTGCACGTCTCTCGCCCTATATCAAAGGCTAAAGCAAAAACACTATCACGCACACAATTATCACTTACCGTCTCGTACGCATCCGAGCGCCCAGTCGCTGTCGATTTCTTTTGTTCACCACGAGGACTTCTAGAACTGCTTCCAGCATCATTACTCCCCTGCGCTGCATTTCCGCTATTTCGTCCCTGCTCGTCTTTATTACCCTCCGCGTCAGAAGAAGTTGTAGATTGCAAAATCTCCATGATCTGAAATATCAAATGTAAAAATGTCTGGGTCTGGAAGATTGCAAGTTTAGTCATGCACATTTTGCATGACCCGTGATGTCTGTGATGTATGCACCAGCATCACAAATTTTTTGCGGGCATCTTGATGCCTATCCCGCATGAGAAATCCACTCTCCGCGGAGCAAAACCTGGACGCCTCTTGTTGCTCATGCAATACAGATTTTTTTGGATTCCAAAAATTGCATCACAAGTTGCATTCTTCCAGACCCAGACATTTTTACATTTGATATGAAAGGGCGGCAGCCAATAGTGCTCCATGTCATGCACCAGGTCGATGGCAACGTGGAGGAGCTCCCATAATGCGACGGGAGAAACCGGAAAAGTGATGGTCGATAGCAAGTTCACCAGCGCCTGGTTGATGTGACGCGGCAAGCAACTGTCCTTCAGTCGGAACTCAGGAAGTAGAAGATCCTTGGACGAAGAGGTTTTTCGTCCAGTACCGGTGCGACGTTCTTTCGTTGTCCACCCCGCAGCTGCCATCCTCCTCGCTGCGTCGTGAATCTTGTTCAGATTCTTTGTCCGAACCACGGTGTCAGCACACCGGGCATCTATCCTGTCTAAAAACGTCCCCACCTCCCCAGCGTTGTCATGCAGATGCGCAATGACAGGAACGTTTGTAATGCGCAGCTCCATGACGAGAGGCATTTCCAGTCGTGTTTTGGAATTTGTAATGCTGTAAACAGGATGAGGAAATGGCTTTCGCATGCAGCTTCCCTTGCTAACCTCCAGCACTACAACGCAGAGGCAGAGGACTTGTCATGCGCAACTCCCAAAACTTGGAGATTTGTCTAGCAGATTTCCCATCTTGACTTCTATGGGGTGGGAACGTTTTTCCTCAGGATAGCATCGACCAAGTAGTCTTTGAAGATCCTGCGGATGTCCACGGAGAAGTGCGGGATGATGGGGAGGTATGACAGTGCACAACTCCGCCTCCCCCTCATTTGTCATGCAAAATCCCAAATCTACCTTCTGCCTGTTAGCACTCTTTGCATGACAGATTCCGAAAGCCAAAACAGCACTACAATCACCCAGGAACAATTTGTTATGCAAAAGCAGCATCTTTGCCAGCGCTTGCGTTGCTGTTCATGCAACACAAATGAGGGGGAGGGGGAGTTGTGCACTCTCATAGGAGGATCATATTCTGGAACAGAAAGTTCGCCTTTCGCGTGCTCCGGTACCAGAAGTCCATGTCTGCACCTCTAGCCGTTTTCGGAGGATTCTCGCTCGCTACGGCGAGGTTTTCCAACTCCCAGCCCTCGGCGGATGTAGTTGTTCTTCGGTTATTTTTAACAGTTTTGCTTGATGTCTTAGTCTTTGCGTTTGCCTGCTGTTGGCTGTTTGAATCAGAATCGCTATGATCTTCGCCATTGGACGTTTTCTCCTCGTCGTGTGCTTCGTCGTGCTGCTGAACCCCCTTGTTCGTCGCCGCCTTAGTTGCACTCTTTCTCGCCCGACCCGGTTTGATGTTGAAGGGCCCGGCGGGGAAGGTTTGCAACCCACAATCCCGCATGACGTCGTAGAAAAAGTTCGCGTAGTGCACAATCCGCGTGCCGGTCTGCAACAAGAACCCGAATTCGTATGGCGCGATTTGCAACACCAGCCGGCCCTTGCTGTAAAAGTCGGAGATGTCCGGGCCGGGGACCGGCTCCGTTCCCGTTTTCGCCGTTGCCGTGAAGAAAGTCGGCCGCGACATGTGGGAGCGACTGTCCTGGGCCTGTCGGGAGTAGGGCCAGTCCTTCCCGCCGGGCCAGTGTGCGACGGGCCTTCGGAGTCGCGCTTTCGCGGTTTCATCATCCCCGCGGCCGTCGAGACGCTGCTTCACCCGGTTTATGTTGCTCGTTGCGGTGTGCCTTGCGGCAGCGTTGGCGGTGAGGGAAGTCGGGACTTCGTGTCTATAATTTGAAGTGGATTTTTTATTTGCAGCAGGTCCGGGGGCACCACCAGCAGTGTTCTTCTTTCCCGTTATTCCTTCCGTCTGCACAATGTAATCGAACATGATCACGCGCATTACCTGCTGAAAGTCCCATATGGATGTGTCAGAGTTGAAATCGACAAAGTTGAAAAACTTGCAATGCATAAAATCGATACCAGTTGGAAGCCCAATTTCTTAGCGGCGCATGACAAATTTCAGTAGAGCCGAAATCCAGTTTGTAATGCTGTTTGGGTAAGGAAGACGCCTTTTGTCATGCTACTTTAGGAGCTCTATTTCTACCCCGAAACAGGCTTACAATCTGCCTCCCTTGCCTACTCTGCAAGACAGGCATTTTCGCGTTGCATTTTATGCATGACAAACTATTTCAACTCTGACGATTTCAATCCTGACAGTTCCATATCCCACCAGAAGTCCACCGTCGTCTGCATGTCTTGCGCACTGGAACTTCGCACGGTCGGCACTTTGTCCAAACCCGAAACCGTTCGCCACGATGCCAGACTGGCGCGGATCTCCCACGCGGAACCGACCGTATAGACGTGTCAGGATTGAAATCGACAAAGTGAGAGTTGAAATAATTTCTCATGCATAAATTGCAAGGCATGAAGTGCCTCTCTTGCAGGGATGGCAAGTGAGGCAGACTGTCAGCCGGCTCGGGGTCTGCAATAGAGCTGCTAAAGTAGCACGACAAAAGACACCTCTTGTCCCCAAACAGCATGACAAATTGGATTTCGGTTCTAGCCAAATTTGTCATGCGCCACTTGGAAACTGGGTACAACTTAACTTATTTCATCCATTTTATGCGTTACAAGTTATTTCAACTTTGTCGATTTCAATCCTGACACCCCCATAGACCGGCTCGACTTGGTATTCCTGCTCTATGGCGCTCTCAACTGTTACATTCTCAACTGTTACATGATTTGTCATGCTTAACAGACTGCGCGACTAAAGCCCATCATGCATTTGTCATGCGGAATTACCTTGACTATCAACGCCATCAAGCTGCTTCGCATGACAAATTCTCAGACGGCCAAACAGGCTGAGAATCTGCGCCAAATCTGTCATGCAAGACGCGCAAGGTCCTTCCTTTCACTTTTGCCATTTTTGCATCACAAATTCATGTAACAGTTGAGAATGTAACGTTTGAGAACGCCATATGCTCAAAAATGTTCAAGATCGTGTTGGTGTCCACGGTATGCATTGCAAAAGTATCGTAGTACTAGTAGAAATCGCATGAGAAATGTCCTGAGCATGAGAAATGGAATTTCTCATGCTGATTCACCTTGCGAAAGAGATTTGTAAATGCAAGACTGCGATTACTACGAGTACGATACTTTTGCACAGCATACACGGTGTCCACCTGCCGCACCATCGCAGACCAAATCAGCTGCGCGCCGCCGAGCTGGGGGAGGGGGCTTCTTTCGTCATAGTGAAAAGTAGCCTGTTGGGCGGGCTGCTGCTGCTGTTCCTGCTGGTTTAATATTTGTCTTCTTTCTGCATCTGCTCCAGCGTTGTCGTACTGCGAGAGTGCAGCTTCCTGTTTCAAACGGGCTAAACCCTCGGCGGAAGAGATCATTATCGACGATTCTCCTCCCGCGGAAGCAGCAGACCACGAGGACGCTGAGGGGAGAACACCACCAGGGCCGCGACCATGAGCGTGGTCACTGCCTTGTCTAGTACCCTTTATCCCTCTGCACTTGCTGCACGACCCCCGGCTATTTGTGTTCGTGGAGGTGCCGGTTTGGAACATTTCCTGCATTTGCCGCTGGATCAGCACATCCTTTTCGCTCCTGTACATCTCAATATTGGGTGGTGCGAGGGGCACGTGTGGTGGTGGATCAGCGACGGTGTGGTCAGCATTGTTCCCACCTGGGGAAATAGAACTTTGCTTCGCATAGAACACGCCACCCGCAGAAGTTGTTTCCTTGGCATAGAAGACGTCCTGGTCCTCCTGCGTGGAAGAAGTTCTACTGTCTTGCTCTTTCTCCTTTTGTTCCGCGTTGCTTGTTGTTTTTTTCGTCTTGGCACTAGCACTGTCAGTTCGTGGTCCACTGTTTTGATCCCGCCCAAAAGCACCCGCTTCTCCCCCATCTTCAACATCCACATCCATTTTCGACGCGCTGCCGGTTAACAATCCGTAGAAGTCCATGAGAAACAGGTTCGGCCTCGCGTGGTTCTGCACCGCGATGGTTGCGTGCAAAGCCGCTTGCGCGCATAGCATATCAAATGGAAAAGTGTCTGGGTCGGGAAGAGTGCAAGACTTGTCATGCATATTTCTCATGTCCCATGATGCCTGTAATGCATGACCTAGCATCGCAGACTTTTAGAGGGCTTCCTGATGCACCTCCTTCCGCATGAGAAATACCCTGTCCGTGTAGCACAAATTACACCCCTCTTGCTGGTCATGCAATACAAGTTTTTTTAGAGTCCAAAAACAGCATGACAAGTTGCAATCTCCCAGACCCAGACATTTTTGCAGTTGATATAGCAGCGTGTGAAACATGTTTCTCCACTTCCCATTTGCCGGCATACTGCCCGCACCAGTTGCGCCGTCGCTTATAATTCCCATCTGTAAATTCATCCTCATCGCGTTGCTCCAGGGGTCGGCGATGAACTTGTAGTCTAATAAACCGGATTCCTTCATCTGCGGGTCCGCTTTCACCATTTCCGCGTGACGCCGGATCATTTCGTCCATGGACCCGTAGTAGTGCGCCATCGCGAACTATGCAAAAAAAAAAACTGTGTAAGCGTAAATCTGTGATGCAGAAAATGCAAAACAGTTACAGTTACACTTGTGATGCTCGACATGCATGATCGGCTCGCTTCCTATGTATTTTCCCTTCGTGTCTGCGCATAACAAGTTTGGCCTGTCATAGCAGACAAACTTGTGATGCTGTTTTCCCAAAAGACTTACACTAACACAGTTTTTTTCTTGCATACGAACTTGAAGACATCGTCAAACACAAGAAAATTCGCGTCGGAGCTACTCTTCGAGTTCCACCCACTATTCCCTCCGGAAGGCGAATCGGAGTCGAGAACGGCTGCTAATTCCAGAGAGAACAGAAACACCCAGCGGAGGGTTTCAGATTGCAGCTGGAAAATCTGGTCGTTGTTCTCCAAATTTTTCACCTGCTCCAGCTCCCACTCCGCCTGTACTTTCTGGCCTTCAGGCAGTTGGCGTAGAAACATCTCACTGTCGGTTGCTGTGCTGCCTGTCGGGAGATCATGGGTTTTCTCTTCTACGCTCGTTTTGTTTCCAGGATCTTCGACGTCTTGCAGCATCTGCTCGTAGGTAGACGTTGCGCCGACTTTTGCCACGCTCGCTTCGAGTAAAAGCCACCGAAATCCGTAGGGGCTGAGTTCGGGAACGATGAGGGAATTCGCGTAGTCCGAGCTAGTTGGGAGCGGCTGGGCGAAGGGCGGTTTTTGTTCATCGTGTTGGTCATCTCGAGGACGACCGGTTGATGTTTTCTCACGACCACTGCCCCCTGCATGATCTTCATGATGATCCCTGGTAGAAGTCCTGCCTGCCGGTGCTACGGGTTTCTGAAACATTGCAAACTCCGGCTGTGGAGTAACTTCGGTGCGGGTCTTCTGCCACACGTGCCGCTTCAGATACGTCGCGTGGTCGAAAACGAAGTCTGCGGGCGGAACGAAATCGGAGTGATCCCCTGTTTTACTTTCCGTATCTTCTGCTTTTGTTTCTGCTGAATTTCCCTGCTTTGTTGACGCCGACGTATGTTGAGCGGACCCCTGCTTGATGTCAGAGTCACCATCAACTACATCCTGTGCTCGCAAATGCTCCACGACCCACCGCACTCTGTCCGCGTGGGCCTCGCCCACGAGCAAATGACTCGTGCCGGCCAGCGGATCGTCGCCGATAGTCGTTTATCAAATGCAAAAGTGTCTGGGTCTGGAAGATTGCAACTTGCCATGCTGTTTTTGGACTCTAAAAAAATTTGCATTGCATGACCAGCAAGAGGGGCACAATTTGTGCTGCACGGACAGGGCATTTCTCATGCGGAAGGTGCATCAGGAAGCCCTCTAAAAGTCTAGTCTGCGATGCTAGGTCATGCATTACAGGCATCATGGGTCATGAGCAGTATGCATGACAAATCTTGCATTCTTCCAGACCCAGACATTTTTGAAAACCATATCGTTTCGTCCCGGTCGCAGACGTCAGGGAACTGCTCGTAAAGTAACACTATGCATTGCAAAAGTCTCGTCCTGCTATCGTGCTAGTCGTAATTGCATCACAAATCTTCATCTCAGATAGAAAGATGGAATTTGTGATGCTGTTTCAGCCAAGAAACGTAGATTTATCATGCAGTATTGCGACTACAGCTAGTACGGGTATGTGAATACTTTTGCCTTGGATAGACACCCACTCCGAGTCAGTTCTCGTGTTCGTCACGGCAACGACGCTGGAGCTCTCCACAGTACCATGGTCTTCGTGAATTTCGTCCCCGGAAGCGGAGATCCCGTGGTTTTTTATCTGCGAAGCGTCGTAGCTCCGCCAGGGTCGGGCGTACATTTCCACCTTGTTTTTCTCGTGGGGAGCTGAGCTGCATAGATCATCATCAATATGAATATTTTTTGGATTCGCTTTGCCTTTCGCTCCTCCGCCACTGCTGCAAGAACCTCCACCCAATTCCGTCGGCAGTTTCCCCACACAGGTCATCTCGCTCTTCGCCACGTTTTTCAACTTTTTCAACAGCTCAGCCCCAGAAGTCGATGACGCGAACGACCCACTCGATGAATACGCCTTCACCTCCAACCTGTGTGCGTTTAAATTTCCCAGCACCCCCTGCCTGCCGTCACAGAGTCCCAAGACCGCGAGTAAGTCAGGCTTTTGCAGCGGGCCGTCGACTAGGTACTCCGGGAGGTAGATCCTCAGAAAGTTCGTGTCGTCCATGTTCGGCGTCTTGATATCGTTTGTGATGCTGACTTTTCGGTTCCGGGAGGGTAACAGAATGTAGTCTTTCCGATCGCTGTGCAGCATCACAAAGTCCGTGGGGTTTTGGATCTTCTGGTGCATGATTTGCTGCACGGGAAGCCGAATGAAACGGTCGCGGGGCACGGACCCGTCCTTGTACGCGTGCTCGGCAAGACAGGAGTGGACTTTATCGAAGGATGGCTTAGAAATTGTACTTTTTCCACCTTGGTGGTTGTTCTTTCGATTTTCGTTTTCTGCTCGAGCAGCAGTTTCTCTTCTGCGTCTCCAGGATCCGAAGATGGAGGTGGAATCGCCGCTGCTTTCCTCCTCATCTCGCTGGCCGCCTGTAGGGGCGGGCTCCGGTGTTGCGCTGCGCTTCGTTGCCGTGCGGGAAGTAGATCCTTGTTGTCCACCTTTCACGTAGTGCACCTGCACTACTTCGGGCATCGCGGAGTGCGCCACCGTCAGAAACACCCTGCGAAACCCAGCAACCGAAAAGCACTTGCTGTTTCGGAACCAGAGCTGCGAAATCGCCTTGTGCCAAAAAACCAGCTTTTGATACGCATTGACAGAAAGCATTTGCCGCCACATGTCTCGAATCCGCTCTGTTTGATGTTCTTCCGGGTCTTTCTGCTGTGCGGTTGTGCTTCTTCTCGCATTGATATTGTCGCCGCCGAATGGGTCAACTCCAGAATTTTTCACATGATGTTGTTGATTATCTCTCTCTACTGGCAAGAACAGCAAGTCCAAAATCCGCTCCCGCAGCTCGACCATAGGTGCCTCAAACGCCTTCAGCCACACTTGCAAGTCGTACTCGTAGTCGAGAATCTTTCCGTCTCGGATTTTCGGCGCAAACTCCGGGATAAAAGACGGGAGACCCTTCAGAAACACATTGGTAACGGTAGTGGCGCAGGAGGGGGGAGTAGGAGAGGTCGTTGTAGCTCCTGGTCGTGCCTTGGTCTTGTCGTCTTGTTTCTCTACTTCCTGCTTGACGTCTTCTGGTGCTTTATGCTGGCCATCGTCCACAGAACTAGCTTTCGACTTGCTACTATCCCCACTTGCACTCCCCGGCGGCGGCACCCAGCCCGGCGGCGGGTTGCTGCTGATCTTCGGAATGGCATAAGGGCGTCCCGTAGCGTGGCTTGGCGTGGTGAAAAGCGAAAACGGATCCACTTGCGCGATGTGGCCGTATTTGGAAAACCAGGAGGGCTTCTCGTGCTGCATCGCGATGCTGCGAGACTCTTTCCGCGCCAATTCCGCCTCTTTTTCTTGCACGTAGTTCAAAAATTTCTCCCGCACGCGCTGATACTTTTCCGGACTATCTGTCTTCCACGTTTTGTAAAACTTGTTCGACCACTGCAACAGCCACCGCGTGTGGTCCCAGTTCAAGGGGCAAAAGAAGCGCGCCTTGAGTAGATCTGCGTGTCTCTGGTCGGATTCCTTGCGGCTGTTGTACTTGTCAAAGTCGGTTAACAACCCGTACTTGTTCGCTTCGTCCTGCTCGATCTCGAGAAATTCACTGTCTTCACTCGCCCGGTAGTCGATTAAAGGCAGGTTTTTTTCCTTTTCTTTTTGCTTTTTCTGCCTTTTCTTCTCCACATTCTTGCTGTAAACGCTTTTCGCTTCGTAGCACGATTCCGTGATGATTCGCAACAAATCGTCCACGCTCGGGGCCCGGGCCGCTCGCTGGAAATGAGAGAGTTGTAGCTTTCGTGGGCATATGCATTGCAAAAGTATCGTACTCGTAGTATTGCAACACAAACTAGCTCAGCATGACAAACGGAATATGTCATGGTGATTTAGCTTGGAAATGAAATTTGTCTTGCATGACTGCAATTACTACGAGTACAATACTTTTGCAGTTCATAGGGCAGTGCTGACGGAGCTTTCGCAGGTACGTTTCGGTCAGGAGGTCGATTTGCGACTCGCGCTTCCGGTGGACCGGGTCCGAGCGGTCGGCGGGGGTGGCTGCCAGAATGCGCTCGGTCTCTGTAGCAAGCTGTTTTTATCGATTGGGAAGATGATGTAGATGTTGTTAAGCTACTATGTGCACGACCTCGTCCTCGTCCTGAGAAAGGGGGAGCTGAAGATCTTCTTATAAAAGAGTTTGCAGCCAGCGTGCAGAAGATGTAGATGAAACAGAAAGTAACATGGAACATCAGACATAAACTTGCGTAAAACCAGCTGTACTGCATCTACTTCTTTACACAAGAGCTAGTACCTCTTGCAACGACGGTCGCTGCTGCAGAGGCTCCCCACGAGGTGGACCCGCACCACTTGTACTTGCCTTCCCGTCTCTCGCCTGGATGCCCAGAAACTCGAAGTCCACCATGGCGACGAGGGAGTCCGCGATCTGGTTGGAGATCTGCAGTTGGTTTGCCTCTTTCACCGCGAGAAAAACTTCCCGGATGCGGTCAAAAACCACCACATGGAACTCCTCCGGACCAATAAGCCCATGCTTTCTGTTCGCCAGCAACCCGTGCGACGCGCCAGGCATCACATTCCCGATGTCCGGTCCCTGTTCCCGCCAGTTCTTCAGCTGGTCTCCGTGGTGCGGGTGCCAGGACACATCCGCGGCCACGTCAATGAAATGCCACTTCGCCTGGCCAGTTTCTGCGTTGTAGGTCTGCGGATGCAGAATCCAGCCGTAGTCCGTGTCCTTGCGGCTTCTACTTTGTTGACTATGCTGTTCTTGAGCTTCTTGTTTCTCGTCGCTCGGCTGAGAAGTCCTCGTGAAGGGACGGATGAGATTTATTTCGTCTGTAGTAGTGTCAGTAATTTTCGACTTGGCAAGTATCGCGTTGGGAGTGATTTCGTTTCCGTTTTCGTCCACGTAAACGTCCAGAACGGGCTTGTTCTTCTCGTCGCCTTGGTTCTTTGAAGATTGAGATTCGCTTTTCAACACCCCGGGTCGTCCCTGTTGTTCCTCGCTTTTGCTACTTGGTCCACCACGTGCTACTCCACTATTCAGCGACAAGCGCTGCATTTTGTCCACAACCCCTTCGAAAAGGTTCGCGATGTCCATCGCAACCTGCAGAATTTCTTTCTTGTCCTCTGGCCCTACTTCCAGGGCTGCTGACGTCGCACCGGCAGATTTTGAAACATCTTCGCGGGAAACGGTATCGGCACTTCGATGGCCGCTGCTTGCGGAGCTAGACGATGATGCTGATGAACTACATGAAGATGCTGCGGTAATCGCTCCTGCTTGTTCGTTCGGCGGGGTGCCCGAAGATAGCGCCGGTGCGATAGAGCTCATGCAAACCTGTTCTTTCTCATCTACCGAAGCGCTTCTCATCATCTTGCTGTTCTCGAGCAACATTTTTGCAGCTTGTTTGGAGATAGTTTGCATCTGACCACCAGCACTTCTACCTTCGGGCTCGTCGTGTACTATAAACGTGTCCTTCTGCCTGAGTTCCATCGTCTTCGGACCTAGGTACGCGGCGTGCGCCGACATGTCAGCGACCACCATTCCGTCCACCAGGTTTCGCGCGACAAGCCGGGCGTACCCAGCCCCCGCCAGGGCCGCCTTCGCGTCGGGCCACTCCTTGCGGTTCGTGATCAGTGCGACCTTCTTCTCCCGCAGGCCCTGTGCCCGCTCGTAGGCATGACTGATCAGCTTCCACGCCTCCGGGTCCTCTCCGGTTTTGTCATGATCATCCGGCGCGTAGAGGTTACTAGACCCCCCACGACGAGCAGCGCCGGCCGTAGCAGTGTCTCTGACTTTGGGCTGGTACGCGCTCGCGAAGACGACCAGCACGTCAGATAGAGCGGCTTTCTCCTCTTTGCTCAATGCCGCGGTCCAATCGAAGGTTGGAAAGAGCTCGTTTTTGAGATTTCGCCAGTTGTCCGAGTCTGAAGATCCACCAGCCCCGGTCCTCGCAGTTGTTTCGAAGAGCGACTTCCGACTCCAGATGGATCCGTCCGCGACAGCTTGACCCAGGTCGTACAGACTTTCGAACGCGGTGGCTTTGCCCAGGTCGTAAAAGAAGTGAATCAAGCGAGCCACGGCGACCGTGGAACACGCAAGGCTTATGGCCACGTAGCTGAACTTCCGGCGAAAAGAGGTAGTTTTCATCTTTGGTGGTCGCTTGTTTGCGCCTTTCAACATTTTTCCGCCACCTCGAAGAGAGGTCGCTCTTGGGCCCCCATCAGCAGCTCCTCCAGCGTGATGAAGTAGTTGTTCCTGTGTCGTGCTGTCTTCGCTGTCTCTTCTGTGCCTTTCGCGTTTCAGGGCCTTCTTGCTTTTCTGGCCGCCCGGCTTGCTATGGCTCTTTCCACCTCGGCGCTGCTGGAAATTTCGTTCAATCGCAGCCTTCGTGAACTTGTTATTCACGACGGGCTCATCATCATCCACATCCATGTCCTCGCCAGCATCGGGGGCGGCAGGAGCTCCGTGGCCGTCCAAGTGAAGGCCGTGGTCTTTGGAACTACAACTCCGTTCTCGAAGTTGTAGATGACTTTGCCCTTCTAGAGAAGTAGTCGAACTTGCGTCCTCACTAGCTAATCCGCGCCTAAATGAAAGCCAACTCGGAACAGACGCACCGCTTGCATGGACGCGACGACCCAAGCCGGCGGTCGCAAACCGCTCGAGATTGCCCATAGCGCCACGGGACACTGCAAGAACGCCCTCTTGCGTAGTGCTACAAAGGCTATTTAACCACGGAAACCTGGGTAAGTTTTCCAGGAGCTCGTCATCATCGTCATCATTGCGAGCAGTGTGATCGCGACGACTTCTTCCCGGTGCTAGCAACGGGCCCTCTCGACGCTTTGAAGAGGCTGCCCCACCTGATTTCGGTTGTTTTTGGCGCGCCTCTGTCGTTGCGCGGTGCTCATCTTGTTTCGTGCCTTTCTTCACAGCTTTATTTTTCGATTTGTTCCCGGCCATTTGTGGTAGTACCAAAGGCGGCTGCGTTGTTATGCCGCTTTTGTCATTTTTGTGACTGCCCTGGCGAATGAGGGTCGAGCGCTCCTCGCCCACCAGCGTCTTTGATGAAGGTCTGGTAGGGGGCGGCTCTAGCTCGTCGGGCATCGGAAATGGTTGAGAAGTCATATTAGGAGCTTCTCCTGTAGTAGAGCCGATTTGCCTCTCGTCGGTACCCGGAGGATGGTAAGGAACCCCGTCCTCTCCCGCAGGTCCGCCCATGGTTGTGCTAGTGACTGGCAACGTCCTCCTTCTTTCCCGACTTCTAGCGCGCGGTGGCCTACCGCGGGGCGGCGCTTTGGGCGGAGATGGTCGTACGAGAACGTCAGCAATCAGGCCAGAGCAACCGACCTCATTTGAGATCATGCCAGCAGCACTAGCACCAACACCTTTCTCACCGGGCATGGGGATCGGGAGCGGTTCCTGTGGCACGTAAGATCCCTGCAGCATGAATTCAGTTCCAGCATAAGTTGCCGACGCATTTTCATTTTGTAAAGGTGTCGAGCCTTCGTATGGGTGTCGTGCATTTCCAGCTGCATCGCGCACCAGAAACTCGACGCTCTCAGCAGAGGCAGGCACTCCACTACTACTAGCTGCAGCATCGTCTTTCATCTTCCTACCACTCCTGTCAACTACCCGGCCTCCAGGATGCGGTGTGTTGCAGCGCTGACCCGAGTTGCCGGAAGTCTTGCTACTGCTCCCTGCTTTTTGCGACTTATGATCCAACAATGCTGAAGACGGGCGAAGGGCGGTGGAGCCACGTGAACTTCGGTGGGACCCACGTCGATCAGCACGAAGATCCTCACGAGTGCTGCTGTGTGGCTGTGGGTCCGAGCGATCGGCGTCATCGAACACTGGACTGGTTTGTAGTTCCCGCCCTTCTGCCTCAGCTGGTTTTACCTCCGCCGTGGTGAAAGTCCCCTGCAGCTGCGCAAGAGGTGTAGAAGAACTCTGCACGACGGAGGTTCTCTGTGCTCGTCCTTGAGCTGCATGCACATGCTCCTTGTTCCCTGGCAAATACAAATTCTGCTGCGCTGCATCTCTAGGAGACGTACAAGAGCTGGATGTTGATCCGGGTCCTGTTCCAGCACCAGCTGCAGAGGGCGCAGAAATACAAGTCGAGTTCTTCGGTAGGACATTATCACGCCCGCCTGAGGTCGTCGACTCAGAATGATCGCTCGACGTCGAGTTGGATGAGATGCTATCACTATCAAGTGCAAAAACGCCTGCGTCTGGAAGGTTTCAACTTGTGATGCTATCTTCGGATCCTAGGAACATTTGTATTGCATGACCAGGAAGAGGAACTCACTTTGTGCTACGCCGGAAGGGCATTTCTCATGCGGAATAGGCATCAGGAACAGGATGCCCTCCAAAAGTCTGTGATGCTAGACCATGCTTTACAAGCATCATGATCATGGGTCATGCAAAATATGCATGACAAACCTGGCAACCTTCCAGACCCAGACATTTTTGCATTTGATAATCACCGTCGTCCGACTCCGAGCTGGTTTCGTCGCTGCTCTCCTCGTCCTCCTCCGAGGATGACGTAGTTGAGGATGAAGAAGAAGACGAACTGGATGTTTCCTCACAGCGAGTCGTTGTTCCACTACGCGCTCCAGAAGACGAGGATCGCTTAGAGTTACCGCTTCTTTTGTTCCGCCGCCCAACGCCCCGCCGAGGAGCGGAGTCTTCTGCAGGACTGTAGTCCGGCAGTTCGCGAAACTGCAGAGTATTGTTGCTGCCCAGAATCTCGACCTGCGTTCCGATGCGCACGAAAGTTATTTCCTTTTTCAGAGCTGCCAGAGTTGTGCGGGACGCGGTCGTGGTGGAGGTGCTGTTCTTGCTGGTGGACGAAGTAACGGCTGGTTCTGCATTCTTGTGTTCTTTCAAACAGCTCCTGGGGTAGGTTTTTTCTGACCAATTTGCTCGGGCATGCGAATTTTCAATTTTATCCGCTTGGTGATGGTGCTCCCGAAGATCCTCGCTTAGCAACTGCGTCGGGTTCATCTTTTCAGTCGCCGCACTCCCAGCAGTTGTTTGCGCTTCTTCCCAGCAGCACTTGGCGCTTGCGTCGGCACCCTGCTGAGGTGACTCCTGCTGGGTTGATCTGGAAAAAACAGCTCTAGTTCTTGCACTGCCGGTTGCTGTATCATCTCCGCCTTTATCACCATTACCTCCACTCGGGTAGTCGTGCACTTTTTCTGAGCCGCGTGCCGAGGATGTTAAAATTGCGGCATGTGCGAAATGGAACACCATGTCAGCTCCTCGTCGTCTAGGTGTTTTAGTTTTAGGCGGTTCTGATTCTTGACCGCTTCCGAAATAACACCCGCTCTCCGCATCCTCGTCTGAGAAGAAAAGCGCTCCGGCGGTCGTGAGTGACAAAAGAAGCCTACCACCCCGCGGGAGACTGCTGGTCCAAGGTTTCGCACCGGAAATGAAGACCCGCGTGTCAAGAACATGGCGCCCGCTGCTAGACTTTTTAGTTTTACCATCGTGTGATAAGAAGTGGCCGCTGCTAGTAGTGCTAATATCTGCTCGGAGGGCCCTCATTCTCTGTTCTTTTGTGCAAATGACTTCGGCGCCGGCGCGTCATCGTCCTCTGGACAGACCAGACGCACGACACTGAAAAGAACCAGGAGCCACACACTACAGCGAATTATACTAGGGGTCTAAAAATTGCTGCACTTGCGCCGACCGCTTTTACAAACAAAGGCAGGAGGACAAGATGGTGCAAATAATGCAAACAGTTGCTCTACTATGTCTATGTCTATGTTGCATTTACTATCGACCACCAGGTAGACACTGGGACTGGATCAGGTTCAGGATTTTCATCTTCACGTGTCGCGATCTGTTTTGCGGATCAAGACCCACCAAGACCAGCACGACATCGCGATCTACTAAATGACTTTTTCGTATCATCTTTTTCTTCAACGAAACCGCTCTGCAGACGATCACGAAACAATGCGTATAGTACTTCAGAAGCCGTGTCCATCACCTTCACGAGATTTCGGCAATTTCTTCTTTAGCAGCACACTGCAGAAAGAACCCCAAAACAAATTTCTTCAGACAAGAATCTTCTTAAGGAAACGCCAACTACACACCCACGGCATTGTTGTGCCATTTCTTGTAAGCTACGATAAATTGTAGCCTTGCTTCAATTTGCCAATCACACCATCATCTACCTCACAGGTCACACAGGTCAAAAACAGAATCAAGCAAGCACGGGTCCTGCAGCACTCAACTGAGTGTCGAACACAAGAGCCACGCTCGTGTCAAGCCGTCCATTAGCATCGGCCATACGGCCATGCTCGTTTCATCTCTTCTTTCACGTTCTGATGTGGTCGTGATGGTGTATCGGTATTTTGAATTCAGTCGAACCCACCGATTCTTATAATTGTGAACAATCATTTTTACGCTATCCGTCACGTCGCCATGGTCAAGAACACCATTTTTGCAGAACGCGTCGTCGTCGTGTTTCACTTCCGCCTTCACACCGCCTTGCCACCCATAGCGACTGCGACCGGAGTATGGAACAATAAAAGGGCTTTGCCTCTGTATCGTGGTTCAAGTTCTTACTGTCATGATACTATTTGCAGCATCATGAAAAGGAAGAGCATGACATTTATTGGTGTCAACAGAAGTCTCAGTGTGCGGTGCATACCGACATTCATGTTCAACATGCACACGTCGAATAAACACGTGGAGCTGAGTACTCAATTTATCACACCAAACCCAAGCAACAGCCAGCCTATGATAAAGCACACAAAACGCTTCATCACGCATCTCTACAGATCCAAATCTTGAACAACTTGTTGATCCACTCGTTGTGCAGTCGTTTCCCTTTCCACATACTGAATGCTCGGCTCGCCGCCCTTCCCGCCGGCCGGTGGGTATCCTGCCGTGCAAAAGTATCGCATTCGTATAAATGCATGTCTTGCATTACAAATCTTTGTCTTAAGGCAAATCTGCATCACAAATTTTATTTCTCATGCTGAGGAAATTTGTAATGGTGCATTTATACGAGTACGATACTTTTGCAATGCATAGTGGGACGCCCGGTGGCCTTTGCTGCAGCGACGCGCGGTACTGGTTTGCCACGTCGTCGGAGCAATTTTCCGTGTGGTTATCCGCAGGAAGAAATATGTCTGTGGGTGGAGACATGTGATGCTACCTTGCGCATCCATATATTTGCAGCCAAACATGCCAAATTTTGGCAACTACGCTCTCTGAAGTGTTGTAGCACACGTGACGAATTGCGTTTTCGTGCAACAAACGAGGGTGCGGCTTTGCTGGTCATACATGCAACACACATTGTTCTACATGCATGCTGCAAGACACGCAAGACAAGCTGCACTTTCCCTGACCCAGACAAATTTGCAGTGGATAGTGGTGACCGTTCTGCAACAACCTCTGCTTCTCCTCCTGATAGAAGATCAGAATCACATCATACATTTTCATCTCAAATGCGAAGTTTTTGCAGCACCTAATGGCAAATAGAATCGACTGGGACCACTGCACTCTAAATAACCATCGTCAGCCGCTGCCCCCTGAGATATGAAATAGCTATGCGTGCCGCCCACGTTGGCCTACTTAGTTAAATGTTTATTGCTTACCTCTCCGTGTGATTTTGACCCCCAAACCACTACTCCAGTCCTTTCTGTTTATCCTATGGAAAAAGTACGTGCGCCTGCACAAACATGGCATGCAGATTCCAATTTTCAAAATTGAAGCCGCGTGTCATCATGCTCATGGTCGCATTTGAAAAATGCTTGTTCTAGCATGTATTGATATCATTGACGAGTGATCTGCAGCCAGAATTCACAGATTCATTGTGCATCGAGGTTTTGATTTGAAGATGGTACGCCCGGGCGCGCAAGTTCCGCACTTCTGATGGTGGCCACGGCCACAAGGTGCATTGATTTTCATGACAACATGTCGTGAAGCAAAAGCGGAAGTGCGTAGATTGGAAGTGCACACGACGTTCGATAGATTTTTCCCAAACGATAATCCTGTGTCCTTGTTGAAGCACTCGTGAAAGGCTGACGACGGACCGCAGAAGCCCGGGTCCAGGTTCTTGTATACCATGCAGAATCCCGCACGGCAATAGAGCTCATCCTCGTACCCCGGCGGTAGCACTGCTTGTACAGGAGAAGGTAGTAGATGAAAAAGAAACCCTGCCTGGGATGATAGGCAAATCAACAATGACCCGAGCCGACGAAGGATCGACGTCGACGACCTCGAATGCATCTTTTTACTTTTCGTTATTTCAAAAACGTGGGATTCTCTTCTTTTATCACAAACAAACGCCGCTACTGGATAGCAGCCTGAAGATACATAGTTAGCGTATTATAAGTCGCTCGCTGTTCGTCCTCGACAACAAGAGCTCTACTTGTGAATCTTCACAAGAAAGAGGGGGCGATATTATGTGACGAACTAGAACTCTCCGACTGCGATCTGTCAACAAAGAGGACCATCTCATCAACTTCTTCTATCTTTTCCTTTTTCCTGAGAGCTGCAATGAGCAAAAGTGGACACATAAATGAGCAGGACATATTTGCGACTTTTTACCTGGGCAAATTGAAAATTTCACTTGCGCGTTGTCATCACAACCGATGCGGACAAGAGTCCATCGCATCGTGAACAGAACAAAATCGTCAGACCTGTGTAAAGAACTAGGAGCCCCGGGCCCGCCGGACATAGCGCGTGTTCTTGGTAGGTACTTACTTCATCCAAGAGTGCTGGTAATCAATGAAGAATATCAATATCCCTTGTGGTAGTTTTGTTGAACGTTTTTTTGAGGTGCGTTTTTATTCTTCATTCGTGAACCAGGTGCCTCCACCTGGTGGCCATGTTCGAACCAGATGAAACAGAAGCATGTATTTAGGAGTCCTTCGCTCATTACTAGGCTTCTCTACTCACTGAATCATCTTGTGAGTCTAGTGGTGCTTGTTCGACTTCTTCTAACTATGTAGGTGATGTAGCGCAAATTTCAATAAGTAAAATTTGCGCTACAATAAGCTGTGTTACTCGTTTGAATTTGAAATAGGCACTCTCAAAAAAATTCACAGCTGTAGTTCGTCGTGGTCATCTGCATCTCTGAAGCTGAGCTAGCTGTTCAATAAAAATAATCGACGTGCTTGCTGGGGTACTACGGGTTCGTGATCGTGTTTACTACATCTTCATGACAAGTATCGGAAATGATCAGTATGTTGGTCGCCTGTAGTTTATTCTTGTGGCGCCCTGGGATCCACCTCTCCAATGTTCGCCATCGGGAGGACGGAATGCGTTAGGTATCCCGGCGGTCCAAAACAGTAATTTTTTTTTTTTTTCCAAAACAGTAAATAGGTCCAAAACAGTAAAAAGGTCCAAAACAGTAAATACATGTACCAGGAGACGAAGCTGCCGATCACGATTTTTTCAAAAAAATTCGCTTTCACATATGTACTCCGGGGAGTACTTATATTTATCCAGCACACATGAACACAACAGAAGCTTTCCCATAGTATGGGAAAGCTCCAGTTAGAGCCTTGTATGGGCCATACAAGGACTCGGACTGCTGACATCCTCACCTCCTACGACTTCTCCCCGGGCTTTTCGTTCTGCTTGATGTTTTTTTCTGGCGCCGCGGTGCAGTACCTTCAACCCCATCAAAAGGCTCAAAAGTACGACCACCTGCATTGCTCCTCGCCCTCACTGCATCATCCAAAGAAATGCGGAAGCCGAGGATGTTGCTCTTCATCGTCATCTTCCCCTGGCACTTGAAGGGTACCACGTTGTGCCACCTGCAGCTGCTCAGGAGGCAGCACGGGGGCAGCTTCTGCAGCTTGGTCGTCGTTCACGTTCACGTTGTCCTCGTCCAGGGGGAAGCGAATCCCATGATCTTCACGCGACCGGGTTGGACGACGATACTGAGCTGCAGAAGGGCTACCACGCCTCCTTCTTGCGGCCCTAGCAGAAGTTGATCTGCGCCGCGGCGACGCGGTCTCCTGGCCGGATCCTTTACCATGACCTTTGCTCGCCTGCGTGTTGGTCGTCTTCGTCGCAACCGCAAGGAACCGGAGAACGCTGAGGAAACCATCGACACCTGTCCAGAGGAAAACAAAAGCAGATGCATATTTCAACTTTTTTACAGTCCCGATATCATATTTCCATGCGGCACGCACTTCATGACAATGCAGCCACTTAGTCTTAGTGATATTTTTTGTCTTGCAAGTCCTTTGAAACTTTTATTATTATTGCCTACTTAAAACTGCAAACGCCGCACCAGCAGGCCTTCGCAATTTTTATTGCAAATATTTCTATTTCATTCCGGGGAATGGGAAAAGAATCGAAGATCAAGACTCTTCGCCGGTGCGCCGGTCTGGGCGGCCCTCTACTTCGGGAACAGATAGCAGCGTCTACTTTTCGTTTTCTTTTTCTGGTTCTGTTTGATAGTATCTGTTTCCAGTCGCGATTCAGGAAAGTCAATCTCCCACTGTAAAATCCCGGCCACGGCTGTATCCCTTTCTTCTTGCTCGTCGCGCTCGCGCAGTACCTGTGGCATGTCACCTTCTGTCCGCGCATGGAGAGGGGTGGTGGGCGTGCTCGCGTAATTAATATAGGACAGGGAAGGAGGCCTTTCTGCACAAGTGCGAGTAATCTCCCGGTGCGCGTCAGTCACCTTGGTCAAGAGCGAGTCAAGCTCAAGCTGCATCGCCGGCCGGGAGCGGAGACTTCGCTTTTCTTCTTCGTATTTCTCCCGAAACTCGGTATGCACCGAGCTATGCGAATAGGGGTCCTCCATTGATGCGCCTTCCGCTCCGCTACTGCTGGTAGCAATCCTCGCAGGCTCCCTTCTCTTCTGCCGGAAAAGGCGCGCAGTTTCGATTTGGAGGCCTTCGCCTGCTACCTGCTTGAGGCGCATAACGAAATGGGGCACATGGTCGTTACCCATAACAAAAACTTTCGGAAGTAGCTGGGCAGAAGGAGTCGTTGCAGCTGTAGTGGCACCAGCACCGCCACCCTCCTCGTCGACGTGGCCTTCGTGGCTTCTCTTGGTCCACTTCTGGAAAACACGTTGGATCCAGACAAGGTTTCTGAGCTCGATCAGGAGCGACGTCGACGTTGCTTGAGCCAGACAAGCGCGACGTTGCTTGATCAGGAGCGACGGTGCTGCATCAGGAGATAAACTTGCCCGCAGCAACTCCATCTGAGCACGCTCCTCTTCTGTCATGTTCGATCCCTCCGGAAAAATCGAGGGCAGCTTCCAGGCGCCTTGGAGGTACGTTTCGTTGACCTTCTGCGCCAGCCAGGCCTGGATAGCTTCCAGCCCGCACCGGAGGAGATCAACGCGACGCGGCATAACCTTCTCGATTTGTTGAATGTGCGCATTGGTCGGTCCAATAGACGAAAAGTCTGCACCTCGTAAAAAGTGTTCTCGGAAAAGGAAACCTTCCGAGACATCATGAGCCAGGTAGTGTTCGACGGCATAAGTCGGCACATACATTCCAGCCTTCGCCTCTTCCAGCTCGCGCCTCGTCCGCTTGCCGCGAGAAAGTTGGTAAATATCAAACTCCACGGCATCAAAGGGCGTCCAGCGCTCCCTACCGGCTGGTCTTAGACTTAGCACTGGAATGTCGTCTCGTACGTCAAAAAGCTCACTGTCACTTCTCGCGTCCGGGAAAAGCATTAACTTGAGAGCCTTCGTTAAAGCGCTGGCCTCTTCCAGGATTTCTTGGTCTCGAGAACCCGATGGAAAAATTCCATCCAGCACGTGGCTCTGCTGCTGCATAGCTTCGCCCATGATAGCATCACCTGCGACTTTCACTAGCTGCCGCTTCTCCTCAACACTTAATGATACGAATGTCGTGCTGTCGCGTTTGAAACATCGCAGGACAAAACCGATGCCATCTGCATCTGGCACTTCAGCCTGATTCAGCCTGGCTACAAGGTTACTAACATGCGCGAGAAAGTACAGATGAGGGTCCTCTAACTCGGAATCAACGTCCTCCGACGTTTCTTCGAAGAGCTCAATCTGCTTGCGCTCGGCAAGGTTCCGAAGCATGCTGCGTAGGGGTCCGGAAAGAGCCATGAAGTGGTTCTCACCGATTACCAGAGCCTTAGCCTGCTGCTCTGTGTTCGTGCCGAACAATATGTCCGGTGAAGATATCGAAATGGAAAGACAAAGAGGCCCCGTGATTGCCCAAAAACAAAAGTAACAGCTTTCCATTGTGACCTTAGCTGCGCGTAGGTCATCTCAAAGCTACTTACTTCCAGCAGGAGAGTGAGAGAGCAGCGTTTGCTGCATGTATTTCAATTTCATTCTATTTTCTGATTGCACAACTTCTACTGCTGCTTCTCATAGTACTTTGTGCAGGACGGTCCTGCACATCAACAACTTTGATAGAGAAAAATATACGAAATGGAGATAGAGCCTTCGTTACTGTTACAAGATAAATTCATGCATCTGCTGCAGCAATGAGTACAACGTACAAAGGACAAAAACGATGCTCTTGTCGATTTGTAATTCCCGTGGATATTGCTAGCGTTGTGAGCAGCTGCACCAGTTGGGCTCCGAGGCTGCCGAGAAGAGGAACCACTTCGTGCGCGAGGACCACCACTATGTTGATGTACTGACTTGAGCTGCAATCCGCGACATGCCGGTAGGCCGGCCAGAAAAAAACTACCGCACGCTGCGGCCAACAGTCCTCTCATCGTGCCGAAGCGCGGAACGGGGATGAGCAACGGAGGCACAACAAAAAGAACGGGCGAAGGCGATCCTTTGGAATTCTGACTCTGCTGACGGGGCATTGTCAATGAATAAGTTTCTGTTTCACAGACCGGGTGAGGTAAAGAATGAAAGAAGTTAAAGTAGATAAAGTAGAAGTTGCAATAATGGGGATGATGGGAAGGTAAAACTTTTAAGCATATGAATGCAGTGTGTTATGTAGCAATGTCGCCAAAGAGAAAATATACGTATGCACCTCCCAATCGTTGGTATTATAAAGTCGTTCGCTTCTAGTTTGGCCGTGGACGAAGTGCCAACAGACCAGAGAGAAAAAGCTTCTGAACTCAACGTGTATGAATGACTTAGAATGGTCCGCGCGGGAGTAGCAAGCTCTGTGACCACCTCTATATGAGCAGCAATACTTATAATATGTAAAGACAAAGAGTGCGGGGAATACGTCCAGAGGTTTAATAATCCTGTGAAGTTTTCTGCAATACTGCAAAAACATTGATTGAAAAACTAGAGCAAGCACATCAACTCAATTGCAGATGCAGCCTGATTTATGCGTACAGAAATACTGGACACTGCAGGAGACTCTCGTTTTTCAGTTGCGTTGGCGCATTTATACAGAAATCAAGATCTCCAATCAGAAATGTGTCGAGAAGTTGATGTTGACCGACTCCCACATCAAGAATTAGAATGCGTTGATCTTTATTTGCGTGATTTATCATTTGAAATCACAGACCATGATCTATTTCACACCAAGAATGTTGCTGGCCTGCACCGTGTTAGTACCTTCAACATGCCGTGAACCGATGGATCAGCACACTTTGTTCTTTATCTTTCCTTCTTTCGAGGTCGCAGCTTGCTAGACTTAGAGTTGGCACAAAAAGATATTTCGATGTCGCACCGACATTCCTTTCTCTCGTCCCTTTCGATGTAGCCGCGAACATCAGAACCTTTACCTTTAGTATTGTTCTTGATCTTGCGTCGAGATGTTGCGAGCAGCTTAATATAGTTCAACAACTACGGAATCTGGAGGGAAAACGATGCAGGATGAACACACTTCCACACAAAGATTTCTCATGAGTCATGCGCTGATGATAGCGAAGGATTCGTTTGCTTATGCTTGATGTGGTCGTGGATATGATTTATTTTCCATTTGCCGCATGTTTTCAAAGCAGGCATTAATGTGTTGATGCCAATGTGTTATGTTCCTTCTCCCGACACAGGTTGCCGACGCCCAGCACCACAGCTGATCACAAGAACACTATATGATAGACTAAGTTTCACCTACACCAAGAACATGTATAATCGTATACACAGCCCCAGCCCTGTATCAGCAAAAGCCAAAGGAATGCAGACTCTGGTATTATCATGTGTCGCAAGAATGTAGGTCCCGTGTTGGTCTATCATAAAAACCGACTTCAAGATGACATGTGTTGCGTAGAAGGTACTGTCAAGAAGTACTATCAGCCTGTATGAAACCAAGAACTCGTATCCTCGGCACTGTTAATCGTACCATGCGGCTGTACTTAGTTCCATGTAGTTGAGCTTGAGGCGGTAAATGTTGACATTACTTTTGGCTCTTGAGTAGAGGCTAAAGTAGAGGGCCGCGTCGCTGCCGGATGAGGAGCTGCCTTCGAGTTTACTCCGCACATGTATGCAATGCAAAAGTATCCTATCGTACTAGTATAAATTGCATTACAAATTAGCCCAGCATTCCAAATTAAATTTGTAATGCTGATTGACCTTGAGAAAGAGATTTGTAATGCATAAACGCAATTACTGCGAGTACGATACTTTTGCAATTCATAACATGAAGATTGGTACAAGAATCGTCGAACTTGGCACTACCTCTAGCTCCTCTGCAGAATTATGTCCAACATGTCGTGGTATAAATGTACTAAAGTAGGTTGCAGCACCGCGCGCAACATAGCACCTACTTGTTGAAAAAAGTTCAGGTTTATCTTTATCAATCTTCCCTTCGCGTCAATCTACTTGTAACGGTATCATGATAGGCATATGGCGAACTTGAGGTTGAGAATGAGAACGAGCAACTTCAGATAAAAATAAACAGAACATGGACCGGCATAATACCACCTCCAGCCGTTGAGAAATTGGTATACATGGAGGAAGCTTCTCGCACTGTTAGCCTGATCACAAAGAAGATGTCATGTGCAGGAGCTGGCGTATTGGAAAATGATACAAGCGGTAGCACTGTGCGTGTGCTCAACGTTCTTCATCACTCAGAAGAGCCGCGATGTCGCATTTGAGGAAAATACTTACCATATTAAAGCTACCACCCTACTGCTGCTCGGCAGGCGCGCCTGCGCCACGATATTTTTTATATCATCTAGGCCCGCCGGGGCCGGCTCCTGGCCCTCCTGGCGTTCTACTCTACTACAAACGTGCCATATCTAGCCGTTCCCTATCGTCAATGTCATGATAGTCTTTCCTCTTGACGCTGGACCGCACGAAAGAAAAGCTCCAACGACTACTGCTCTTGTTCTGATGCGGCTTAGATGTTGCTGTGGTCATTGGTCCATCAAACCCGGGAGAACTGTGGTCTGATTCTTTTTCTTGCCGTGTTGCTGTACTAGTAGAAGAAGCATTGTAGCGGTGCTGTTGGGTCACGTTCAGGTTCTCTTCCGTTTCCTGAAAGTTGCGACTTTTCCTTCCTTGAGAGTAGCTCGGAGGTGGTCCGTGCAGCTGTTGGTCTTCTTGTCTCTGTAGTCGCGACGAGCGGGGGCCTGAAGTTGTTATACTAGTTGCGCTTATTCTGGAGGAAGAGTTCCTGTTTGGGGGGTGTTGCACGATCATTTGCTGGTGTCTTTGAAGATGCGCGGCGTGAAGATGCTGTGCGGAGGACGAGGGACCACCAGATGGAGATGCTGCACTGGGAGACATCGCCGACATAAAGCCGTTCGGCGGCAACTTGCGAGACACATCCGCGAAGCGACTGGCGATCTGGCGCATCCAGGTTGTGGAGTTTTCGTTTTGCATTTTTGCTTGTTGATGTTCTTGCGCAGCTGGTTCTTGTGCTGATACAACTACAGGTCGCTCTCGCGATGTAGTTGCGCTGTAGTTTATTTTCGATGAGGGCACGGGCAGATTTTTTCTTCGATCGTCGGACTGTTGTTGTTCTAACTGATCAAGATCATTTCTATAGCGTTGCTCCTGCTGGACCACGGGGTGCAGGTCGAAGTGTTGCTCCTGTGGCCCTAGTTGTACTCCGTGGTCAGCTCGAAGATTCGTCATGCTCTGCCGCTGTGGCCTGACAAATGCGCCATCTTGCGCTTCTTGCGCGGCTACGAGTACTCCTGCGGTTCTTGCGCGAGGCGGGCCAGATGCTCCTCCTGGTTCTCTGCCCGATCGCAGCTTAGCGTTCTCCGTAGTTTTGTTTTCTCCTCCTGCCGAAGTCCTCAAATCTCGTCGACTTTCTTCTGGAATTATTTGCTTGCTACCTCGTCCAGGTGGCGCAGGTTCAGTTTGCTGGTTGAAGATGTCTACCGACGAGGACACAGAGTCCTTTGATGCGATCGTTCTTTCACTACTAGTGCGCTTACTTCCCTTAGTACTACTTCGGACCGGATGCGGCCCGGAAACTGCGGCGCCAGTGGCGTAATTATAGCTGTCCTGCTTTTTCTCGTCGCTTTCAGTTATTCTTATTTTTACATTCGCCCCCTGGTCACGACCTGGCCGAGCAGCAGCAGCAGCTTCCCCCGCGGACGGCAAGGTCGTCGTGCTGGATATCATGACACTCTCCTGGGATAGCAGCTTCCTTGGCGGCGAACCTCGGACCGCCTGGGCGATGCCAGGCGCGCCGTTGTGTTTGGACTCCTGCGGCGGAGCAGGAGAGGCGGAACTACTCGACGTAGCAGCAATTTTCAATGCCGCTGACGTTGTAGTGGAAGTGGCACTGTCATGTGAAGAAACTTTGGAATTTGTCTTTCTGTGCTTGATATCACCCTCTCCATCTTGTTTTACTCGTGGTCGTGCTTGTTCATCTGTGTCCAAAAGATCTCCTTCTTCCAAGTCCTGCGCCGTGGCAAACTCTCGGGTTGTCGAGTAGCGGGTAATTTCTGCGGCTCCTGATGTAGTAATTTCCTCAAGATCGAGAGGAGCACCACCATGTTGTAGTTCGTCGGGACCAGCATCATCCTCACAGCTTGCGAACGACGCATGGCTGGACAGCGGAGACAATGATGAACTACCTGCGGACTTTGCCTTGCTGCTTTTTCTAGTACTTGATGAGCGACGAGCAGCATCTGTCTGATGAGTCTTCTCCTTAGTTGATGTTGTCCCACTTTTGCTTGCGGCCTTGCTGCCACTTCGGACAGGAGCGGCAAAACTACCAGAACCAGACACAGAAGACGATTTCCTTCTACCAGAAACAACGACCGGGACCGTGCCAGTCGCCAGAACGCCCGCGTCCATCTTGTCCAACAAATCGTCGATTTGGGCGTCGTTTTGCAACAGTAAAGATGCTCGGTTCGTGGTGCTGGTGGTCGTGTGAGGCAGAGGCTGTTTAGAAGAAGTACTACTAGACTTCTGCTCAACACCCCCTCCCTTGGTAGAAGTCGAAGAAGCGGACGATCTCGAGACCATTTTCGCAATGCCGCCCCGGACGAGCGGTCCTTTGGACGGCGAGGTGGTGCCAGCACCGGGGAAACACCCAATCTTCCGAGCCGCGACACTGGACATGGGTAGGGAGCGGGGGGAATCTTGTTGTGCAGCAGTGTCTGAAGAGCAGCCATCTGCTTGGTCGTCGGAGGAGCGCCGGTTCCACCAGGACTTTTTGGATGGGGCAGTACTGCTGGTGGTGGATGCGGAGCTTTTCGCATCCTCAGGAGCACCAAATGGAACGGCTTCGATCGGGTTGATGTAATTTGGGGTCGTGGTGGTGGTGGTCGGTGTAGACGAACTGGGTAGATGAACCTGCAAAAACGAAGACTTCTGGGAGGTACTAGGCGTTGTTGCGCAACTGCTAGAGGGTACTAAACATACTGCGTCCTCAGGGGCGGGCTGGGAGTGGGAGCTACTATATCCAGAGTTGCTGGGGGCGTTCTTCGTGTTGATGGGAGGTGTGGGGACGACCACGTCGACGTCGTGCTCTACTGGCCGAAGCTGCGTGGACGTGGTCGTGCTGGTGGTGATATTCTTACTACTAGTACCAGCTCCGGTCGTCGTTGTCATTGGGCCGCCCGCCCCGCTCTGGTCGTTGCTCGACACGGAGATCGTTTTCGCGAGTGAAATTCCGCTGGCACTGCTGGAGGGGCGGGAGGTGCTAGGGGTCCGCGAGCAGAGTGGGTCATCCACTTCATCGGCAGGACCACTTCCTGTAGAAGTTCTTTTAAGATTCGCTGACCGTGCTGCGGCTGCTGCTGATGGTTCTCCGCCGGGGGCGGTGCCCCCGGGTCTACTTGATATTTCATCCACTACATGATTGACGGAGACGTTTGCGCCAGAGTGGTCGCCGAAGACGACTCCATCAGCTTCGTTCACTTTTGGCTCCGGCGGTGGGGGTTCGCGAGGGTTGATGCTGTCCTTGGTAAAACTATCCGCGTTCATGATCTGTGGGCCACGATGAGCATCAAGGGTTGGACGAGCAACAGTGAGTTTGCTCTTGCTTGCTTTCGAAGATGAACTTCTTCGTCCCACCGGAAGCACACTCGTCGTAGTGGTGGCCGATGTTGCAGCCGAGTTAGTAATATTCTGCCCTGGAGGTGCAGCAGCAGCAGCTCCTCCACCTCCTCCTGCGCCGACAATACTACTACTACATCCTCCGTGGCGGTCGTAAGGCTCTCTCGCGGCTAGATATTCGCTCGCGTCTACTTCCCCTCTCACCATCTGCTGTGTCCAAATCGCCTCCTGGCCCCCGGGGAGCCGGCCCGTGACCGGGTCGGGGTTGAGGAGGGGGTCGGCGTTCTTCCCGTTCAAGTAGAGTGGGATGTCCCGCACGTCGAGGAACTCCTGCAACTCCTCCACCGCGGAGAGAAATCGGAACTTGTACAGCGTGGCGGGATTCAAAAACAGTCGCGACAGCGTGTTTGTCGGCGCCCGGATCAGCCAGTGCATGTTTACGATCAGAATGTGGGCCATGGACTCCGGAAAAAGGTGCCGTGTGTGATTCGCGACGTGCTTTAGAAACGTGCGGAGCCAGGACTGTTTTGAGATAATTTTGAGACTGGATTTACAGTATTTGGGGCATAGTTGGAAGATATGAGTAGAACTTAGAAGACGATTGCTTCACCTTCATCTGAATATGTTCACACACAAGTAGAACTTTCGCCGTCGGCAGAGATCGTGGTGAGAAAAAAATGTTTCACAGTTCAGTATCGTACCAGCGCCGAAACCCCCATGTTGGCTAGGTCCACGATGAGCAACACGCGGTCGACAATTTTCCCCTCCATCAGGGAGAGGTGCCGCATCTGCACCGTGCCCATGTACTCCCAAATTCGCATCCAGCACCGGGCACAGACCTCCAGCGGCAGTTTCTGCAATTCCGCAAAGTCGCTGTAGCCGAACCGGGTCCAGAGCACGGCGTACTGCCCTTTTCTGGAGACTCGGTTGCTGAAACCGTAGCCCAGCAGATTCCGGAACAGCCGAACGTGCGTTTTGTTGAACTTTACGTCATATCAAATGCAAAAGTGTCTGGGTCTGGAAGATTCTGAAACTTGTCATGCACGTTTTGCATGAGCCATGATGTCTGTGATGCATACCCTAGCAATACAGATTTTTTGAGGGCTTCTTGATGCCTATAATTGCGCATGACAAATGCCTTCTCAGCGTAGCAAAAATTGCATTCCCTTTGCTACTCACGCAATACAGTTTTTTTTGGAATCCAAATGTAGCATCACAAGTTGCATTCTTCCAGACCCAGACATTTTTGCACTTGGTACGTCAAACAGTGCCTCCTTCAGCCGGTACTGCTCCCGGTACTCCAAACACTCCCGTAACCACGCTTCGCCCTTTTCCAGCAGCTCTTTCTGATTCTTCGGCTTCTCCTGCTTGGCCTGCCAGAGCATGCGCGTCGCAGTGTGGAACATCTGGGCGTACGCCGGGTGTGTCTCGGGGTTCTTGCCGTCATAATTAGAGTTACAAGCGGTGGTGGTCGTGCGCTCAATATCACCCGGGTCCTCGTGGTCCCCACCCGCCCTTGAAGAAGATGTAGTGCTACTTCCCAGGACCTGGTCGTACCCGAAGCTGGCGGCAAGTAGATTCAGGTTGTTTCTGAAGCAGTGATGGATGAACTGTCTGGTTTCTTCCTCGGACGCGAGGTAGTCCGGGTGCGCGGCCAGCAAAAACTTGTCTTGACGGAGCATGGTTCTTAGAGTGCGTAGTAGAAGTACACACTATAATCACTACTTCTAGTCCTGGTGCACGACCAGCGCCAGACTTACACAGCTATGTGGAGGTCATCGTCTCGCGCCGGCCTTGCTTCGATGTGGCTGGCGTTTGGTTCTTGGGGTAATCTAAGAAAAATGCGCGGCGTAATATAGGTACTTCTAGGAAGTACAGGATTACAATAGATGCGGGATGAAACATGGGTGTCGGGTGTCGACGTGATAATTTCATTCCGTAGCCACTTTGTTGTACTTCTTGTCCTGAAGGTGCTTAGAAGTCGTATTGTGATGGTGCCTTATCTTTTTGTTCCGGGCCTCAACATCTTCCAAAATTTGTATTCGGCAATATTTGGTCCGCTTCGGTACTGTAGCCGATACAATGCTCTCACTTTTATTTATCATAATGTTGTCTTCGTTATATTTCTCTTTGCAATTTCGTTTTCGCTCGATCGAAACACTACACCTTGTCCAGGCGATGATATCTCATCGCTTTAGTACTACCTCTGCAGAAGACAGACGTAGACTTCCGTTGGGGCTGCTACAATTGATTTATTTGAAATTGAAGGCCCACAATCGGCTTCGCATGCATTATATCGCTCTCGATGCTCTTGTCTTGTTTTCGACCTTTAGATAGAACTCGATACTTATGTGCATACGGAATGAAAAATATTTGACATTTGCATACGGATGAAATGACAATAGAGCCAGGAGTTGACAGACAGACTTCCTTGTTCTTCACTCAAATACCAGACCTGTGCCTGTGCGAGCGTGAGGCAAACCAAACCGACATATGAAGCAATTGTTAGAAAGTGCATGATGCCAGAGCACCGATTGGAGGCAGGACGACCGATTTTGCGTGTAAGGGTAATTATTTCTTACATTTAATAAATCAAAAAGTACATCATGCAGGTCACACACCTCGTCTGTTGGCATGTGCAAGCTGACGAGCAACTTTCATGTAAAAGACTTTCAAGGACACGGATGGTGCACGCTGGGGCAGCACTTTTTTGGGCGAAACCGCTCCAATGTGAGGAGCTGCTCCGCTTCGAGTTCGACAATATTTGTACTTTTCTCAGCGAAATAGGAAAGGTTTTCGTTTTTTAGGTCCTAATCCTACCCACAGTTTTCTTCATGTATTTATTTTACCGAGGCTCTAATTGTGCGTGGAGAGAGCAGGTCGTCTCAGTAAGCGGAATCTCATCATGTTCTTGATCGGCGCTCTCAGTGTATGGTTCTCGTGGGCCGCTGGTATTGCAAAATTGTTCGTGTTATACTGCTACAACTCATTTAGTGTGTGCCGCGTGCTTGAGCACTTTCATTTTTATGAGGTAGAGCTGCTGCACCACAACACAGATGAAGATCAAATTCGTTCATTAACTCTTCAGCACACGTGTAAGTATCCGTCAATCAGTTTGAGCAAATTCTTCTTCTCGTTTTTTTTTCGTGGATGTAACTGTAAGTACACACGCGCGTATTGATTCATATTCAGTCTTCTCGAGACATCGTTCGGCTCCTCATCCTCCTCCTGAAGCGAGAGCCCATTTTTCTTCCTCGTCTTGTACAAAGGGCTGGCCTTTCACCCACCTTTCCTCCCGTCCGGTGTTCTCGGAAAAGGACTCGGTCAGTACGTTCAAGCGTCAATACGTGCTACTTCTTCGTCAATAGAAGGCGGAGTATGCTGCTAGTACCAAAAAATGGTATAGTTTCTCAGCAGAACTACCACATGCACACGTCGCGTGGTCCGTGGTAATAAAAGTCAAATTTGGATAATTTTTTGGAGAAGAAAATATCATGCAAGTAATTATATGGCAAACATGCTCCGACCTGTTTTAACATCTAGAAATTTGTAGGGAATACAAAAGCCGCCGAATTTTTGCTGTACATTTTTTCTGCATCACTTTATTGTCAAGCGTTGGTTTGATTTTGAAGTGGAATAATCTCTCATGCTATATACGTCAAAAACATCTCGAGGTCAAACTGCTCGTGATAGATGGAGAAATACCGTACGCGCGCTTCTAGAATGACACTTCATCACTAGAAGTAGCCGCCGGTCTCTCTAACAGCTACGGCCTCGCTACTTTAAAAAGTAGACACGAAGAAGAGGTCATCTGTAGGACGGAGTGCTTGCTTAGAAATGTGAAGTAGATGTTGCTCGTAGAGGGCAAAGGTGCCGGCTCACCACTACTAGGAGCTTAACATGAAATAAATGGTAAATATAAAAGTTTTAATAATTTGGATTTTTCATATAAATAAACAACAAGAGAGAACTTCAGATCGGAATAAGAGATGATCCAGGCTCGTCATTTATGTATCTCCGCGGTTCCGTATATTACGTCTTCGTGGTTCATCGTAAGTGCCATCTGACCCCTTCGCCTTTCGGCTCCTCCAGACTGAGAGCAAAAAACTCTCACCTTGGTGGAGAGAGATGATTCTCCTGCGGCATTATCATTCTTCAACCCCATTGAACTTCCAATGCTCTTCCAATTTCATTTGCTGCTTCACATTCGGGTTGAGGACGGTAAGGTCGAGAATTGCCGTACCGATGAAAAGGGGAAACATGGTCCATCCACTTACCGCCGGAAAGAAGAGAACCCAGCTCAACCACAAAGCCCCGCCAGCCCAGCCCATCACGAACACAAACAGTGCCAGGGACAAAATAAGCAGGAAAACCAGGACGGTCAGGAAGCCGGCTCCCGCGCCCGCTAACCCGTTGAGCAGCTTCCCGGCGAGCGAAGGAGACATGCGCGACCGTGCCAAGAAACGCTTCCTCGTGGAGAAGAGGGTTGTCATGACGTTCAAGTTATGAATTGCAAAAGTGTCGCACTGGTATAAATGCATTACAAATTTCCTCAGCATGAGAAATAAAATTTGTATATGCGGATTTAGATTTACCTTAGGATTTGTAATGCATGATTGCAATACCAATACGAGTACGATACTTTTGCACAGGATATAAATACACATTCGGGAACGAGGTCGCGCGGACGAAGTCGGAGCTCTGCTCCGGCATATCCTTATGGAAGCGTCAGGTTTGAAATCGTCAAAGTTGAAATAATTTGTAATGCATAAAATGCGACACAAAACGTGACTCTATTGCAGAGGACCCACGGGAGGCAGATTATAGATATAGTCCTGGTAAGGGTCAAAAGTTGGACTGCTAACTAGCATGACAGAAGGTGCTGCAACCTCAGCTATCGATGAAATCGCAACGAGATCCAAAAACGTTTGATCAAGATTTTCGAGATTTGAAAGCCAAACACGACGAGAAACCGTAGTCCGGCAAAACTGGGGCACTCGGAAAGCGAAAAGATTTCTCATGCTGTTTTGAATTATTTTCTCAGTGTCCTTCTGTGGAGTGCAAGTATTTATTTGAAAACGAAAAGCACTCACTCTCAACATCGCGCTACTCGGGATTTGTTCGACTTCGTTGTAGAATTTCGCATTTTGGAGTCTCTTCGTTTACATCGGTACAGCATAGAGTTGTGGGCATTTCGCATCACAGATTACATTTTTTTTAGGACTTAAAAATAAAACCTACAGTGGTCACACTGCGAAACTAGTGCAAAAATGGCAGCGGCTTCATACTTTAAGGCGGGGAGAACCGTAACAGTAGACGGGGAAAAATGTATTTTCGTCGACAACCTGCACAACCTGGACAACACGAGGGCCAGCACGGTGCGAGATAAGGTTTTTGTGACGAAGTGCCCCGATGGCACAGCAGACGGAGAGGAAGATGTGGCGTACGACGGCGAGAAATTCTTTGTGCGGGTGTTCAACACCCAGAAGCGATGCTTGAAACCTGAGACCGCGACTTCGTACTTCGGGGCCGCCGCCGCGACGACGGCTATCGGGCTGAAAATTAAAGCACTCGCGAAGGATTTGGATTTGGACGCGTACGACCCACCTGCTCCCGCTGCTGCATCTACAACAACCTCGACCGCCACCGCTGCCACGACGCCTGTTACAGCTGCCCCATCCAAACAAGACCGTCCGCAACTGCCAAAGTGGGATGGGAAAGAAGATCTTGATACCTGGACGCAACTGGTGAACATATGGCGCCGCGAGATGACCACGCTCGGGCACAGTGAGACAGTTTCTGACTTTCTTTCAGCAATTCCACAGAAGGGCCGGGCCGTGATTGTCAAACGAGCAGAAGACGCGACTACGCTGACCATCGACGCTGCGATGGATCTTGATCCTGGAGGAGAAAATCAAGGGCGACATAAGATTTCAGGTTTTTGGTGTTTTGGCAGAATTTTTCCTCTACCGCAGAGCCAGCAAGGCTACTATCCACGACCACCTCGCAAAGGTCAACGACTACCGCAAGCGCGTAAAAGTGGCTTTGGGGTGTACTTCCGACCCGTTTCCGGGCGAGTTCTGGGGTTGGTATATGTTGTTCACCTGTTCGGTCGATGATAGTGAGCTGCAGAACTTGAAGACGATGATCGGAGGGGATTTCAAGTCGCGAAGCGTCAGCGATGCACTTGTCGCCTACTACCACAAGGGCAACCTCAATGGGGGCGCTTCTACCGAAACGAAGGAAAACACGCTCTCCACGCAGATTGAGGAGGTGGCGAACAAGATGCAGGCCGCTGGGAGGTTTGGCAAGAAACCGACGACGGGCGGAGGAGATGAAAATCGCAGACCGCGATGTGAACACAAAGACAAATGCAATAGAGTTCTTCGCGGCAATTGTCCCAACTACCATCCGGGGTGGGAAATTGCGAAAATGAAGAAGAAGGAGAAAGCAAACGCCGCTACCGAGGAGAAAAACAAGGCCGACAAGGATCGGTCCCCAGAAGATCCCTGACTATTTTCTGCTTACACAGTAGAAACAGGGGCGGACTACGTGCACATAGTGGACTTCCCATGCCGTGGGAGCTCGGGGCCAGACGATTCCGAGTGGGTACCTGCGGAATATGTGCAGACGCCCAACTCTGGGGGCGCTGTTTTCAGTGCTTCTACGAGTGTCGACGGCGTAGCTCGATTCCTGTTAGACGGTGGAGCCACCAACCACTGTGTGAATCGAAGCGATCTTGTTCTTACCAAAACGGGCCAACAGCGACAATCGCGAGGCATTTGCGGTGGGTGCTCGGTGGATGTTGCTCACCTTCGCTCCCTGTCGTTCGACCGTGCTTCAGTAGGAATTGTTGCGCTTGGGGCAATTTTCTCCGAGCGATTAACCCAGAACATTTTATCCGAATCCCGATTGCTAGATGGCGGATGGAGATTTGCTTCCGACAAATCACACTTGTGGCACAACTCAAAACCGGGGGAAACGGTTCCAATCCTTCGGTCCGGTGGGTTGTTCTTTCTCGATGTTAAGGTGCCGGACATCGCGTTTGATCCGGAGACACGACCTGCATCTACTTCAACTTGCGACGACTTCAGTTCTTTGGTGCGGATTATGGCGACGACCTTGGAGGAGCATTGGCGCTGCGGACACTTACCACTATTGCCACCGGGCGAGTGTGATGCCTGCGACCGAACTAAGCGACAGCGCAAGGGCATCAGGCGAACGATGGCTGACGACCGTACTCAGCTGGCGGGAGTGGTCGGTGGCCACGGATCTGGCTGGACCTTTGCAGGAAAGCAACGACGGCAACAAATTTCTGCAACTGTTCAAACAGCTGGATACCCTTGACGTGGTGCCAACCTTCTGCAAAACGAAACACGCTACGAGCACGCGGAGCAACCTGAGGCGCTACCTACAGGTCCGGAACAAGCCAAGAATTATGAAAAGCGACAACGGAAAGGAATTCATGGGGGCGTTTGCGGAGGAACTGACAAACCAAGGCACTCAGTCACGACGCTCACCCGAATACCTGGCGCATTTCAATGGAGGAGTCGAAGTGGAGAACCGCATTGGTATCCAGGGCGCTGCGTGCATTTTGTACGATTCCGGCGCACCTTTGGAATACTGGCCGCACGCGATGAAGTATTTTTTCTATACTTTGAACCGCATGCCAAGAGCGTCTTTGGGAAACAAATCACCACACGAAGAGCGCACCGGAGTGGCGCCGACGAGCAAACATCTCCAGGAATTTTGGCACTTGGGTTGCTACCTTGTTTTGAACCCGGAACACAAAAAGTCCAAAACTGAACCGAGACGCCGACCCTGTCGACTTTTGTCGTATTGTTTCGACAAGAGAGCCTGCAACGTGCTGGATTTTGAGAGCGGCAAGACTCTGCCAGTTTACGACGTTGCATGGGTGAAAAACGCAACTTCGCACCGACTCGCACCAGGCAAAGAAATTCTTCACAACGACGGAGACAAGAAGACTTTCGACGAAGACGATCCTGATCAGATCGAGAGCCTGATGTTTATGGGCGAGCCGGATTTGTCATTTTCGGCGGAAGAAATGGCGAAGTGCGACGAGTTAGTGGATTCGTCCTACGTGGCGAAGTATCTAACCGCTAACAGTGCTGGAATCGGACTAAACGAGGCTATGGCGGATACAACAAACAAAGAAAACTGGATTGGAGGAATCCGGACCGAGTGCCGCGCGGTGGACCAGTCATGGGTCTGGGTGAAACTACCACCGGGAGCGCGCGCACTCCCTAGCAGGATCATTCTCACGCTGAAGGATGATGGACGTTCTAAGGCCAGAATCGTCGTCATCGGGTTCTTGCAGACAGTACACGCAGGCCGGTGACAATTCGACTTACGCCCCGACCTTGATGGCTGACAGCTTCCGCGCTGTGCTTGCTATCTGTGGCAAAATGGGTTGGGAGCCGGAAGGCGCCGACGTTTCCACGGCGTTCCTGCTTGCATGCGGAAATTCCAGAGGGTGAAGCTATTTACGTCCTCCCACCGAAGGGGTGGATCCCGAAAACCGAAGAAGACCGCGAAAAGATGGCGGGCGGCTACGTTTAGAGGCTTGTCCGTGCTTTGTACGGATTGCGAAAAAGTCCGAAATACTGGTCGACCCACTTCAACAAGATCGCGGCTACCAAGTTCAATTTTATCCGATGCCCATCGGATTTGTGCATCTACATCTACGTGAGTAGCGATGGGAAAATCACCATCGTCCTGGTTTTTGTTGATGATCTTGTTTTCGCAGGACAAACATGAAGCCAAAAAGGTGAAGAAGATGGTCCTGAAGGAGTTCCCCTGCCGTGATTTGGGGCGTCTGAGTGAGTTCTTGGGCTGCCAGATTATCTACGAAAGCAGGTGCATTATTCTCAATCAGGCCCGGTATGTCGAAAAATTCACTCGCAAGTTTGGAGTTTCGGAGAAGGGCGCGCCGACCCCGATCGAGAACAAATTGTCCCTCGAAGGTGATCTTGCTCCAGCCGACAACCTGCAGCGCCAGATCCTGGGGACCTTGGGATATTTGCCGAACATGTCGAGACCGGATTTATCATTTTGCCAGGGACACTCTGCGCGATTTGTTTCTCGCCCACTTGTCGCACATGTTTCAGCCCTGAAGCATTACATGCGGTACGTAGCGGGGACCAAGAAGTCGCGGGCGGTGTATGGCCCACCTGACCCAGCCACACCGTTCGAAATCTCTGCCAACAAGGACCGCGACTGGAAGGGATGCAAGGAAACAGGACGATCAACGGGCGGCCACCTCATCGCGATTAGCAATTCACTGGTGATTTGGTCTTCGAAGCTGATGCTGGACAACGTAAAAATCAATGTCTTCCACGGAAGCGGAATACTGCCAGCTCACAGCCTGCGCCAAGGATGTAGTATTTTTGCGCAGCCTGTTCGCATGGTTTTCGGAACACGATAAACGCTTCACGCTTCAGAAGGGACCGAGCGAAGTAGAGGAGGACAACAAAGGTTCGTTTGACTTCGTACAGGGTTCAAACACTGGGAACAGCAAGAAGATGCGACACCTCGACCACCGCCAGCACTACGCACGGGACTGCGTTGAACGCGGAGTGATTTGCGTTAAGAAAGTGGCTACTACGGAGATGGCTGCTGACGTGATGACTAAGCCCGCGCCTTCTCGTCGTAAATTGGTGGAGGCGTTGAAGAAATTCAACTTTCGCATCGAGTAATAGAGTGAGGATTTATTTGGGGTTTCGAAGTGATGAAGTATTTTGGTGTGAAAAATCTCGTTTGTGATTTTGGGGGCGTATGCTGCAACCTCAGCTATCGATGAAATCACAACGAGATCCAAAAATGTTTGATCAAGATTTTCGAGATTTGAAAGCCAAACACGATGAGAAACCGTAGTCCGGCAAAACTGGGGCACTCGGAAAGCGAAAAGATTTCTCATGCTGTTTTGAATATTTTCTCAGTGTCCTTCTGTGGAATGCAAGTATTTATTTGAAAACGAAAAGCACTCACTCTCAGCATCGCGCTACTCGGGATTTGTTCGCCTTCGTTGTAGAATTTCGTATTTTGGAATCTCTTCGTTTACATCGGTACAGCAGAAGGCAGCTCTTTTTCCCTTAACCGCATGACAGACCCGCTTCCAGGACCGGGGAAATTTGTCATGCGCCGACTACAAACTGTAGGTCTAACTGGTATCCGTTTTATGCATGACAAACTATCTCAACTTTGACGATTTCAAACCTGACACATCCATAATCCTGCAGCATTCGGTACAGCGACTTGTCGCGGCTTAGTTGCGGATGCGAAGCATGTTCCACATGCATGCTTTTCGCATTCTTGTAGGGATCAGAAACGTTGATGGGGAGCTTAGGGAGGAGCACCGTCACCGTCGTCCGCGGGTTGGTATCCTGTGCAAAAGCATCGCGTTCGTAGTAATTCTAATTGCAGTCATGATACATTACAAATTTTTTATTTCGTAAGGGAAATCCGCGTGACAAATTTTATTTCTCATGCTGAGGAAACTTGTAATGCAATTATGCGAATACGATACAGATACTTTTGCAGTTCATAGTTGGCCACCTGCTGCAACACCTTCAGGAACTGGTCCCAAATGTTCGCGACGAAATCTACGAGCACCGCATTCGCATCTCTTCCCTCCCGTTTTGGATCCTCAGGGCCGATCTTCAACTGAGCCTTCTGCAGCGGGACCCGGTCCTTCATCCTGCCCGGTCCTTCAGAGAACGCCATCCCCCCGAGGTCGAGCGCCTGCACTATGGGATTCTCAATTGTTACACTGCCAACTGTTACATGAATTTGTAATGCTAAACCGACCGAAACCACAAACGCAACACATAGGGCACCTTTCCGAATTTGTAATGCAAGAATGGCAAAGAAATGCAAAGATGGAGTGTCGTGCTCAAAGAAGCTCGCGGTAGGCGACAGAAAAGCCGAACCCGCTCCGAATGCTCTCGGTTGCTCCAGATTTTTCATGATGACAAAAAAGAAGAAAAAACGCAAAAAAATCATGAAGGAAAAATGACGCAGCCTCGTGGTCTTTATTGTTTTGGCGTGGGTTGCTCGTGCGTATGAAGATCCTTCTTCTGATGCGATTCAAAAACTCCGTGTTTACTTACCCCTTGCAGATAAACATAAATTTGTCATGCGAACAAGTAGCTTCACCGTGTGGATGTTGTTCTTGTTGTTGATGCTGATTTTGCATGACAAATTATGTAACAGATGAGAACGTAATGTCAGAGAGTCCCATATTCACCTTGTCCGCGAACTTTCTCTTTCTGTCTTTATCGAAAGGGTCGCTGTTGTGCCACTCGCGGTTCCCGTTTTGAGGTAAGAAGAGCAGACCACCGTCTTGGATCAAAGATACCTCGAACCCCTCCACAATATCAGAACGAAAAATCCCCCCCGCCCCAAAAATATCGCACCGATCTAAGCATCGAAATCTATCACGCGGCGGGGTTTCTTGCCGCGTACGCAAATCAGTTTTGTCTTGCAGAAGTTGGGGACTTCTGTATCTGTAGGCAAAGTCTAAGCCTGGGTACTTACTAGGGATATCGCAACGTAGGAACTTCGCATGGTAGATGTCCGCCCTACTAGCGCTATATGGCCACCAACATCACAAATAACAGCCTGCATACATATTGCGGCGGACTTTGTGGGCGGGTAGTTGCCTTCTTGCAAGACAGGAACGTCGTCGATTTGTGGTCACAAATCAACATTCACATTGCAAATTTTCACTAGCGCACTTTTTCAGTATAATCGGGAGGAGGGACAATTTTCCCCTACGATAAACATCCTCCGGGCGCAAGACGATGTCCTCTTGGTCACCGTGTTCTACTTCAGAAGGAGCCGGTCCCCCACTGAATCTGGTGGACAACGCGCCGCTCGCCAGTTTCTTGACCTTCAACGCTAGCGCCTCGATCTTGGCCTCGGAGCGGTTTTCTGCCGCCTCCTTTTTCTGCGTGGCCTGAGCCAACCGGCGCTGGGCGAAGCGGCGTTTCACACTGTTCGCCGACTTCTTGAAATAGTGCACGGGGTTAGGGATGATGGTCCTGCCCAGCTTTTTTGGAGATTTTTCCATGTAGTCCGGGAAAAGGTCAGGGGCGCCGGAGTGCAAGTCAACCACTCGGTTTTGGATGGAGAAGGAGGATTCGCCGGCAAGCATGCGCCTTCGCTGAATCTCTTCCTCCGCGTTTGTCTCCACATCGTTCGCTTTCTCTTTCAGCAGCACCGCTCTGGTACTGTCGTACACCTTGCTGGCGATCGCTTCTTATCAAATGCAAAAGTGTCTGGGTCTGGAAAGAATGTGATTTGTGATGCTAGCTGTCGATCACACAAAAATCTGTATTGCATGAGAGGCAAAAGGCGCTCAGATTGTTGCTACTCAAAGAGGGCACTTCTCATGCGGAATAGGCATGAGCAAACCTATGCGATGAAAGCTGTGATGCTAGAGAATAATGCATTGCAGGCATCGGACGCCATGTACAATTTGCATGACAAACTCTCCAAATCTTCCAGACCCAGACATATTTGCATTTCATACTTCTGGAATATCGCGGTCGAATGCCCAATCCCTTTCCAAAGTGTACTCCATGTCGTGGAGATGGTCAACCTCTGTGTCGGGCGGAGCATCCCCATCATCGACGAGTCGTAGCCAGTAGGCCCCTATCCTGTGCAAAAGTATCGTACTCGTAGTAATCGCAACCATGCATTACAAATTTTTTTCTGAAGCTAAATCCGCATGACAAATTTTATTTCTGATGCTGAGGAAATTTGTCATGCGATTTATACTAGTACGATACTTTTGCAATGCATAGCCCCGCTCTGCGCTGGGTTCCTGGCTTTCACGTTCACGCGCACCCTTTGCAGTATGGAGGTCTCAAGCGTTACATTGTCAGCTGTGCATGATTTGTCATGCAAAATTGCTATCAGCTTCCAGTTCCACACCATAACGCTGGCTTGCATGACAAATTCTTGAAGGCGAAAGGGTAATGAAAAAATAGCATCGAAATCCGTTCCAAATTTGTATGCAAGACGAGGACGGATGAAAATATCCCTGGCCAGTTTTGCAATTCTTGCATTACTATTATAGTAAATGCAAGAATTATTGCAAAAATTGCAAAATTCATGTAACACTTGAGGATGTAACGTTTGAGAGCAGCGTCATATGCAGGGGACGGACTGCAGGTGTCCAGGGGTCCAGTGGTGTTTTCCCTTTATGGTCGTCAACCGTCAGCGGAAAAAATTGAAAATGGAAGATATGGTGCGCTCAACTGTTACATTCTCAACTATTATTTGTGATCTAAAACAACCGCGCCGACATTGCCATTGTCCATTATCGCTGGGGAGGCAAGCCTCCGCAGGCGCGGGAACATGAATTTGTGATGCAAGAATTGAAAAAGTGGACGGGGTGACCTTGCGTGTCTTGCATGACAGATTTGGAACAGTTCCCCAGCCTGTTTGGCCCTTCAGGAATTTTGCATGACAAATCATGTAACGGTTGAGAATGTAACATTTGAGAACGCCATAGAAGAACAAGCCAAGCTGCAGCTCCCACCAAATATAGCCATCTTTACCTTCAGAGGTCTCCGCGACTAGGCTTTCGAGGCGCGCTGCAATTTCGGAGTCGGCTTTTTTAATATTGAACCAGCTGCCCTTATGGAGGCGTCAGGATCGGAATCAACAAATATCGAAATGACTTGTGATGCATACAAATCGATACCACCTGGAGCCTCAGTTTCCAAAGAACGGCGCAGGACAAATTATGGAAGGACCAAAATCCAATCTGCCGCACTGTTTGGGCAAAGAAGACTTCTGCTCCTGTCATGCTACTCTCGCAGCGCATCGTCTTCCCCCAAAGAACAGGCTTGCAATCGGTCTCAATTGCCTGCAGCTCCCCAATACTGGCAATGCGTGCCTTACATTTTATGCATTACAAATTTTTCGAATTCGATTTTGTCGATTTCGAAGATCCTGACACCCCCATAGCCCTTCCCGCCAACCTCTTTCAAAATACCACCCTTGGCATATGGAGTTCTCAAATCGGTTACCTTCTCAGATGTTTTTACATGAATTTGTAATGCAAGAATCGCAAAGAAAAGCGTAGGCGAAAATGGGGAGCTTGGGCTTGCGCTTTATTGTGCATCACAGGTTTGACTACACAGATTCTGTCTAATGCTATTTGGCGCGTCGGGAACTTCAACTTGTCAACATGCGAGGCAGCCTGATCATGTACCTACTGATGGCCATTTTGCATCATTATAAATCGTGCAACACCAGTTGAGACTGTAACGTTTGAGAATCCCGTATGGCAACGCGATACAAGGTCGGGGCATGGGTCTGAAAGACCTCCTGCTTCTCCTGGTCCGGGGCGTCCAAGTCTTGGGGGTCACTCACGTTGTAATATCCTCTCGAAAATATGAAACGTACCCGCCTCATTGTCAAAACGATCCTACATAACATGATTTTTGCTATACGTACTACACAAAGGAAGTAAAACAAACTCCGGGTAGTTCTTGTTACGCATGACAACTTTCATCATCTTGGACGCTCTGCAGCGTTCGAGCCGTGCAGCTTGTTTTTGTTGGCTTTTACTAGTGCAGCGACATCAGTCTCCTCCCCGAGGACGCCCTGGTTAATATGAATAAGTAGTTGGGCTGCAGTAGTTAGAAGAGCATGACATATAAACTTGAAATCACCAAGATTTTTACCCTGCACCAGAAAACACGGTGACAAATAAATGGTGCCCATCAGCACAGGGCTGCTCCTGCGCATCGGCATCATCATCAGCACCGAGTTGTCGCCGGTCTCGCTGGGTGCACACAGGCTCGCGTCCCCTCCGGGGAGTGGGCAGCAAGGCCAGATCTAGAGCCAGCGGGCGGGTGGCGGGCGCATGAGACCCATTCTGGGCTTGACGTGTGGCCGTGGCCGTGGCATGCAGGACAAGAACAAATACAGAGTGGGTACGTTTCTAAAATTCCGGATACAATAATGCCACGACCAAACGAAAAGTAGCCTTTTTTCGCAAGATCCCAGGGGTTCTCCCAATCCTGCAGCCAACGCGCATCATTTTCTCGCAGCCCTTTCCAGTGCCCCAGAACCAAACTCCCAGCGGGAAGGTCCAGGAGCTGCAGAAACGTAGCGGCGCCCTTGCGACGCCTATACATTGTAGTAAGTCGGACTCGGAGTTCAGGGTTTAGGGTTGGTTCCGGCTGGTAGGTGTAGACGAGATGCCGATAAGCAGGGGATGGAGAGAACAAGTCATTATCTTCGCGAAACTGGCGCCAGACCTCCGCCCATTTAAGAGCGACACCCTTCTCCTCGTTGTCGGCCAGCTGCACTAGTGGGTCGCGGTATTTGCGAAGCCACTGGCTTATGAACTGCAAAAGTATGGAGGTACGTCCGTCAAGTGGAGACTACAGTGGCACGCTTTTCAAAGTAGATAGGGTATCTACTTTTTGGTAGATACGGTTTTCAGAAATTTTGAAAATTGTATCTACTTTCATTTCGGGTATTTTGGGATTGATCCTTGGTTTTTCAAGGATCAATCCTTGGCAATCCAAGGATTGATCCCAAAATAGCCGAAATTGAAGTAGATATGATTTTTGAAAGAACACGCGAGCGATTTGCTGTCTCGACAACGAAGAAGGGTCTGCTACGTTGTCAGAAACAGCAAATCGCCTAGGCAAAACGAAGGAGGAACACCCAGCAAGCAAGAAATGGGCCGCGACGATACCAGGGCCGTGCATCCAACTCCGTGGCCGGGCACTGCGCAAAGAAAGCGCTAAAGCAATCGCAACGCAAGCGCTCTCGCCTTCGAAGGAGCAAGGAATTACCGCGGGGCGTCTTCGCTCAGTGTCTGTGTCTGCGCCCTGGCATTGGGCTCCGGCCCCATTGGCGCGCGGCGCCCCGCCGTTGTGTTTCTCTGGGGTTTGCTCTCGTTGATCGCTGTGGCATTGCTATCGGCATGACTATGAGACGGGGGCGCGCGCAGACACTGCCGGTGGCCTTGGCGCGCGGGCGTGTGCCTGTGCGTGTATGAGAAGAAACATGGCAGGCGCGCGAGCACAATGGCAACCAAAGGGCAAGAAGGCCGCCGCGGCTCTTCCTTGCTTGAGTTCAGTTCTTGCGCTTTTCTTTTTCAGCGCGGCTCTTTAAAATAATTTTACTCGCACCCGGGCACCGGAACGAAGTGAGACCTTCCCGGCCCTCAAAGGAATCCCATACCCGCGAGCACGGAGTAAGATTTTCCAAGCTCCAAAACCTCCTGCCCTGGCGGCCAGGGCATGAGACTTATTCGCCCAGCACCGAAACCCAATGCCCTGGCGGCCAGGGCGTGAGGTTTTCCCGGGTCCGAAATATTATACCCGCGAGCAGGGCGTGAGATTTTCCCAGCTCCGAAAGCCCATGCCCTGGTGGCCAGGGCACGCGTGAGATTTTCCCGGCTTCAAAAAATCATGCCCACGAGCAGGGCATGAAATTTCTCCGGCTCCAAAATCTCACGCCCTGGTGGCGGGGGCATGAGATTTTCCCAGCTCCAAAATCTCACGCCCGGGTGGTCAGGGCGTGAGGTTTTTCCCGCTTCAAAAAATCATGCCCGCGAGCAGGGCACGAAGTCTTTACTTTTCCGGCCGAAAATCTCACACACGCCCTGGTGGCGAGGCCGTGAGGTTTTTCCGGGTCCGAAGTCTCATGCCCTGGCGACGAGGGCGTGGGGTTTTCTCGGCTCCAAAATCTCATACCCGCGAGCAGGGCATGAGATTTTTCCGACTCCGAATTGAAATCGCATGCCCACGAGCAGGGCACGCAGGAGATTTTCCCGGCTGCAAAATCTCACGCCCTGGTGGCGAGGGTGTGAGGTTTTCACGGCTCCAAAATCTCATACCCTGGTGGCGAGGGCGTGAGGTTCTCCCGGCTCTGAAACCTCACGCCCACGAGCAGGGTGGGCGGCAGATTTTCCCGGCTCCAAAATCTCATGCCCGCGGGCAGGGCGTGAGATTTGCCGGGGCCCAAAATCTCACGCCCTGCCCGTGGGCATGAGGTTCTCCCGGCTGTAGATCTCACGCCCTGATTGCTCGTGGGCGTGAGATGTTCCGCGCAGCGCAATCTCATGCCCTGGCGGCGAGGGCATGAAACTTCCCCGGCTCCCAAATCTTATACCCGCGAGCACGGCTTGAGATCTTCCCGGCCCCCTCCAAAGCCTCACGTGGCCACGGTATGAGATTTTCCCGGCCCCCAAATCTCACTCATACCCGCGAGCACGGCGTGAGATTTTCCCCGCCCCCAAAGCTCACACACCCCCACGACGAGCAGGGCGCTCAGGCGGAAAACACCCGGGCGGTCCCGCCCTCTAATGTTCTTCTAATTTTTCCGGTTTTGTTAAAAAAACAAAGACCACAAGTCCCCGCCGAAAGACCCATCGAAAAGACGAGGTCGGGACATGGGCCAAAACAGGAAACAGGCGAGACGGCACAAAGACAAGAACCCCACAAACCGGACAGGGCGACCCAAGCCAGGAAGATAATAGAGAAGGAGGCGGGACAGGACAAGAGATCATCCCGATCACCTTCGTGTCGGATCATCGCCACGATTTGATATGATGATCCGACATGGGCGACAGGATGACCTTTTACGAAAACCGGCCCGCTGCACCCGGCCTCTAGTTTCGGCCTCTAAAGTTGGCCTCTAATTTTGTCCTCTAAAGTGCGCTCCTAATTCTGGCCTCTAAAGTGGCCTTTTAAAATGGGCCTCTAAAGTAGGCCTCTAAAGTGCGCTTCTAAAGGGCGTCTCTAAAATGCGCCTCTAAAAGGCGACTCTAAAAGCGCCTCTGAAAGCGCCTCTAAAATGTCCTCTAATTTCCCCTCTAAAAACCGCCTCTAATTCTTTTGCGCGCACGGCAGTTTGAGAACTTCTAATAGTTCTCTAAAATTGCCGATAGCGCAAAATCCCGCACAAAGTCGCTATAATGCGACTTTAGAAGATGTCAGAGAGGAAATCGAAACGCCGAAAGCGGAAGCGAAGCCGGAAGATTTCCGGCTCCCTTCCGCGAAGTTCATGCTCATGTTCGAAATCATCGAACACCATCTCGATGCTCTCGAGCATGAGCATGAGCATTCTTTTCGGACTGGCCGATATTGAAAAATATTGAACACCATGTCCAGCATGACAGACAAAAAAATCCTCCATGAGATGCGAAGCGGCGGCGCGCGCCGCCTCGCATCTACATTTTCCTAAGCTAATGCCCTCCCCTACCACCTGAGCGATTTCGCTTCTCCCTCCACCCAGAACCCCCACCACGCAAAACACAATCGCGCCCAGAATTAAAATTTCGCGGCGCCGACTATCGAAACAAAACGGGCCGAGTTTTTAAATTTTAACTCTGCCCGACGCCAGGCAGGCAAACAAACACCGGCAGGGGAAGGGCCTGCCGCCTGCGCAACCAAAACCGGGGGCGCCGGGGTGGGCGCTTCGGGGCAAGGCTCGCCTCGCCCGGAAGCGAAGCCATCACGGAGCGGCGGGCCGGGCGCCCGGATTTTTTGAAATCCCGGGAAAACTAGCCAGATTTTAGAACGGAAATCCGCCCAGGGTGTCTCCGCATGAGGGCGCGAGATTTTTCCGGCTCCGAAATGTCATGCCCTGGTGGCGAGGGTGTTGGATTTCCCCGGCTCCAGGATCGCGGTCGCCCAGGTTCGGAGAGGCCGACGGAGGCCGGGCGCCCGCGGGAAGGTAGAACTCGGGCGCGGGGAAGAGGAGGGCGGGCGCGACGGACCGAGGGAGGAGGAGGCCAGGCGCAGGACGGAGGAGGAGACCCACACGGCCGTGGCGGAGAAGGCCGGGTCCGGGAGGGTGGAGCTTCCCGGGCGCGGGAAGGTGGAGGCCGGATTGGGGTGCGGGGGGGCGGCCTCGGGGAAGAGGAGGCGGGGGGGGCGCGGGGTGGAGGACGTAGGCCGGTTAGTTGGCAGGCGGTGGTCGCTCGGGCTTTTGCACTTGGCCTTGTTTTTGGCATTCGTTGCACTCTCTCACACAACAGGCGCGGGCGCGATACCTCCGCAGGGGACAAGCAACACACCAAGCCGAGCAGCGCACGCCCCGCCGCCGTTGCTTCCGGATGCCGCCAGAAACGGCGCGGCGGGCAGCGCCTGAGCCTTGCGAGCCTTGTCGGATCGCCCCCCATTGCCCAACCGCGCCCGCCGTATTCCCCGGCCCCTCGAGGCCAGCCTGCGCGCTGCTTCGGCATGGGGGGCGTTTTCTCCGTGAGGAGGCAGGGGGGGCATAATGATCGCGAAAAGTATTGGCATCTGGTCAATTTAGGACTTTATCCTTATTGATGGTCCAAAACCTAGATCGCAAAAAAATGTTTGGATGATCGCAAAAAAATATTTGGAAATGGGCAATTTAGGATTTTATCCGTTTTGATGCTCCAAATTCTAGGTCACTGACCTAGGAGACCCGGGATCTCCTAGGTCAGTGATCTAGAATTCCCGGGAATTCTAGATCACTGACCTAGGAGATCCCGGGTCTCCTAGGTCAGTGACCTAGAATTTGGAGCATCAAAACGGATAAAATCCCAAAAGAGCCATTTTCAAATATTTTTTTGCGATCATCCAAGCACTTTTTTGCGAGGGAAATCTAGATCGCTTGATCTAATACATAGATCCCGGATCTATTAGGTCAGCGATCTAGGTTTTGGAGCGTCAATAAGGATAAAGTCCCAAATTGGCCAGATGCCAATATTTTTTGTGGCCACAATGCCATTGCTCATAGCATTGCTCTTGATACTGCCATCCGTTGCATAGTCGCGAACTCTTCCCCAAAACCTATATAACAGAAACGAGGAGGACTTAGCTGCTGAAGGTTCACGAAACACACCACTTAACCCAAGAAAGCCGAAAAAGCAATCTCATATCGCCTCCCCTGTCGTCTACCAAAACCCGCCACGCCTCCCCTTCCCCGAGCCCGCCCCCCCGCACCCAAATCCGGCCTCCATCTTCCCGCGCCCGGGAAGTTCCACCCTCCCGGACCCGGCCTTCTCCGTCAAGGAGTGGGTCTCCTCCTCCGTCCTGCGCCTGGCCTCCTCCTCCCTCGGTCGCGCCCGCCCTCCTCTTCCCCGCGCCCGAATTCTACCGTCCCGCGGGCGCGCGCCCGGCCTCCGTCGGCCTCTCCGAACCCGGGCGACCGCGATTCTGGAGCCGGGAAAATCTCACACCCCCGCCACCAGGGCATGACATTTCGGAGCCGGAAAAATCTCGCGCCCTGCTCGTCGTGGGGGTGTGTGAGGTTTTGGGGCGGGGAAAATCTCACGCCGTGCTCGCGGGTATGAGTGAGATTCGGGGGCCGGGAAAATCTCATGCCAACCATGGCCACGCGAGGCTTTGGACGGGGCTGGGAAGATCTCAAGCCGTGCTCGCGGGTGTGAGATTTGGGAGCCGGAAAAGTTTCACGCCCTACCTCGCCGCCAGGGCATGAGATTGCGCGGCACGGAAAATCCCACGCCCACGAGCAAGCAGGGCGTGAGATTTACAGCCGGAAAAACCTCATGCCCACGGGCAGGGCGTGAGATTTTGGGCCCCGGCTAATCTCTACCCTGCTCGCGGGTATGAGATTTTGGAGCCGGGACGGAAAATCTGCCGCCAGGCTGCCGGCCCCTGGCAAGCTACCGCGTTAGCTCGCGGCTTAAATTTTTCTAATTTACAGGACACAAGGCAACACAGACGCAAAGCGGCGCCCGATCAAACACAGGGGAGGCGGCGCCCCTTCGTTCCCGGCGGCAACACCACACCGGCGGACGCCACCGACCCCCCCGGGCCCCCCCGCGGCCCTGTGGCATGGAAAAGGGCGCAAAATTTGGCGCCACCGGGCAACATTACGCGGCCGGGAAACTAAAACGAGCGCCGCCGGGGCTGCGGGGTGTGCCACGGCGCCCGCGAAATGAGGAGGCGGCACAGAAAGCAGCCCAAGAGAGGCGCGGGCGCCTGCAAGCGCCAAAAGAAACACCCCCAGAACCCAAAGAAAGACAACAAAGAAAAGGCGCGGGCCGGGCAAAATCCACGGCGGCCCGGGCCACCGCCTGGCCCTGATCGATACCGGGCGCACACCTTCCAGGAAACGGCCCGGCCCGCGGCATCCGCCGGGCAAATTCGGAGTCGCGTCGGTCGGATGGCCCTCCGGGCGGACGTTACTTCTTTGGGATTTTTGGGCGATCTTGGGCGTAATTTTTGCTCTAATTTAAGGGCTAGCGTTTAGCTTAATTCTTGGCCTAATTTGCAAACCAGCGAAACCTTCCCGATTTCGTTGCTCTTGAAATAATCCCAAGAATTATCCGCAAAAGTACCCCGCTCCCTACCAACCCTCCGGGAGCCGGGGCACACACGTCGAAACTAACTACGACCCGCGCCATTGCCCCACGGAATGTCCGGAATGGCCCCCCGGCCGGCGTCTCCACCAATAACAAAAACAACGAGGCCCACGCTAGGGCACAAACCAAACCCCAACCCGGCCCCCGAAAAAAAACCAGAACCCCCTGGCCCTGCTTGCAGACAACAATCAAACCCCCCGGGCCCGACCAAAACACAAAGAAACAAGGGCAACACCCGGCCCGGCAATTTCCAAGGAGAAGGAACGCCAAAAGCTGGGCAAAATCATAAGTCCGGGCCGCTGCGCGACACAAGCGAGAGGCCCGCCCATCCAGCCGCCGGGCCGCACCACTGCGGGGGCGGATACAAAAAAAGCGGGGGGCCTTCGGAGAAACAGAACGAGGGAGCAAGACTGCGGCCGACCACATGCCCCATGGGGGGCGCCCTTTCTCCACGCACTGCCACGACCTCCAAAGGAAGAGCCCGACGGAACTGCGCCGGGGCTTTGCTAGGATTTAGATTTTTTTAAGCGGGAAATCAGTGGTGGAATTTGCCAGGGCGGCAGTGCCGCCCTGCTCGTGGGCGTGAGATTTCAGAGCCGGGAGAACCTCACGCCTTCGCCACCAGGGTATGAGATTTTGGAGCCGTGAAAACCTCACACCCTCGCCACCAGGGCGTGAGATTTTGCCGCCGGGAAAATCTCCTGCGTGCCCTGCTCGTGGGCATGAGCTTTCGGAGTCGGAGAAATCTCATGCCCATCTCGCGAGTATGAGACTTTGGAGCCGAGGAAACCCAATGCCCTCGCCACCAGGGCAAGAGACTTTGGAGCCAGGACAACCCTACACCCCCGCCCCCCGGGCGTGAGATTTTCGGCCGGAAAAATTTTATGCCCTGCTCGCGGGCGTGATTTTTCGAAGCCGGGAAAATCTCACGCCCTGTCCCCCCGGGCATGAGATTTTGGAGCTCGGAAAATCTCACGCCCTCGCCACCTGGGCGTAAGTTTTGAAGCCGGGGAACTTTAACGCCCTGCTCGCGGGCGTGATTTTTTGAAGCCGGGAAAATCTCCAGCGTGCCCTGGCCACCACGGCGCGAGCTTTTGGAGCTGGCAAAATCTCACGCCCTGGCCTGCTGAGGCCATTGGAGCAGGATTTTGGAGCGGGGAAAGCGAAAATCTCACGCCCTGCTCGCGGGTATAATGTTTCGGACCCGGGAAAATCTCATACCCTGGCCACCAGGGCGTGGGGTGTTGGAGCTGGGGAAATCTCACGCCCTGTTCGCGAGTATGAGACTTGGAGCCGGGAAAGCGAAAATCTCATGCCCTGGACACCAGGGCGCGAGATTTTCGCTTTGGGGCTGGGAAAATCTCACCCCGTGCTCGCGGGTATGAGATTTGGCCGTCGGGAAAGCCTCAGCTTTGGGCTTTGCTTCCGGTGCCCGGGTGCTAGTAGAATTATTCAAAACAGCCGCGCTGGAAAACAAAGGCGCAAGGCCTGAACGCAAACAAGGAAGAGCCGTGGCGGCCTTCTTCCCCTTTGGCTGCCATTGTGCTCGCGCGCATGCCATACTTATTCCCATACACACACAGGAACACGCCCGCGCGCCAAGGCCACAGACAGTGTCTGCGCCCCCGTCTCATAGTCATGCCGATAGCAATGCCATAGCCATCAACGAGAGCGAACCCAAGAGAAACACAACGGCGGGGCGCGTGCGCAGAAGCAAGGCACGGCGCGCCAATGGGATCGGAGCCCACCTGCAGGACGCAGGCACCCTGACCGGGGCGAAGACGCCCCGCGGCGATTGTTTGTCCAAAGTCAAAGACGAGAGTAGCGCCCTCTTTGCGATTGCTTTAGCGCTTTCTTTGCGCAGTGCCCGGCCACGGAGTTGGATGCACGGGCCTGGTATCGTCGCGGCCCATTTCTTGCTTGCTGGGTGCTCCTTCTTCGTCTTGCTTAGGCGATTTGCTGTCTCTGACAACGTGGCGCACTCTTTTTCGTTGTCGAGACAGCAAATTGCTTGCGTCTTCTTCCCAATACCATATCTACTTCAATTTCGGTCATTTTGGGATCAATCCTTGGCTTTCAAGGATTGATCCTTGGATTGCCAGGGATTGATCCTTGAAAAACCAAGGATCAATCCCAAAATACTCAAAATCAAAGTAGATACAATTTTCAAAATTTCTGAAAACCGTATCTACCAAAAAGTAGATACCCTATCTACTTTGAAAAGCGTGCCACTGTAGTCTCAGTTGACGGACGTACCTCCATATGCAAAAGTATCGTACTCGTATAAATGCATTACAAATTTCCTCAGCATGAGAAATAAAATGTGTAATGCGGATTTACCTTAGCAGAAGGATTTGTAATGCATGATGGCAATACGAATACGATGCTTTTGCATTGGATATGGCTCCACGACTGGAGCGGCGGCGTTTCGTGGTCGGGAGCTTATCAAATGTAAAAGTGTCTGGGTCTGGAAGAATGCAACTTGTCATGCTAAATCTGAAGCATGTAAAAATCTGTGTTGCATGATTACCAAAAGTCGCCCAGTTTTGACCAAGTCAGGAGGGAGTTTCTCATGCAGGATAGGCATGAGAGAGATCGCACAGAATGTGTCATGCTTCGTCCTGCATTCCAGACCTCATGGGTCATGGAAAATCTGCATGACAAATCGCGCAATCTTCCAGACCCAGACATTTTTGCATTTGATAGAACTGGTATCGAAACGTCCTCCTGCTCCACCACCTCCTGGAGTGGCTCCACCACGACCTCCTGCTCCGGGGGCTCGTCGGGAACTGATATCAAAACGAAAGCCTCCCCCTCCCCATATTACGAAAACGACGCTTCTGATGCTGGATTTGCGAACACAAGAAATCAGAACTGTCTTGCAGTAGAGGACTGCAGGCATATGCCGCGCCTGATTACAACAGAGCTTCTGACGTGGACGCTTAGCATCACAGTATGTTTCTATGCTGTAGCCCAAGCAGCATCACAAGCCGCCCGCGTAATCATCCGGCGAAGACTGTCGGGTTGCCTTTTTGCAAGACAAAAAGATTTGTGGCCACAAAGCAACATTACAAATTCTTTGCGTCGTACCTTCTTGATATGGAGAGGCGGGGGAATTTTTCCTCGCAATAGCTAGATCTTGATGGTCATCCGGCCCTTGCTGCAGCGACGCACGGTACTGCTTTGCCACGTCGTCGGGGCAATCTTCCGTGTGGTTATCCAATGCAAGAAATATGTCTGGGGGTGGAAGCCTCGGCCTGTGATACTGCTGCTTTGCGGATAATGAAAAGAGGAAGTATTTTTCATGCAGCAACCAAGGATGGCAAGTTCTTGCAACGTCGCTCTCTGAACAAGTACAGGCGTAGCTAGTTCACGTGACGAATTGCGTTTATTTCGCATGACAAACGAGGCTGCGGCTTTGCTGGTCATGCATGCAACACAGATCCTACATGCATGCAAGACACGCAACAAGACAAGCTGCATTTTCCCGGACTCAGAAATATTTCCAGTGGATAGTGGTGACCGTTCTGTAACAGCCTCTGTTTCTCCTCCTGATAGAAGATCAGAATCACATTCAATTTCGTCTCAAATGCAAACTTTTTGCACGACCACAACCACTTAATGGCAAATCGAATCGACTGAGGCCGCTACACTCACACACTAAACAACCATCGTCGGCCGCATGAGAAACGAAATAGCTATGCGTGCCGTGCACGTAGGCCTAGCGAATGTTATCATATTGCGTACCTCAGCTCCATCTGATTTTGATCCCCAGGGTACTACTCCAGTCTTTTCTGGCTATCCTATGGAAAAACTACGTGTGCCTGCACAGACTTGCACATTTCTAAATACTTTTATTCAAATTAATAGCGGTGTGTTGTCAATGTCATGCTCATGCCCATGGTCGTACTTGAAAAATGCTTGCTCATCGTCCTTTCGTCTAGCATGTAAAATGATAGATAAATTCAGTGATCTTCGTGGTGTGCTCCTGCTCCCGCAATGAGAACAACTCATCACAGGTTCACTGTGCATCGAGGACGAGGTGTGGACCAAGGGCAAAAGGTGCATTGATTTTCATGCAAACATGTTGCGATTGTAAAGTGGTATTAAAAACGCGTACATACACTCAGATTGGAAGTTGTCTGTGCACACGAGAAGTTATTATTCCAAACGATACTCCTGTGTCTTTGTTGAAGCATTCGTGAAAGGCTGACCGCGGACCGGCGAAGCCCGGGCCCAGGTCCTTGTGTACCATACAGAATCCTGCAGGGCAATAGAGCTCATCCTCATACCCCGGAGGTAGCACTAGCACTGCTCGTACTTCTGATAGGCAAATCAGCGCTGTCGATATGAGGTCCTCAGATGTGAAATTTGAAAAAAATCGAAAAAAAAATCTAGCTACTCCAGGTAATTCATTATCTATCTCGTAAACTAGCTAGCTCAGGTAGGGGTAGGGCGGTTTCGTGGTCTCGGTGTCTTGTCGGATATTGCCTTAAGGTGTATTTCTGCTTCCCCAGGGTCGGGAGTGTGTCCACCGCATACAGATGCCCCTTCTGCCGCCGCGCTTTGTTGCAGTGGATGACGTTTGCACCTGTGTTTCCGCTTTTCATTTCATAAAGCGTGGCAGCGGGCATGACGCGGAATTTTTGGGGAGCCGAGAAGACGGGGTCCTTCCGGTCGACCAAAAGTGGTCCTCCGGGGGGGCCCTCTGGGGGGCCTTTCTATCTGAGGACGAAATCTGCAAAATCGGCGTGTGCCACCGGTGCAAAAATCTTGCGAGAGCCGAAAAATGGGCACTCGGGCTGGCCCGGAGGGGGGGGGGTAAGGGGCCCCCTCCCCCGGGCCTTATCAGCTGAGGACGAAAATGCAAAAAATCAAGCATACCATGGTGACTAAAGTTTTACCGTGACTCAAAAAAATTAATATACGGCATTGCAAAGCCGCAGGCGCAATGTTTGGCCCGAAATCCGAAACCATTTCGGACATGTGTCTCCGCCCGATATCACCATGTTGCTCCCGCCCGATATCACCATGCCTGTTCGCAGCCGGGGACCTCGAAATCGCTCCGCCTTAGCTAGCTACTGAATTACATAGTTATTTGCGCATGGAAAGTAGCTAGTTTTTTTTTTGGAAAAATTTGAAACTTCACATCTGAGGGCCTCATAGGTAGCACTAGCACTGCTCGTACTTCTGATAGGCAAATCAGCGCTGTTGAACCGAGCAGCCGACCCCGAAGGACCGACCTGGTAGAGCTTGAATGCGTCATGTTTTTTTTTCCAGAAATGTCGTGCGCTTCTCTTTTTATCAAAAACAAACGCCGCAGGCTAGATGAAGATGATATTAGCGGACTACAAGAGCCTGAAGTACTTATGTTTGCGGTGCAATTACTACGTTTCCTGGTGCTCACCTTGTAGTTCTATATTCCCGTTGCTGTTCTTCTTCTTCCTCACTTACTATTTAATTCTCCTCAAACAAGCTGCGCGAGGAGGGTCTTAGTGTTTTGTTTCAAAACTAGAGCGCGATAAGATTAAAAATTGCGACAAAGAAGAGAAGTTTGGGAAGCGGTCAGCTTGGTACAAAAGTTAAATTTGATTTATAATTCTCTTGGAGGAACCAGCTTGGCGTTTGTTTATTGTGCTAGAAGGTGGTGAGGTCCAATTTTAATCTTTACTTCACAGACGATAGACACGACCAAGCGAGTCGAGCGCAGCTACCGACCTGTCTGCTGGTGTGTCTGGTAAGTATGACTTTGTCCTCTATCTTCGCATGGAGCTGTCAAATCGTGTTCCTAAGCATGAGGGCTCCTAGCAGTACTTATGTTGACCGAGCAACAAAAAACGAATTGAAATTACGGCTCCACGACCGAGGAGTTGTATTTGTTCACGTTTGAAGATGACTACTTTGCTCCATAAAATATAGTAAAAATACCGATGAAGCAACGGAATTCTAGAATGACCGATCGTGTGCTAAAGTCGCAGCACCACTAGTGCCAACAGATCTTCCGCTTTTCGAGAATATTCAACCGAGGCAAGACCACCAAGACCAAAGTGTGTGTGCTCTGCGAAGTGTCTTTAGTACGTAATCATTGTGCTTGTCGGTGTACTAGATAGGGTCGAAAAGTGGGTTGCAATATTTTTGGCGAAGGTCAGTGCAGCCTATGAGGATCGTGACGCCTTTATGATGAAGACCACCAGCTGCACCCCTTTTTCAAGAACACGCACTTGTATTTCATCATCATCACACGTTGGGCTTACATACTACAACGGGCTTCTGCAACTGGTCGTGTTGTTTTTCTTACGAAGAACTGTCGAGTCTCGGTCAGAGACTACAATCTCAGGGCGTTCTTGTGGTTAGTCTTCTGTTTAAAATTTTTCCAGTTTCTTTATATCTTATTTCTCCTTGTAGTGCGGATGCACACTGGTTGTGACAGATGCACAGGGCGTCTAGAAGCAACTCCGGTGAAAAGATACAGAACAAGAAGAACATGGCGGGAACAAATTAACCAATGGGAAATAAACAGGTCAACATGTAGACAGAGGCTCTGGCGCTGGACAAGGTATTCAAGTTCATAATAAAGTACCATGAACTAATCTTATATAAAAACAAAAACTCGTCCTATTGCAGCTGAGCGGAACCAGGTACCACGCAGAAACAGAGCCAAGCATACGACAAAGTAGAGAAGGCTCCGGGGCGATGCAGGTGCAGTGGCGGCAGAAGAAGCGCACTTGTCCTAGGAGACTCGAATACCAAAGTCGTGTAGTACCGTACCTACAGTAACGCGGTCACCCTCATGTTCTATCTTCCACAAGTAGAACTCCAACTCTGAGTCTGTGTAATAACCTGGATGAAGCTGCTCAAGCTGCCTACTGTCCTCCCCCTGTTAACAGGTGGCGCTTACTGTTACTACACTTCGAAGCTTTCCTATGGAGAGCAAAAAGTTTGTCACAGTCACGTCCCTAACTTGCAGGCTTTGCATTACAAATTTTTCTGGCATCACAACTTTTCCTTGCATTGCAGAAGCACTAGGGAAAAAATCCCTTTTGAAGTTTGGCTGTGATGCATTTTTATGCATGACAGAAAATTTTTATTTTGTATTGCAAAAACAAAAACGCGCATGAGTGAGCGTGACAAACTTTTTTTTGTTTGATATTTCTCCGCTTTGGCTTTCCTTCTCGTCTCCATCGGTGGTGTCCTCGAGAAACAGCCCGAGGATTTCCTTTATGCAGTGCAAATATGTCTGGGTCTAGAACAGGTTGCAACTTGTGATGCGCATTTCAGAGCACACAAAAATCTGTCTTGCATGAAAAACAGGAAAAGTAGTTGTCTAGTTTTTGCCATGGCGAGAGCGGATAATTTCTGGTGCAGCAGAGTAGGCATCTTCGTGAAGCCCTCGAAGACCCTTGATGCTGGTCCCTGCATGTCAGACACTCTGGGTGTAGGTCATCTCATGGTCATGCGAGACTTGCATCGCAAAAGTCTGCATTTTTCGTCCAGACCGAGACATGTTTGCGGTGGATATCCTTTGTCTTGTCCTGAATCTCCTTCCCGGTAGCGTCCATCTCGAAGAGAAAGTCGTCTAAGGGGGAGGTAGCAGAAGTGCTGTTTCTGGTGTTGAAATTTCGACCGCCGACAGTTGTTCTACTTGTTCCATCTGCAAAAGGACCACGACCTCCATTACTTGCCATCACACCAGCCCCCGGCGGCACAATCGGGTGCTCCAAGGCCGTGACAAACGTTTCGTTGGTCGAATTGCTCCTGTCGCGATCCACCTGGGTCAAATGGGAGGAGACCGTCGTGGAGGAAAGAGAGTTCACCCCGTTTGTGGTTAGGTACGGTAGCTTCGGACTGTTTGTCGTGTTCGGTTTCATGTTTAATATTTGGTGCGAATTGTTTTGATGTACTTCCACTTCTTGCGCTACAACTGCACTTGCTCCTTGTGCCGCCGACGGCCGAGCCAGTCCAGAAGATCCGCCCCTACTACTTCCTATTATTCTGCTAGTACGAAGATGAGGCACAACGCCGGCGTGTTTGTCATAGGGTTTTTTGTAGGTTGTGTAGAGATACTTGTAGTAGTCCTCGGTTTCATTTGTGGGTGGTCGCGAGGTCGATACTCTCGCGTGTGTGTGATAATTATTTCCATTCTTGCCATTTCTATAATCATTCCCGCCCTGCTGGTGCTGTGCATGTTGTGCCCCTCCTGTACCTGTGGTCGCCGCGACGGCCGCAGGAGTTGTTGTGGAAAACGACCCCACTTTTGGTGTTTTAATCACGCTCCCTGAAAGCGTCGTCCCCTCGCCGCCGCCGACCGCACTACCGGGAACAAGTTGGATGCCGCTGCGGGACAGTGCGAACTCCCAGTCGTCACCCCCGATGTACCGGCCTGTTAAGGGATCCAGTGTCACGCTTGTGTTCAGCGCGCCATTCCCGAGGAAAGCGGGTATGTACTTCGGCTCGATCCAATTATGTAACTCCTTGGTCGACGCAAGGAACTTGATTTTGTGAAAGGTCGCGGGGTGCAGAAACAGCTGCCCAAACGCGTTCAACGGCGCACGGATCACCCAGTGCATGTGAATGATCAAAATTTGCTCCATATCCCAGAAAAAAACTCCGTATAGTGTAAGTGGGTGTCTCAGGGCATGACAGATCATCTGTTCTCTGCATGACACCAGAGAAGGCCTGTCATGCGCAGCCAGTTGTACGTGAAAACACATACAAAATGCAACTTTATGGCTGGCTAGCATGACAATTGTAACAACTGTGTACAACTATGTTGCATGGTCTACTGCATTACAGACTTCTTTACAACACTTCTAGCACGGTAGTTTTTTTCTTGCATACTCGACGGTCTCCGGGTAGCAGAACTTCATCACCGCCTCAACCGAGGCGAGGAATTTCCGCAGATAGTTCGCGTGGGAAAGATAGGACTTCATATTCGTGAGATCTACCACGATCAACGTCCTGTCTGACGCCGCGTTCCGCTCCTCCCCGATCTTCCGCAACTGTACGCTTGCGGAGTACTCGTAAATACGGAGCTAGTATCAAATGCAAATATGTCATCTGGGTTCTCCGGATGACACTTGTGATGCTGAAAGTTCGTGAATGGTGGGCGCCGGCGCGCTGCAATACCTGGCCACGCATGACAAGATTCTCCGCTCCTTTGTGTTTTGCTTTCCGCAATTCAAACTGCATTTCTTCATGACAGGGAAGAGGCTCCATGACTGCTACTCGCGCACCATTTATTTTTACAGATTCAAGACAGTCAACATGTGAGACAAGCTGCATGACAAACTTGCATTTTTCCAGACCCAGATCGATATTTGCAGTCTGCATAACCACGAGCGGATCACGATTTCCTGATCCAGCTTCTGCAACGCGCCAAAATCCGCGAACCCGCACCGCACATAGAACACCGCGTGGCCCTTCTTCGCGCGGCCAGTGAAGGCGATCGGAAAAAACGTGCGAAAAACCTGGACGTATTCGGTGCCGGCGGTCTGCGAAAAGAGATTCTGCGTATCAAAAGTAAAAATGTCTTGTGATGCTGGGTGGCGTCTCATGATGAGGCTACAAATGCTGGCTCAGCATGACAAGTTTCTGAGCTCCTAGGTGTTGCGTATTCTGCATGACAAACTGCGCTTCTGCATCGCAGAAAAACGGAGCTCTTGTGTATTAAACGTGCATGACAGATTTAAGGGTCATGCCAGACACGCATGACAAACGTGAATTCTTCCAGACCCAGACATTTTTGCACTTGATACTGCGTCATCCTGAGCAAAAACGTCGTCCCCACCCCAACATGATATGAAATCTGCTATAGACAAGTCAACAGCTTGTGGCTGGTGCGTTGACAAATTTGAGATCGTAGCGTAGTCGTGTTTAGGTAGAAGTGCAGTAGCATGATCACAGATTCAGCATCAGCAGCTTGTCATGCCTCCCCTGGGGCTCCACATGAGAAGCATTTTCTTTTGTTTTTCTTTTTCAGGATGCAGATTTGCATGACAAGAACTATGGGCGGAAGGTCGTGGGGACGTCTTCCTTCTGGATATGCGTGAGCCGGTAGTCTTCCCGGTAATGGAGCGCTTTCCGCAACCACTCCTCGGCTTTCTCGATCAGTTGCTGCCGTTTTTTGGTGTTTATAGGATCTTCGGTGTAGAAAATGACTTCGTCTTGGTCGATTGTTGGCTGCGCCGAATTATCGAGGTTTGTACCAGCGTTAGCCGGTGCCGGTGAAATTATGATATTCGCATCGGCAGACTGTTGGTGTGTACCTAGCTCCTGTGACGAAAAGGTGGGTCCTCTAGTATTATATGCCTGTGACTGTGTTAGTGTTGTGCCATTCGCAGCTGCTGCTCCCTCGAAGTTCTTAGAGGTTCCGTTTGTTGTAGTGCTAGTAGTCCTACTCTGCTTCTGTTCTACTCCGGCCACATCAACTTTATTCGCTGCTGTTTTAATACTATTTTGGTCCTTGTGTGAGTGTGTAGAAGCTCCTGCATTACTCCGCCGCGGAAACGGGAAAAACCTCGACAGCCCGCCTCCCCCGGACGCGGAGCCGCCACCGCTGCTGGCGGTGGTGGACTGCTGCGTCGTCGAAGTATAATTTGTGCGTCTGGAGGAGGTAGTTGCCGAATCGTTGCCAGCGCCAGACGAGGACGAAGATGCTCGGGAGGATGGTAGAGCGCTCGTGCTGGCGGGGGAAGTAGAAGAAAGAGTGCGGCCAGCGTTATTTTCATTTCCATTCGCAGAAGTATTTTTCGTACTAGTTCGTGACGTCCTCGTCGTAGTTGTTCCTAGTGATGGAGTCGTATCTGCAGCACCACCTCCACTGGTGATTGCGCCGCGCTTGTTCGTCCCGAGGCTAGAAGTGGATGTCCTTGTACCATCCTTTTTTGCATTCACACCCACAGAACCCGCTGCAGTGTTGTTCGCATTATCGACAGCTTTTCTGGTTGTGGACTTGAAGTTCTTGACGACAACCTCCTTCGCACTGCTGTCCACCGTCAGCCTATCAGTGTGCACAACGAACTCTCCTTCGCCTTTCATTTAAAACTACGCATGAGCAGCAACATCACAAGCAACAGCAGAAATAAAGGGGCATCCACATGATCATGACAAATCTGTACGCGGATTCGATTGTAGTACTTACTGCTTGAAGAGGTCCTAAAATTTGATGTCACTAGAAGAGTGCTTCAACTCAACTAAGGCAAGATCAAGAACTACAAGATTGTGATTGACATTGATGTTGGCTCGGCGCTTTGCATATACAGATAGGGGGGAGGCGGGAGAGTAGTTGTGCATTCTCGTCATACAGCCCCCGCTGTTGGTGGTAGTTATTTTTAACATTCCCGGTGACCGTGTAATTTCTCGCGCTGCTATTGTTCGGTGAAGAAGCTCCTGTACTACTTACCACGGACGATGTCAGCTGGTAATTCTTCGGAATCAGGCTCGGATTGTCCTGCTTCACTTGCCACAATATCCGGGTAGCCGTGTTGTACATGACAGGGTAATAGGGGTGGGTCAACGGATCCTCCCCATCGTACAACGAAGCTTGCTCCGGTGCCCAACCGACGGACGCGGCAAGAAGGTTCAGGTCCTTTTTGTGGCAGTGGCGGACAAAATCCTGGACCTCCTCCTCGGTGGGAAGCAGGTCCGGGCTGGACTTGATGACCAACTCGTCCTGCCGCAGCATAGTGGTAGTACTCGTTCTGCTTCTATCGATTGTCTTGGTGACGTTGTCCTCACACCACCCGCGGTTCGTTGTATTCTGTTGTACCGGCAGCGCACCAGATCAACTATGATTCCTAGTTAGAGTAAAAATTCTTCATGTTAGCTCTTGCAGGTTTTCTTGCTCCAGATAATGTATGGAGGCCGTCGCGCTCGCGCCGGCATTTTCACCTCTGCCAAAAACTTCAGAAAAACTGCATCGCATCGTCCATAATAGCCGAAACATAGGCTCCGGTCCGCTATTTGTACTTAGATCTACCTCTACGCACGAAATTCAAACAGGACAATAAAGTTGCACACCTACTTCCACCTGGATCTGCTCCATATTAATTGCAGATTAATGCTGCTAGGTGAAAATACGAGAATGTGAATGCGTTTGCGAAACAACTGAAGATGAAATATAAATATATGGTGGGTTCAAATCCTCGTGGGGTGCCTGGTAACATGATTATATTTGAAAAACTACATGTAGAACGAAAAGAGACAGGTTCGTACATGCAAGAGCAAGAGGCCCTGACGCTGACATACTGAGAACTTACTTCGTGTTCATATCCTATTGAGATCAACCGACTCCGAACATCCTGCAGATAATTGTACATCACAATGACAAGACGATGAAAACGTGAAGTAGAAACCGAAAGCTCATGCATGCTGCAACCGAGTCCGAGGGCGCAGGTAAAAATACGACAACTTTTCATACTTTTAGTGACCGAGTTCGCAACATTCTTGGTTCGGCTCTGTGCAACAGCACGACTCATCGTACGTAGTTACTGCGCAGGAAAAACTAATTATGTGACCGAAAAGTTCTGGCGCTTCTAAACGAGAAACACCCTGCTGTGTTGAGCGACAACCGATCCAGCGTTGCTGGGGATAAAATTCCACATACAGAGAACTAGAAAACGAAACATCATCTGACAAAGTAGAAAGCTACTAGCTGCCGTCATCATTTGCAATTGCAATGGAGACAGACTGCCCATGTTTAGCCTTAGGTCACTAACATCGCAGTCGGTCAGTTTATATATCATATCTGACGTCGTTGTCGTATGTAGAAGTTCTAGTTTCTGTACGCAGTTTGAGATTCATTCTGATTGTCTGCGGAGTACTCACAGAAATCAGACAACCGGAACGTGGCGGGTCAACCAAGAATCACTTCTATTGGTTTTGCGGTTGCGGCTTCCCTAAAACTAGCATCTGTGCCGCGGTTCTCGTTTTTCCATATGATCTTACAAATATTTTCATGCTCGTGTTGTCCACCCCCTTCGAAACAGACCGGATAAAATTCTACGCTGATCCTTTTTATCTTCAAAAACCTAACTATACTACTGACAAGATCAAGAAAAAAACTTGCCGTTATTTCCATATTTTTCATTTGGCAATCATCGCTCCAGCTCCCAGTCACTGGAAAAGGAATTATACAACATCAACAGCCGGTCCCGGTGCAGAAATCAACATATAGTTGCTTTTCCAGTTTTTTTTTTAATGCAATGTAGTTCGTACTACTCGGCATCGGCTCCTTCTCCTTACCTATCTATCATCTTTTTTCTTGTTCAAAAACTGGTATAGTACTATGGCTTCCGAATCCGAATATATCACGAGTCACCACTTCTTCTTTTTCATCATACAAGCCTGTTGCTATCCACCGTTTTTTTGTTCAGAAATACATATACTTCGCAATAAAGAAATTCGAATTCCTTAATATCAGTGGAAATACCCACTCAAAACACCAAAATCATAACATTCAACGCGGCTCGGCCCCGTCACTACTCCTGGAGCGAGGGCCTTGGGCTTTTCGGCTTCGGAACAGGAGTACTAGCGCCCTGGGTGTACACTAAACATGCAGCAAGGTCGTGCGCTCCTGCTCTTAATCACTACTTCCCTGAAAGTAGACCCAGATTGCGTAGCACTCGCGGCACTTTATCTGTGTACAAGCTGCTTTTTGTCTGCTCAGCAACATCGTGCGACATTCTTGTAGGGGACGACAGTAGTGCCTCGGCCACCGCGTTGGTCGTTCTCGTTGGGCTTGCTGTAAAAATTTTGATGGAGCGGAAGACGAAGCTGCGACTAAGATCTTGTTTGTCTCCTACGCCCCAGTCTGTTCCATATTTTTCGTCTTGTACTGTTTCAACACACTTTTGACTCCCACCGGGGAAAGTGGCGCCGGCCCAATCTCCGCAAAATGTCGTGTCGATGATGAATTGCTGGGCCGAAAAATACTTCTCCGCGGGGCAGGTTGAATTCGGCCCGATGGGGAAGGTGACGTAGGGCCCGGCAGTGGACTCGTCCTGCGTGTACTGATCCCAAAACCTAGGGTCATCGAAGATGTGATCGCCTCCCTGCTGCAAAATCTCGTCGGCCTTCTCCCGACTGATCCACCACATTTTGATGGCCTCGTCTATGGGGTTCTCAAACGTTACATTCTCAACTGTTACAACATGAACTTGTCATGCAAAACTCTCATCAGTATCACTATCATCAAGCTGCTTCGCATGACAAATTTCCAAAGGGCTAAACAGCATCCAAATCTGTGCCGAACCTGTACTAATGCAAAAGGCGCAATCTTCACCCTTGCACTTTTGCCATTCTTGCATTACAAGTTCATGTAACAGTTGAGAATGTAACGTTTGAGAACACCATATCGTCGTCGCCCCGAGGGGTCCACGCCATGACGTGAATGCCGCCTTTCGCGTCGTTCAGCCGCTTCCCATTGGGAACCGAGACCGGCGCCACACCGCAGCCTGCATTCCCTGCAATGCCGCAATCGCCGCCGCTAGTGATGCCCGGAACCTGGCTCATCTTGCAGCCTGGTATCGTGTGCAGGGTGGAGAGCATGTTGTTAAAGACGTCAGGGCCTTGGATGTGTTCCATCATGTCGATCTCGCCACCGTGAGGCCACTATCAAATGCAAAAATGTCTGGGTCTGGAAGTAGAATACAAGTTTGTCATGCTTGGCCGGTAATGCAGAAAAGTCTGTGATGCTCGTTGCGCTACGACGCCACTTGTTTGTCATGCACAGAGGCCATTTGTCATGCGCGTAGCGCTAGACATAGCCGCTCAGAAACTTGTCATGCGCAGCTCCGCAACACAGTTTGCCGCGTATCATTCGGACATTAGCATGGCAACTTTCCAGACCCAGATCGATATTTGCAATGCATAGCCACTGCGGGTTTGGATTCGCCGCCGTCGTCCAGTACGCCGGCCAGGTACCGGGCCCGACCGGAACCTTCTCGACATCGACGACAAACAAACTCCCCGGCCCAAACGCCTTGTCTTGGGCTGTGTTCATGCGGATGGACGGCCGGTTACCCGCTTTTCCCACCCCGAAGGAAATCTCCAAGCGCTTTTGCTGCCACACAGCTCCCGGCTCCGCTGCAAGCTGCTGGATAAGTTCATCTTTTTGGGTCCAGCCCGCCTGGTAGTCCACCGCGCCATGCGTCGGGTCTGAGGCAGTGAAAGGGGTGAAGCAATCGAGGAACTTGCTTCTGTCACTGCCTGGGCAGTTGAGAGCCGGCGTCCAAGAAGTTCGTCCAATTGGCTCTGGAGGGACCACGGGAGTCGGCGCTGGCGGGGCGTTTCCAAAAATATCCACTGCAAACAATGTCTGGGCAGGAAAGCCTGTAGTTTCTGAAGGTGTTCATACATCATCTTATTTTTCAATCATGGTCCAAGAGCTCTGCAGAAAGCATCACAGCTTCTGCGAACGCACTTCCACGCCTACTTTTCTGCATGGGATATTATGATCCACTCTTTTCCTTTGGGATTGGGTGACAAAACCGAGACAAATTTTGTGAATGTATCAGCCAGAGCTAGATGTAGCATTGCAAGGTCGCAAATCCTTCCAGGCCCAGAGCCAGACAAAACTTTGCCATGCATACCCCGAATGTGGCATCAAGAGCGTCCAGTACTGCATCCACACCTTCGTCAGCCCGTTGTCGATATCTTTGGTGCGGTCCAGCGTGCTGTCAAATGCAAATATGTCTGGGTCTGGAAGATTCCGAGACTTGTCATGCAGATTTTCCATGATCCATGTCGTCTGGAATGCAGCGCCTAGCATGACAGATTCTGTGAGATCCCTATCATGCCTATCCTGCATGAGAAACTTCCTGCCAACTTGGTCGAAAGTGGACAGCTTTTGGTAGTCATGCAACACAGATTTTCGCATGGTCCAGAATTAGCATTGCAAGTTGCAACCTTCCAGACCCAGACATATTTGCAATGCATACGTGCCAATGGCGTTCCACGCGTCGGTCCGGTAGGCGGGGACCATTGCCTTGTTTCCCGTCAGCAAAATGCCCCACCACGCCTTGGTGCCCCGCTTCTCCGCATTGGCGTAGATGGTAACCCCGTTGTAATCATCCCCGTCGCGTTCCTGGGTGCACGGTTGAGGCGGCCAGTAGTTGCAGTTCACCGGATCCTTAATCGACAGCACGTTGTCGTGCTCGTCCTTGACAAACCCTGCCCCGCGGAGGAGTTGCAGCGCGGGGGTGAGCGGAAGCATCTGGATGCCGTGCACGAACTCCTTTTTCAACCCGAAGTAGGTCTGGTAGTTCACCAGGTTTTGGAAAAAGATCCCGGGCACGCGGTTCAAATTCAGTTCCTGGGGGAGGATTTCGTACCCGTCCTGCCTTTTCCCCTTGTATTGATCGGAGTCCGGGCTTTTCGGATCCTTGCCCGCAGGCAGCGGAGCGTTTTCGAATTGGAAAAACGTTTTCAAGCTCTGAGTGTTCAACGCCAGAATGGTAGTGAACACCTTGGTCAACCGTTTTCCTAAAGAGGCGGCCGGCTTATTTACAGACGGAGTTGTACTAGAGGAGGTTTTGCTCTGTAGCCCTTGCAGCATTTCACTGTACATCTTCGCGCCATACCAAAAGTTGATTGCCTCCGAAGTGGACTCCTGATCCTTTCCGTCGGCCACAGGCATGATGCCGTGCGCCCAGTCGTGCAGGTCGAAAAAGTCGAAGGTCCGAAACGGCGGGAGAAAGGCGTCGTCTACCGCCCCCTTGGTTGGGTTCGCCACGTCGCGAATCAAGTTGTTTACCCAGTGCAGCAAGTCCACTTGGCCCACCTGAGGACTAGTTGAAGATGTTCCCGTCGACGTGGTCGCACATTTTGTATCAAACAGGGGCGAGCACAGCTGGTTGCTTCCGTCCGTCACCACCTCCGGCTTCAGCTTCAACAATATCGCCGCACTGGTAACGACATAGCCCCAGTGGAAGTGGTGGTCGTTGTAGCAGTGGTTGCCGTAGTCCCAGCCGCAGTTCTTAAAGACGTTACGGGGGTTCACAATTCCGCCCCACGCACTGTCAAAGACCAATTTGTCGTAGTATTGCAAATCCGAGGTCTTCTGGCACAGGTGGTCTTGTCCCTGCTCCGTTCCCTGCTTCGTCTCCGCAACTTGCGGGTTGATCAAGCAACCAAACGCGTTCTCCAGCATCGTCGTGCACCTGTCGGTGTAGTCTTTGCCCTCGTCGGCCAGCAGCTTGCTCGCCATCAGGCACAGTGTGGCAACTTTCTGGAGTTTTTTCCCGGTGGTGTAGTACACATTCTGGTCCAGGATCTGCTGCCGCCATTTGTTCGGATCCTCCGCGCTACTCAAAGCGTCAATCTCCTGCTTCAAGTCTTTCTTTAATTCGTCTTTCACGGCTGCAGTCGCGATCGTATCGTCGGCGAAAAAATTTCCGTCGTTCGGCAAAAAGCTTAATTTCTTCGCTTGTTCGTACAACTTGGGCCTCAGGGACCACTGGTTTCCAACCACCGCACGCATCCACCCCTTCGTGTTGGCTCGGGCGCGCAGAACGGTTTCGTCTACTTGTTCAACCTGCGGCGACTGCTCGAGCTGCTCCGTGTGCGTGGCGTAAGCAAAGTGGAGAACCGAGGCGGATGACGTAAGCAAAGTGGAGGTTGATGATGTTTCACCAGGTAGAAGAAGTTCAGCATCGGAGCTAACTACCGTTCCGGAGAGGGTCCCGGAGAAGGTTCCGGAAAAAGGCGCGGACAAGGTGCCTCGCACCTCGGCGCTGAAGTGTCGAGCAGGTGCAGGGGGCTTTTTTGCGGTGATACCAGGACCGGAGAAGGTGTAAGTGACCCTGCCCACGTCGTCCTCGCTGTCTAAGACGTCAACTTCCATATTTTCCAAGCAGGCCGGCGCACTGCTGTCGTAATAGTCAATACAGTTGTCCTTGCTGGGCGTAGCGTCTATCATCTTCGTGGAAAAATCGCTAGAAGTGGTTTCTTTGCAGATCATGTTTTTGTTTTTAATTCCCGTATTCCGGCCCAACCGTGCGAATCTGACCCAGCCTTCAAATGGCTCGCTTAACTGTGCACCACTGCCGTCCTCCAGCATTTTGAACTCGTAAGTCCCCCGGGAAGCGATTCGTGTCTCATTGGTATCCTCGTCCACCGTGATCAAGTACGCCCGGTACGTGACGTTATTGGTGAAAACAAACTCGATATCAAGTGTAAAAATGTCTGGGTCTGGAAGAATTCATGTTTGTCATGCTTGTCTGGCGTGACTCTTAAATCTGTCATGCACGTTACCCAAGAGCTCCGTTTTTCTGTGATGCAGAAGCGCGGTTTGTCATGCAGAATAGGCAACACCTAGGAGCTCAGAAACTTGTCATGCTGAGCCAGCATTTGTAGCCCCATCATGACACGCCACCCAGCATCACAAGTTTCCAGACCCAGACATTTTTGCATTTGATACTCGAAAATCGCTAACGCGTCGTTGTCCTCGTTCGTGTTCTATCAAATGCAAAAATGTCTGGCTCTGGAAACTTGTGATGCAAGGAAGCGAATAGTGAAAGCATTGTAATGCGCTGCCCAGCGTGACAAGTCTTGCCGTGGTTCTGAGATGCGTACCCCGCATGAGAAGTTGCGTTTTTGCATGACAGGCAAGAGGAGCTCTTTGCGGCCACGCAACACAGAGCTCAGAGTGATGCCAGACTAGCATGACAAGTCTCAGAATCTTCCAGACCCGGACATTTTTGCATTTGATATGTTCTGGGAATCAAGATCTTCGGCTCCGGTCCTGTTCTTCTTCACCGGTTTCACACTTTGCAATTGCCATTTACTGTCTTTGCTGATATTACAATGAAAAATGCCCCCACCCCCGAACTTGAAAGCATTTGTATTGCAAATCTTTCCAAATGAAACATTCGCCCTCTTGCGTGTATCAGCATCACGGATTTCCGATCGTGAATAGCAAAAATTTGTATTGCAAAAGAGCCCAGCAAGAGCGGTGCTTGTCATGCGAGCGATGCGAAACACGACTAGAATCTGCATCAGAAAGATTCGTACTCCTTTCATGCATGACAAAAAGCTTTCATTTGGAAACTTCGCATCACAAATTCTTGCAATTTCAGGGGTGGGGGGCATTTTTCACTGTGATAGCTGACGTTGTAAATCTTCGGCGTGAGATTTTTCCCCTTGTACACCGCGCTGACGTACGCCGCTCCGGGGAAAATGGGAAACTCGATGGACCCCGCCGCCCCAAAGTCAGAGGACGCAACGAAACCCAGCGTGTTTTCCCGCAGAATCTTGTATTCCTTATCCGGTTTACTTTCTTCCTCCGCTGCGCCGATGCTGAAGGTCAGGCTGTCCCAGTGCGCTACGACGTTGTGCGCGTGCACGGGGTCGTAGGTCGGCTCGAGCGCCTGCCGGGGTTGTCCGTACGGGGTTCGGTGTCCCCAAGAGGGCCAAAAATCCTCGGTTCCGTCCGGTCGGGGCCCCGCCGGGTAGATGGTCTCGATCCCGGCGTCGTCCCCGACGGCCAGCGTGCCGGAGAGAAAGGCGAACGTGAAGGTGCCAGTGAAAATCCCGAATGTCTCCTTTTTGTCCCGGTTCGCCCATTTCGAGATCGTCTGCGGAGGGGTCGGCGGATCTGTTTTTGGCGGCTCTGTTGTGATATCCGGCGCAAAAGCATCGCACTCGTATTGCAATCATGCAAATCTTTTTCTGCGGGTTAGTCCGCATTACAAATTTTACTTCTCATGCTGAGGAAATTTGTATATGCATTTATACGAGTACGATACTTTTGCAATGCATATGTGAGATCCGCAGGCAGCCAGTTTGCCCAGAACTTGTTGGTGCTCACAAACTTTTGCTCTTCTACCCCTGGTGCTCCGCCACTAAATGAACCGTTATTTTTCCAGGTCACCACGTCCTTATCGGGCGCGTACTCGTTGGGCGTCTCCGGAAACAGCGTCGCATCCGGGGCTGTGGCGGTTTTCTTCGAGACCGCGTCTGCGTCGAACAAAATCGGCTGCAGCAACGACGTCGTGGTACCGGAGAGCTGCGCGTTCACTGCAAGAGGAGTGGAGATAGAGACGGCTAAAAAACCGAGAGTTGTCACAGCTCCACCACGGTGAGCAGCCCTCGAAGAAGGTGCAGCACCGAGGATAACCGTGGAGGTCGTTGCCGGAACGGTACGCGTCATTTTGTCGTTAATGATCGACGAGAGTAAGTAAAAGTGCCGGAACCTGTTCTGATTCTTTTGACCAAAGAATAACAAAATCCGTTCTTTCGTTATCGTTGCGGATCAATATCACAGCTGCTGCTGCTGCTGTAGACAGAAGGAAGACACTATAACTTTTTTAGTAAAAAGAAAAACTAAAGCAGAAAAATGTACTTCTTGTTATCTTCGTTCAACTGCGAGGAGAGTCTCAAGCAGTGAAAATTCTACAAACCCTTTTTTTTTTGCGTTGTATTTGTATTTCTTCAACACCCAGCTACGTTCAATAATCCTCGATCGATGAAACAAAAACTCTAACCTTTCAACTGCTGGAGTGTCAAGCAGTCAAAAATAGAAAACACAAAAGATGTGGTCTCCTACGTTCTTTCGTACAGCTACACGATAAAACGTTGATGTTGCGACAAATAGTGCTATAGAAGTTCTTGACAGTGATAAAGTTGTTGAGTCGGTTGGTGTGTAAACTTGAGTAAAATCCACTTCTACTCTTAGCAACTGTGGCGAAAAAAAGAAAAACACGGATGCCCTTCTTGGTGGTTGTGTTCGATTCTGTTACCTTCTCATAGGACCACCACTAGAAGTTGCACCTACAACGACCGAATCAGAAAGAGTCTGATGATGTCTGCACTTGCACTTGCAGAACCTGATCATCAGCCATTCAATTTATGCCTCGGATCATGCGCAAATAGATCTTCGTATCTTCGTAAAGAATTGATCCGTTCGTCGAAAAAACTCGACCTGCTTTCTCGTCGTGAAAAGATGTTGAGTCGAGATCATTGATCTTTATTCACATTTTTTTCTAAACCGAGTGTATCAGTGTCATCTGAACGTCGTGCTTCATTCCGTGTCATGTTCTTCACCGAGGGAGAGCAGCTGCAAATCAACCACCCAGTACACTATATCAGTACGGTGCAAGGGAATCTTTGTGTAGTGTTTCGGTGCGGATTAACATGACAAAGATGAGTGCTTTGGACGTCGTCCTTTCATCCTGCTCAGGAAGCTGCTCTCTGGAAAACAAATGCCTCAGGACGGCACTGTAAGTTCTTTGCTGCGTCCGCAGATCATAGCCTGTGGATTTTGTCTATGCTTACATGATTCACTTAATAGCTTGTGCGACAACATCATACACGGTGTTTCTTTCAAAATTGTACATGCGGCGTGAACAGGGCATAGAAGGTGTTGCTGGTAAAACTTCTATATGTATAATTTATGTTGTTCCCTCATAGTGCTCTTAATGCCTGAAAAACCGAAACAACAGAAACAACTGAAAGACGGATGCAGGCTTGCTGAATAATTCGTGTGTACAACAGATGTAGAAGTGGCTATATGTATGAAAACAAAGACTGAACCTTCAACCCCTGTATATAACCTTGAACTGTCCACTCTAAACAAAACTTCTGCTTACTGACGTTTGAAACTCATAGTTTTGATCATCTCTTCAACCCTTAGTTTACGTGATATCTATCATGTATACAACTGGTACGAAACAACAAGAATACGCGGCACACGGAGCCTTCTGCAAAAACTGTACTCGAAATAACATTAGCACCACCTGCCTAGCTCCACGGAAGATACTAGAGCCGCCAGCGTCACGAATTCACGACATATTCATTAAGTACTTCTTTCTGCACTCAGACACGAGTTGGTCCGCAAGCGAATTGTCACCAGCTGCTGGCTTCTCTTCGGTTTGCTTGTTGTTTTCCCTACTCTTCTGAAGATTCCCGCCATTCAGCCTGCCACGTTGCTTGCTGATCCCGTCCGGGGACGAAGTTTTCGACGACACCCCGCCAGCACTCACGTCGGTCCTCAGCGGCGAACCCGAACTCGACCGTTTGTAGTCCCGCCGGCACGCCGCCGGCCGCACCATCGGTGACTCGTAGACGTGCGACAGGTTCAGCAGCCGGCGCTCCTGAACGGAGGACACCGGGGAACTGACGTCCCAGGTCAAAGCGGAGGCGGCGACTTTTTGGTCCTGTTCGTGCGGCTTTGAAGGTCGCAGTTTGGAGGTTTCCTTGTCGTTCTTAAAAACCACCCGATGTGCGTCGACAAGGCCGTGTTTCGCTTGATGTTCCTCGCGAGACGCCGCGGCAACCGCCAGGGCGTGATCCAGGTCGTTCTTGCTATCCCTCGAAAAAACTGTTTCACTGTGATGGTAGTTTTGCAAGATCTGCATCACAAGTTTGCTACACATGACAAATTTGCCATGCCCGTTTCCCAAGGGAAAACACGCTTAAGGTGTAGCACGCTCAAGGTGTGCCCGTTTCCCAAGGGAATCCATTGCGTTGCAGGTGTAGCAAGACAAGCACTTTGGTGTTTCGCTCTCTGCATCACAAGTTCACAGTGAAGCAGTTTTTTTTTTTGCGATACTTGCGCGTGTACGTGCAGTACGGGTTGTTCAGTTGGTGGACTAGTACGGGTATCCTGTGCAAAAGTATCGTACTCGTGTTGCAGTCATGCATTACAATCTTGTTCTTAAGGTACATCAGCATTGCAAATTTTGTTTCTCATGCTGAGAAAGTTTGTAATGCATTTATACGAGGACGATACTTTTGCAGTTCATAACGGGTGATGTCTTCGATTTGGTGCCGGTTTGCAAATTGAAAGCGTTATTCTTTTCAAATTCAATCATCAAAGCACCAGTTTTAAGACTATTCCCAACCGACTGAGCACGAGCTGCAGCATCTGTTGTTCTACTTCCGCCAAATAGTTGTAGATGTCCATCTTGCAGCAAATCGGGTCGCTGCTTCTCGAGTACAATGTCCACCGCAGCTATTTCCTGCTTGATCTCACGCAGAAACTTCTCCTGCTCCAAAGCGGTGCCGGTAGCGGTTGTCACCTTGTATGAAAGAGTGGCAGGAGACGAGGGTTTATTTTCGACAAAGCGTTTCTTCGCATTTTTCACATCGTTTGCAGTGGCCGTAAAGAGTGGTCCGGTGCCTGCTCCCATCGACCGCTGGCTCGTCAAAGAATAATTATTGGCGGTACTTGTACTATTGCCCGACGGACCTCCGGTCAACAGCATGGTCCGCTTCCACATCTCGAGCGACACGTGCTCCTCGATTTTGCTACTGCGGGTTGCGGATGCGAGTGGGCCAAAGTTATAACCTCCTTGTTCTACCGAAGATACAGTTAACTTCGGTTTCATCGGCGTCGAGAACGGCGTCGGAGGGACGTTGTCGGCGAAGTTTCCGCCTAGAACACTCTTATCCTGCTCCTCCCGTGACTTCAGCTTCGGGGAGTTCGAGGCGTTGCGCAAACTCTTCAGCGTCTCTTCCTCCACGATCTTGCACAAGTGCCGGACGGCGGGTGATTCCGGGCCGCGAGCTGACCCAGATCCTGAGTCAAGGTGCTTCATCTGTTCGGAGTAGTCGGAGGTGTAGCTGCTGGCACAACCAGAGGAAATACAACTAGCCCCCACGGCCAACAGCGAGCGGTGCAATTCCTTCACGGCAATGGAGTCCTCTAGGATGTTCGTTGGCGTACTGCGGGGATGTTGAGCAAGCGGCTTTTCATCTTGCCCGACAGGGAGAACGCCCTCCTCGTGGTCCACCTCGTTGATTTCTTCATTGCACTCAGAGATTATTTTTGCGTCGATGGACGGTTTCACGTAACTTGTCTTTTGCGGAGAAACAGAAAATCTCGTTAATGAAGATGAAAATAAATTGTTGGACGACAGTACGCTACTCCGCGCAGTTGCAGTAGAGGTGCTGCTGGAAGATGAACAAGGTTTGACGAGCAGCGAGTCCGTTGCGGTACTAGAGGCTTGATTCTGCTTCACCACGGTCTCGGACGGTTTCGGAAGGAGTAGGTTCGTGTTGCTACGTGACATTTTTTTGTCGCAGCTGTCCTCGTGAAGACTCTCCGATGTAGCTGAGATCCCAGTCATCTTCGCTGCACCAGCGCCGGATAATTGGCTATCCCAGAGAAAAAAGCTGGCAGGGCATATCTGTAATGCGAGAATAAATACACGCAAAAACTTGTCATGGGTGGCCCCATAGCATGCTGTTTCGGCTATGCAATACATATTTTTTTGTGTATTTATTTTTGCATTACAAATATGCCCTGCCAGCTTTTTTCTGTGTGATATTGGGAACAAGATGAAAAGCTGGCGAAGCTCGAGCAGAACTGTTGAAAATTCCGCTCTTATCCTGAGTAAAAACGTACCCACACCATAGTCAAGATGGGGAATCGGCTAGACAAATCCACAAGTTTTGGCTGTTTTGCATGACAAATTTGGATTCGTAGTGTTGTGCTGTTTGAGCTAGCTTAGCAGCATCACAGATCTAGCATACCATGCTGATTGGAGCATGACAAATTGCAAAACACGACTAGAAAATGCTTCTCATGGGGCTCCGCATGAGAAACATTTTCAGCATGCGGATTTGCATTACAACTCTGGTGTGGGTACGTTTTTACTCAGGATAGCTCTGTCGGCTTGAAGAGCGCATTTCTGGTCGTGCTCGTCTGCACCTCTTCCTGCAATTCGGTCTGCGATTTTACCGCTTTTTCCAGCAGTGCTGTCGCGGTCGCCGCTCCCGAAGTCTTCATCATTCCGCGTGACGAGCCCCCACCTGGGCTGAACAGTTTCGTCGTTTTCGAAACATTGTCGAACGCTTTCGCGTTCCGCCCGCTGCATTCCTCCTTACTCAACAGCAAATCGCCGAACGGGAGCTGGGACTTGGGACTTTTCGGGGAAATTTTTCCAGGGGACAAACTGTAGTCGCAACCAGTTGTGACACGGCCGAGATCGTTCGCGAAAACTTTCTTCATCCGCTCGTCCTCATCCGCGTGGAGTTTGTCCGTCTGTTTCTTCTCATTACAAATCTCTTCGTGCAGATTCAGTGTCGACGGAACTTGCCAATCCGCCATCTTCGTCCGCAATGGACTCACCGCGGGAACGTAGCTTTTTACACTCCCCGCACGATTCGCGAGGTATTCGAGGAACTGGCCCTTCTTGGCGCTGGCTGGATTTCGTTCCGGCGAGGAACAAGCGGCTTGTTCTTCCGCTTTTTCGCGTGCTTTCCGCTGAAGCTGCTCGCGTTTTTGCCTCTCAAGAATCTGGGCGTAGGATATTTTTTCATCGTCGTGAACAAGATGATGAACAAGACCAGGACCAGCACGAGCTTGGTTTTTACTCTCCACATTGCGATTCTGGTGCTCCGCAACTGTAGTACTGATCGTTGCTTCAACATCCGGTATCCCCGGCGGCGCGGGTTTTTTCTCGGGAAGAAACATCAGCAACCGGCCGTCGACACCATTTTTTAAAAATGCGCTTGTCGATGTTGTTCCCGTCGTTTTAAAAGGCGGGGTAAGTCCGAAGTCGGCATGGAGATCACGATCACGATTTGAAGAATTCTCGAGGGCATCGTCCTTCTTCATACTCGAACTCGTCAGACGAGCAGGACGGAAAAGCATGACGGGATTTTTGGTCGTAGAAGATCCTGCTTCACCATCACGAGTTGTTCCACCTGCAGTAGAAGTTGTACCAACACGAAGCGTGTCGTTCTTGGAGGAGCTCTCCAGCATCATGCCGCGAATCTGCACCTTCTCCTGGTCACTGGTGCGAAACTTCGCGTACTCCGGAGAAATCAAAAGACGACTCAAGACGCTGCTTGTCGTGCCACAACTATTTTGTGCGGATGAGCGGCCTTTTGTAGGCGTGAAGTCGGAAGCGTTTCTGTTGAGCGGAACAGCGGCTGGCGTGCTGGTCGTCGCAGGTGCAAACTTTTCTTTCTTCTTCAAAGTCTCGACGTGGTCTTGTGGCACGGAAGCTTGCAGCTGCGGCCCATCTGCAGCATCTGCCGGCACAAAGCCTTGCTTTTCCGGCGATTGGAGCTCCAACAGTGTGGTTCTACCAATCATACCAGTGACAGCACTGCTGGTCGTCGAAGTAGCGGCCTGCGGGGCGTTTATTCCCGTACTTCTGGACAACAAGGTGGGACCGTTGGCACTTGCAGATTGCAGGGGATCCTGCACCGATGAATGTTTAGTTTGCGGCTGGTCTGCACTGCCACCGAGCTTGTTGATGGTACCAGGGTGTTCATGACTGGTAGGAGAAGTGACGCCAGATAATGTTCCTCCTGCCGCATCATCTAATGGATTGTTCTGTCCCGAGATCTTCATTTTCGGCGACGTCATCATGTTTTGCACCACCTTCGGCGTTACCTGCGTCGAAACGTCATGTGTCACATTCTGCAGAAGTTGCACCTGCGCAGAAGTACTAGCAGACGCCTTGGTTCCGGCACCTCTTTCCGCTCTCTCGCGGAGGAAGTCGAACTCTTGCGGCTCGTCAGATTGCAGTGCGAGGACAGATGCCGCCGGCGAGAAGTTATTTTCACCTTGCGAAGACATGGAGATGGTTTTTTCGTGATCGTGAATCAACGAAGTTCCCGTCATGGATTTCCCCGTCTGCGACAAGGTGCTGCTGGGAAAATTGTTGGCCGAAAATGAATCTTGGACGATTAGACCGCTGGCGGTTGATGCCTGAGCGGCGGCGCCGGACTGCTCATGGTCCGAAGAGGAGGTGCGAGAGAGAGAAGTTGTGATCTGAAGGTCGGGATGAACCCCTTTGGTGTGATGTTGCGCAGCTCCTGGGCCGGTAGAAGTCTTCGGACTGGTCGTGTTGCCGGCGCTATTTTCATCTGTATGTGCGGCGAGTCCTGGTGCTGCGGCCGGCAATTGGAAGCCGGTTGGCAGGACTTGCACCATGCGACTGTCGCTGGAGCTGTAATCCATGCTCTCATACAGTTTATTGCTGCCGCGATCCATAGTGAAGATGAGAGCCTCCTTGCGGCTAGATGAAAGTAGATACTGTACAGGGGATGAAAGTTGTGAGTAGAAGAAGGTCAATATTGTCGAAATCAGGTTTTACAAGAACTTCTGAGCTACCATTTTTAGCTGGAACCAGATGATGCCAGGAAAGCAGAAGTACCAATAGGGTCTTCACTACTTGTGGCGTGTAGCAGGAGCGTCCTGCGGAGGCAGAGGATTCAGATATATTGTCAAAAAGTATGAGCAATGCCGAAGAACTGCATCAGATTCAGATTTATGAAAAATTGCGCTTCTTGCAAGAAAAAAAAAACGCTTGGTTTTTTCGCTCGACGAAGAAAAGAAAACAGAAATTTACAACCCAAAAACAGCAAAAAAAAACCGAGCCGCGGCGCAACAAGGATGACGACAACCAAATTGAAATTCATTGTTCCGAGCGAAAAAAAATAAAAAATCAACCATGGAGGGAAAAAAACAAGCGCGGAATAAACAACATCGCTCCGCTTCGACAGCAAAAATCCTGTTGTACGCACTCTTCTTGTTGATGCCTATTCTTATATGTTTTTTATTTTTTAGCTGTGAAGATCCCAGCACGCGAGGGTTTCTGGCAAAGCGTTCAGGCATTGGTGGGAACACGCTGATATTGTAGGTGGAAGATGTGTGAATTTTTTCTTTGTGCTTGCAACAGGATTTATTCGATGCGGCCAATCTTCTCCCAGAAACGGCTAAGAGGCTGTGCCACAGTGAATCGCTCTGCAGGGTGCTGCGATCATGGCACTTACTGAGTAAAAGGAGCACGACTTATTCGACAAGCAAGGTGACTGCGCTCGCTTTTTTCTACGTGTTCAAAAATCCTTCGCATCTTCGTGATGCAGAGCTGTTCCCCGAACGCCCATTATCTGTTCAATTTTCACTCGGGAGAATTTTCCGGTCGTCTTGTCTTTCGCCGCGTGAAAGCTCTGCCCAGGCTCCGGGACGAGAAAATCGTGCTTGATTGTCGGCCCGCTGGCCCACGTGCGCGTTCCGAATTTGGTCAACCGTTTCTCTTTCTCCGGTGGCGCTGGTGCGGACGTTTCTTCCTCATCGCTTTTGGAGGTCGCACTAGTATCCTTGTTTTGTTCTGCTCTATCGCTTGGATCAACCTTTATTTTTCCGGCCGGTTTTTTACCCGTAGAAGTACTCGACGCGCTCCTACTTCTTTTTCCACCGCAAGAACTGCAAGAAAACAACAATCTCACTGCTTGTCTTGGCAGCGTCCAGAGAAGCATCTTCAAGCAAAAGGGCAGGAAGAAAACGGCCATGTAGATGGCCCTCCCAACTCTCAACAACCCCGGCACGCAGCACAGCGGGAAAATCTGCTCAAGAACGTTCTTCCAGCCGCCCAGAATCCGCAACACGTAGATCTGCAGTGCCCAAACCAGCTGGATTGTCACCAACGAGGAAGCGGAAATGAGGTCCACGATGCGAGCGGCGCGCATGTCGAAGTGCTGGCCGCTCTGGTCGGCCGTGTCGGAGAAACCTTTTCCGGCGCCGACCGCGTAGGAAACGCACATGCCGAGAGCGGTGATTTGGAGACGGGCAACGGATATGGCGTAGTTCTCAAATGTTACATTCTCAACTGGTGCATGAATTTGTCATGCAAAACTCTCAATAATATTGATAGTCATATCTACAATCTCATCGCAAGACTCACGAATAATTCAATTTCATGAATAATTCAAATTGAATAATTCAATTTCATGAATAATTCAAATTGAATAATTCAAATTCATGAATAATTCAAATTGAATAATTCAATTTCTTGAATAATTCAAATTGAATAATTCAAATTCTTGAATAATTCAAATTGAGTAATTCAATTTCAGAATCTTAGCCCAGTCTCAATCTTATTCGAGTCTGAATCTGAAATCTTAGCCCAGTCTCAAATCTTATTCGAATCTCCAATCTTATTATCAAGTCTTATCTCAAATCTTAAACTGCTGCTCATATCTACAAGATCTTTGCAAGACTTGCGAGAAATTCAAAACGTTCAAGAGTTCAGCGCATCTTTTGAGTTCGGTTCACCATTTGAGTTCAATGCACCACTTGAGTTCAATTCACAACTTGAGTGCAATTCACTATTTGAGTTCAGATATCTTCAAGCCATAGTCTCATACTCAAAAGATTCGAATCTCAAATCTCAATCGCAAATGAATCATAGTCGAATCATCTCAGAAGTCGCAGCTTCTTCTCTCATCTTGGAATCATCAAAGTCGTCATCTTACTTATCCTATCTTAAAAGTAGAGTCATAATCTTCTCAAAGTCATAGTCTCAATCTTCATAATTGAATCGACAAGCCTTCATCAAGATGTGAGTCTTCATCTCGAAAGTCATAAATCTCGATCGCAGGCCATAGTCTAAAACCCACAGTCTAATTTTCTATTTTTTTAAACTCATCAAGATGCGAGTCTTCATCTCAAAAGTAATAATCTTAGATCTTAAAGCTATCGTCTTAGATCTAAAAACTATTCATGCAGATTGGGGCGCAATGTCATCATATCGCAAGGGCGGGGGGGGCGCGGGGGGGGGGCCAGGGCCCCCCACATGTAAGTCTTCATCTTAAAAACAAAAACTATTCTCTCATACAGACTGGGGCGCAGTATCATATCCATGCCCGCTTCACAATATCGACCGAGACTACGCGCCTAGGCAACAAGATATCGAACGGCGGCCGTCTTCATCTCAAAAGTAATAATCTTAGATCTTAAAGCTATCATCTTAAATCTAAAAACTATTCACGCAGATTGGGGCGCAGTATCATCATATCGCAAGGGCGGGGGGGGCGCGGGGGGGGGGGCAGGGCCCCCCGCATGTAAGTCTTCATCTTAAAAACAAAAACTATTCTTTCATACAGATTGGGGCGCAGTATCATATCCATGCCCGCTGCACAATATCGACCGAGACTACGCGCCTAGGCACCAAGATATCGAATGGCGGCCGTCTTCATATCAAAAGTAATGATCTTAGGTCTTAAAGCTATCATCTTAGAGCTAAAAACTATTCATGCAGATTGGGGCGCAGTATCATCATATCGCAAGGGCGGGGGGGGCGCGGGGGGGGGCGAGGGCCCCCCACATGTGAGTCTTCATCTTAAAAACAGAAACTATTCTTTCATACAGATTGGGGCGCAGTATTATATCCATGCCCGCTTCACAATATCGACCGAGACTACGCGCCTACGCAACAAGATATCGAATGGTGGCCGCGACGCGCTGCAACCCAGAAAGCGACCTGAAAAACACTGCGAACGCCACAAAACGGGGCGGGGGGGGCGCGGGGGGGGCTCAGGGGCCCCCGCATACATTTCCGCTTAGATGTATCGACCGAGACTAAGGAGCACCGAGGCAGCAAGATATCTTCGCACAAACCCACAAGACTGCGCAAGGAAGGACACAAACGGTGGAGCAGGCCGAGGCCCGTCGGGTTATAACCTAACACGGCGAACATCTTCGATCGACCGGAAACACAGCGGCGGCTACTTTGCTCAAAGCCGCTCATCACTTCATCCAGGTACACATCACACAGAGAACTGTCGGCAGGACTTTCTTCAAAAAAAAACCAGCCGGACACGTCGCCCCCAGGTCTGCCAACATCTATGACCAGTGCAGTGATGACGTCGGAAGCAGCGCGACATCTGGCCGCACCGCGGCAAATGCTGCGGCAATGGCGTCCGTATAATCTTCGGAAATGCCCACGACTTCGTCCAGAAAAAACTTCGCCCGCTGCCACGAAATCAACCACCAGCCCCCAGCTTTCCTTCTGGCGCTTCGGCTGCTGCGAGGTGAAAAACCACGAAACAATGTGGCCACTGGCGGCCTTCGAATCCCCGGCCCAAATATATTCCGCCGCGACTCCCAGTGCGTTCGGCTCCCTGTGCTCCCTCTGCGCACCCGTGCGCCGGTGATAAATGGCACCCCGACGAATCGGATTGAATCGGCCGCGCTCGCCCGATATGGCATACTCCTCTTTCGACATTATGTGGCGGCTAGCTATCTCAATATCCTTAAAAGCCTAGAAATAGCGAAGCGGCAGAAGGACAGGCTAAAGGAAAAAAATAAAAGCGATCGGTGGCGACAAGGAAAATCTAGGAGCTCACGAGGATGATAATAAAGTCGCACTGAAAAAACCAAAGATCTGCGAGATGCCTGCATGTGCGAGGCGGGAGGACCAAATCCGAAAGAGATCAAGTAGGCAAAAAAGCGATGGTCGCTGTTTGAAAATGGAATGCGTATGGGCAAGTGAATGCGAAGCCCTAGACTTTCATCTTGGGCGATCTTGCTACGCGCCTACTGCGCCCGTCTTCCGGCTTCCGGCAGTCTAAGGAATTAAGCGATCTACGGCTGCGCTGCTTTACGCCCGGGGCTCTAGCGCAGGCAATTTAGGAACAAGGCGAGTCAATAAGCAATACAAAGCCTACGGCGGAGATCCAGACGCCTGCTCAATAAATACTTCCAACGATCCGGATTGAGGCTAAGGCGTCCGGCTTCTTCCAAACAGGGCCCGACCTGATGCATGCTGCGCAACAGAGCGAGGGAGGGTGGACGGGGTGTCCCCACCCGCGCATGAACCGCGCATCCTCATCCTTGACACGTGTGCAGGATAAACACACACGGTGCACGGGCCCCGCAACTGTGGGAGGGGGAGGGAGGGGCGGTCTACTACCCTTTCTAGCGCAAGTATGCGCTGTCACCCCTAGCGGGCGCAGCTATTCGAGTCTCGTCTAGATCTACATCATCAAGCTGCCTTGCATGATGACAAATTTCCGAAGGGCTGAACAGCATATAAATCTGTGCCAAACCTGTAATGCAACAGGCAAAATCTCTCCCCTTGCGCTTTTGCCGTTCTTGCATTACAGATCCATGTAACAGTTGAGGATATAACGTTTGAGAACGCCATAACGGAGGCGAACACGATGTGATCCAGGATGGTCAGGTAAGGCACGCGGGGCAACCTGAGCAAGATGTATAAATGTTTTACTATATTTTATTTCCGTATCAACATGAACACGTGTAACATGCGAAGCTTCATACGTACGAGAGCAGGTATCTATGGTTCTTCTTGCACTTCTAATGCCTATGAGTAAACACTCATCTCCTTCTCGCTATGTGCGTCAACATCAATACCTTTCCGTGATAATCCACTGTATGGCGAAGCACGTGAGAAAGATCGCCACCAGCAGCTGCATGTGCATTGCAAAAATGTCTGGGCCTGGAAGAGTGCAACTTGTGATGCTAGTCCTACACTCCTGTAAAATCTGTATTGCATGACTAACAAAAACGACGCCCACTTTGGTCATACACAAGCGCAGTTTCTCATGCGGAATGAGCATGAGAGAGCGTTCTGCAAACTTGTCATGCTTGGCTGCATTGGCAAATATTTCAGTCATCCACAGTTCAGCATCACAAGTTTCTAGACCCAGACATATTTGCAATGCATATTGTAGCCTCCCGGCGAGTTCTTCCGGCGAGATGATGAAGGAACAGTAACCGAAAAAAATACAGGCGGATAACGGGAACATCTTCTGAGAGTGCACAACTCCCCCTCCCTCTCATTCGCATAGCATGAACAGCAATACAACAAACACCAGCACATGTGGAGCCTATGCATGCCAAATTTTTTCTGTGCCTGATGTAGTACTGTCTGGGCTTCCCGAATTTGTCATGCAAACAGTGCCACCGGGCAGCGACTGGATTTGGGGTTTTGCATGACAAATGAGGGGGAGGGGGAGTTGTGTATATCTCATACATCCCCTTGTGCACGTAGTAGACGACCACCCTCGAAAAGTGCAACGACCACGCCACGTCTTCGTACTTCAGTCCCGTCCCGGGCGACACGTGCGTCATCTTCGCGTAGGACACTGCCGTCAGGTCGAACTCCGCGACCGTGGTCTGGCAACTGACGTTATCCACAGGAAATTGGAATTTCCCACATAGGCGCTCAACTACATCAAATGCGGTTGCTGCAAGACAAAATGCGCCATCAATCCTATTCAGCATGACAAGTAACGTGCTCCAAGTTGGCAAGATTAGTACAATAAATGCATTTTGTCTGTGTGCGGGAGATTCATCAAATTTGTATTGCATAGACGTTCATGTCCCGCCGTTTCGACTCCACGGGCCCCCAATAGAAACAGACTTGATCGGAGGTCTCCACTATGCAATGCAAAAGCATCGCACTAGTATAAATTGCATGACAAATTCCCTCAGCATGAAAAATGAAATTTGTAATGCGGATTTCGGTTAAGAGGGAGATTTGTAATGCATGATTGCGATTACTACGAGTGCGATACTTTTGCACAGGATATCCACCCGCTGCTCGCCTGCCAGGATGATGACGAAATCTAGACGAAGCTTGTCAAAGGGAAAGGACATCATCCGGTGGGGGTCTTAGGCAATACAAAAGCAACGTACTAGTATAAATTGCAATACAATTACAAATTAGCCCAGCATTTTTACAAATTGAATTTGTAATGCTGATTTACCTTGGGAAAGAGGTTTGTAATGCAAAAATGCAATTGCTACGAAAAATACGATACTTTTGCACACGATAGGTCTTCGAGCATATCGATGTTGCACGATTCCAGGGGAAATTCGAGCAACAGCCGGCCGGTTTTTCTCCCCTCGTTCCCCTGGTAAAACTGCGGCGTGGGTATGTTCGCGTGCGGGTTCGTCTGAATGAGGGAAGAAGACGACCGCCGCGCTTTTTTCGGCTTGATGTTCTTGCTAGAAGTACCCTTCGTTCGGCTGGTCACGACAGTGCTGGTTTCCGCCGCGGAAACAGTCTGGGTTTCGCTTCTATCGACGTGGTCTTTTGACGTTTTCGCTCTAACTCCAGCTCCCGCCTCGCTATTCGCATTGTTCTCGACCACACCTCCAGCTGCAACTCCTGCTGCCAATTCAACTACGGCATCGTCCTCGTCTTCCTCGTCGTCCTCCTCCTCCTCCGCTTCTACCGTGGTGGTCTGCTGCAATGCGGAGATCGTGGCTTTGTTGTCTCGGAGATACACGTTTTCCACACTGTCGAGCATGCTCATCTCCGGGCGCCAAATGTTGACCGGCGGGTCCGTGTCCTCGGGCCAATTCGCCAACCGCGGGTCGTTCCAGTAGAAGCGGAAGTCAAACTTTGCCTTCAGCAGCTCGTTATCAAATGCAAATATGTCTGGGTCTGGAAGACTCCAAGGTTTGTCATGCAGGTTTTCCATGACGCATGAGGGTTCGGTTGGAATGCAGGACCTAACATGACAGAATCTGTGAGATCTCTAGTCTAGTATCATGTCTGTCCTGCGTGACAAACTCCCTCTCACTTTGGTCAAAAGTGGACAGCTTTTGGCAATCATGCAACACAGATTTTTGCATCGTCCAGACTTAGCATGACAAGTTGCAGTGTTCCAGACCAAGAAATATTTGCAATCCATACTCCTCCCCGCTCTCCGACGTGATGACCGACAGCGAGCTTATATCAAGCAAAAAAGTGTATGAGACATTCTGCACAATTAGTTGTAAAATAATTAGTAAAATGTATTTTTTGATTGCGGAGAGGCACCGTGCCGTCGGCGGAATGCTGCTTTTCCAGTACCTGCCCTGTACCTGTAGTGGATCCGGTTTCTGGTAAGGTATGTTTTGGAATGGTCTGATCATGTACTTATTTAGGCTCCAATCTGAACTAGCTAGTTAAGGTGGTGGCCACCCCATTGAAAAGAAGCCAGGAAGCCAGCGTCGCGGACCCGTCTATCTCGACCTGAGTCACGCCGTTCTAGCAGCTGGTAGGCCGCCAACCGTCGCCGGGGCCCCGTCCGGGGCCCCGGCGACGGTTGGCGGCCTACCAGCTGCTGAAGGAGGCGGCTCTACCCACCGTTCAACCCCAATACGCAGCTTCCTTCTGGGCTTCTCCCGCAGACTGGCTTCCTGCTTCTTAAACTAGCTAGTTCAGATTGGAGCCTAGTTATATATGTCATCAAAGCAGGTGTACCAAGGTCTCCAGTTCCGGTCGCGGTTTCGGGTTCCAGTTTCGACATCACCTCGGTGCTGACAGGCTGCTAAATGCAGCCTCTTTGAGATCAAAAAATGAAATTTACTAATTATTTTTCAACTAATTGTGCAGAATGTCTCATAAAGTGCTAACGTTAACGGTTTTGGGGCATTGCAGTCATGCATGACAAATTTTCGCTATCATGCATGCTATGCAATACAAATTTGGGCATCGTTTCTCGTGCATTCCTGCATGCCACATTCCGTTAACGTTAACACTTTTTGGTGTGATAGCTTACCCTAAAATGCACCTCCAGGACCACCGGAGCGGCTTCGGAAAACACCAAGTCTTCGGTGGAGTAGGGATCGATGTCTCGGAGGGTATTGAAATCGTCCAGAGGGGTGCGGGAAGTTGTCCCACCGGCTGGTGCACCTCCCGGAGTGGGTTCTTTCTTCGGGGCTGAGATGATGGGGTTTATATGTAATTTCGATATTGAGCACTTTCTTCGCAATAAGCAGTAAACGAGATTTTTCATCAAATACGAAGTGTTACTTGTCGCGGTCTGTTCACCATCCTCCGTGGCCCTTTCGTCTGGTGCAGCAGCTCCAGGTTCTACTTCCGCGTTCAGATTCAGCTCGTCTTTCGCCCCCGGATAGGATTTCTCGATCACCAGGCCCGGTGGCCGCAGCGCCCAGTTGATGACGTTCGCGGACTTGGTTGACGAACCGGAGGAGCGCCGTCGACCACCACCTCCCGTCTTCACGGACCCGCCGCCGACAGACGACCGGTCTGCCCCTTGCGTCGTGTACTGCTCGGAACTTGTCATGGACGAGGTGCTATGTTGTATCTTCACGAAGATGATAGATTTTGATGCCCTTCGTCGTCGTGCTTTTTACTAGGATGTCGTGGAACCAAACTTCATCACGCAGTCAAAACGGTTCTCGCATTTATTCCAAATCATGCTGTCGCGATTGATTTGCAGCGACGCTTGCAGCTTGCTACCGGAGCTCTCGGTGAATCCTAACCGATTGTTCGAATCTTCCCCGCTCCAGCTCCCACTCGTGGTCGCGCGCGCTCATCACACAATGTTTTTATACACAAGTAACTCGCAGCCGCAGGAAAATGTGATCACAATTACGCCAGAGGGCGCCAACACAGTGCATGATTGATGTTGACACTGCTCCCACTCGTCGGAAATAATCTCGATTGTAATACCAATGCGAACGGCCACGGCGCAAAATCAAAATTTCTTGCAATGAGCACGATATCCCCGGTGATGTGAAGGAGAAGGTGTTGCCGTTCGCGCATTAAAGTCCCTTTATCTCTTCTCCTCGACAAGTGGTAAAAAGTCCTTCCGGGCTATACTCGAAATGTGCGTTAGCACGTTCCCATCGGCCGTTTCTGTTGTGTAGCTCACTTCGTCTTCGTACCGAAAGCCGAATTTTTTGCTGTACCATTCGCGCAGCCAGGTCTCTTCCATATGCGACCACAACGACAGCCACGGCCAGCCAGCGAGGTCGCATGTAGTCGACGTTCTACTTTCGCCACCTGCGGGAAGATCTTCAGGCTGTGACTGTTGTATGCGCATATTAATAATTTCCCTTTCATAGAACCGCAGGACGTTCGAAACGAGGAACGTCGCGACTCCTTTGTTCCGATACTCTGGGACCACGTACAAGTCCGTCAACCACGGCCGAAACTGCAGGTCGACTGAATATTCGCCGGCGGCGTTGCGCTCGCCCGCCGGCAGGTCTCCGTCGTCGAGCCCGATGTGGGCGACGATCTTTTGGTCTTGATTGTTCACCTTTTCCATTGTATCCTGCTCATTGTCCTGGCCGCCCGCGTCGCTAACGCTAACCTCCGCCACGACAAAGAAGAGAGGCAGGAGGCTCAGAACCTCTTCTCGACTGCGATAAGTGGATGAAGATGCGCCGTCTGTGACAGAGATATGATTTTGTTCTTCTACAGGACCACGACGATCTTCGTTCACTAGGTCCCCTCCCTGCTGGGTCCTTGCCGCAGAATTTTTACCACTTCTTTCTCGCTCGTCTACTTGCCGCGCTGCGAAGTCTTCGGCATTCGCGGCCACAGTCTCCATGTAGCACTTGACGTCTTCCATGGAGAGCAGCCCATACGCACGTGCGAACCCTGCCCACTGGGACCAAATCCTTTCAGAAATTATCGCAGCGTCTCGCGCTTCGGCTGGCCGAAAAACCCATTGGCGGTTCTTGTCGGACACGACGGCGAATCGGCGGGTGGACATTGGTTAGTTTTGCTGATGATGTTGATGGATAGCGAAAATAAAGAACTAAGTAGTAAGTAGAACGAAGTAAGGATCTAGATTCGAGTACACCTCAAGTGGGGCGCGCTATGCATGAAATTCATGGAAGACTTAGAACACGCGAAGGAGAAAAATACTACACTGTAACAAGGTGGCCGCCTGAAATGATACATGAAACAAAAACTAGATGATGAAGATGAAGTAGTGAAACTAAAGAAATGACGACGACAAGGACAGGCCTGTAGCTTGCTCCCGATTCTGGCTAAAAAATGCGACGATAAATGAGTTTATCATAGGAATATTCTTGGATGTTTGTTTATTGGCCAGTGGTGGTGCGCCTCCGTTTCCTTTCGTTGCGTCGTCGCTCAGGCCCTAGCAGAAGTGCATGCGGGATGCAATTATTTCACCCATTTCAGGACGGAAGAACCACATTCTCAAACAATTCTGACGAAATGATGGCGCTCGGCCTATCTCCAACACTCGCCCCGATACATGTGGATAAGAACCCTAAAAACGAGACGAGCCGTCCCTCGCCACATGTCTGAACGACACAAATACCAACCGGGCGACCAGACATTCAGACGATCATCCACAAGGATACTGCCGCGGAGGCCATTAGGTAGCCGGCCGGGCCAGCCCCGGTCATTTTCGGTGCTACGTGCGCGTGCTCATGAACATAAGCCAAAAATGTAGTAAACTATTTTTGTTGTTCTGGAACTCTCAAGTAACCACACATGCTTTCTTCATTCAGTTGGGTAGCGAGCCTGAGCCACTCACATCATGATCATCATCGTTAACAGTAAGTAACACCTCCATCCCTTGCGCGGCGGTGTGCCAATTGTACTTCTGTCGACCAAGAACCATTCTCATACCGGCACGGCTCTTGCAATTCGTCAACAAGAAACCACTCACAACTTCTGCAACCGTTCCTGAATAGCGGCGTATCCATCCGCCTTCGCGTATTCCGTTTCGATTTCGGGGACGGAAAAGGGTAGAAATCGAAAGTTCAACTCCTGCAACTCCGTTTTCGTCTTCTCCAACTTGTTTGCCGGCGTGGAAACGGAAAACACGACAGGGTTATTTGCCTTTCTCTTCTTCTGCACAGAAGATGTTGTTCTTGAACTAGTATCAACTATTCCAAACAGCGGCGCGATGTACTGTTTCGTGACCCGTTTCAAATCTTCCTTCTTCACGTCCATCAATCTCGCCAGCATTCTCTGCACCTTGTTCTCCCCGCGGCGGCTGATCGTGTCCAGGTAGCTCCCGCTCGTGATGGCCGGAATGGTGCTCAGTCCGGCGATCAAATCGAAGGTCAACCCGGAGCGTGCCGCGTTCAGAACGACGTCATCGTCCAGAAGAGGAGTCGCGGCTGCTGCATCTTTCACTTCTTCAGGCTTGCTGGTGTTCATCTCCGTGCTGTTTTGATGCTGTCCAACCGCTTCCTCCACGATTTTCTTCGCTTCCAAGAACGCCGGCACCGGGTTCGTGCTCTTCTGCAACACGAAGGTCAGCAGCCCGCTGTCCAGGCTGAGCCCCAAAGCGTAGTTGTAGGCCAGCCCGCGGCCGCGAATCTTCCGCCAAAACGGGCCCTCCAACATGGTGAAGCACTCACAGGTATCCATTGCAAATATGTCTGGGTCTGGAAACTTGTGGTTGTGATGCAAGTCCGCGAGCAATAAAGTGCTCTGTAATGCGCCGCCAAGCATGACAAGTTTCTTCGTGCTTCTGTGCTGCGTATTTCGCATGAGAAACAGAAACTGCGCTTTTGCATGACAGGCAAGAGGACCCCTTGGGAGCCACGCAATACAGAGTGCAGAGTCATGCCAGACTAGCATGACAAATCTCGCAACTACCTTCCAGACCCAGACATATTTGCACTGCATAACAGGCGAGCAGCAACGCGCACACGTCCGGGTGATCCAAGTCGGACAGACAGGCGGTTTTATCGCAAGAAAAAAGTGCTACAGTTACGCATTGTGTTGCAAGACCGGCAACACAGACAACCTTTCTCATGCAGGAAATGCTTGGGAGCCTGGTTTCCTTCCTGTTTTCCCTTATGATCTTCGCATTACAGGTTTTCTCTGCCACACAGAGAAAATTTGTGATGCAGAAACTCCAACAGCAACAAATGTGTAACTGTAACACTTTTTTCGTGGGATAGGTTTGCATCCGCAGGTAGTTGGACTCGATGGAAGAAGCGTAGACAACGATGCCGCAGGGGGATGAATTTTCATTCGTTGCAGTATTTGTGGTGCTCGCTGTTTGTTCCTCATTATCATTTGCCTGCAACAAGGTGCTCTTCTTCGTCTCGTCACACTCAATCGCCAGGCAGGTCCAGGTCGGTAGCGGTGTGTACCGTGTGGAGCAAAGGTCGGTCCACAGGTCTTCGGTGAAAAACTTGTGTTGCGGGGTGGTCTTGTCCAGCAACTCGGCCAAATCCCCGCCAACGTGCATCGCGACCGTGGACAGTGTATCAAAATGAAAAATCTCCCCTCTCCATATCAAAACGGAAATCTGTGATGCGGAATTTCTGTACACAAATCAAATCTGTCTTGCAGTAGAGCAATGCACGCAGATCGCAAGCCTAGACAGGGGCCTCTTGCTGTAGGCGCCTAGCATGGCAGACGTCTGCCCTGTAGGCCCTACAGCATTACAAATCGCCTACATAACGCGGGGGACAGCCTAAAGGTGCCTTCTTGCATGACAAACCGGATTTGTGGTCACAAATCTGCAACGCAAATTTTCAGGACGGTGCGTTTTCAATATGGGGAGGGGGGATTTTTCTTTACGATACAGCGCCTTCTGCAGTTCTCCCAAGCCACCGATCATTTCCTCGATTTTCGCCTGTTTTGTCGCCTCGTCAACCTTATGCATTGCAAATATGTCTAGGTCCGGAAGATTGCGACTTGTCATGCTAAATCCGAATCATGCAGAAATCTGTGTTGCATGAGTGCCAAAAGCTGTCCCCTTTTGACCAAGTTGAGAGGGAGTTTCTCATGCAGGAAAGGCATGATAAAGACCTCAGAGAATCTGTCATGCTGGGTCTCGCATTCCAGACCTCATGGGTCATGGAAAACCTGCATCACAAATCTTGCATTCTTCCAGACCCAGACATTTTTGCATTCCATAAACCTCTGGCAGCATCTCTTCATCCGCCGGCGTCGTGCCCTCCATAGTCACGTCGGAGGTGCGGGGGGCGGGGGAGAAATCCTTGTCATTTTTGCTGTCAGATGTATTCTTGCCTTGGTCATCATTATCAGCAGCATCGGGCATGGCTTCATCGTCCTCCTCTTCCTCCCCGCCTTCCTCATCCTCGCTGCCATCCTCGTCTTCACCCGCCCCCGATTCATCCTTCCCCGTGGCAAACATTTTCAGCTGCGCCAAGATCTTCGGCCAGGAATTCACTTTCTGCATGCTCCGATCGTCGTACACCAACGCCCGCCCGGCTAAGCAGCACAAACTCCACCCCTGGCGTTTCTCCTGAGGTAACACGTTGAGAATTCTCGAAATCGCCAATTTCACTTTCTCGTGCGTGAACACCACGTCTTCTTTGATGCGTAGCAACAGTTTCGTTCCCTTCACCAAATCCTCTTTTGCCACCTTGGCGTAGAAGAAAATCGCGTCTGTCCCGATCGTGTCAAACGCCAAAGTGTCTGGGTCTGGAAGGTTGCAACTTGTAATGCTAGCTCTCCATACCTAGCAAATCTGTATTGCATAGCCAACAAAAGTCGCAGCCTCTTTGGTACACGCAAAAACGCCGTTTCTCACGCGGATTTCCTATGAGAAAGCGTTCTGAAAAGTTGTCATGCTGTGTTGCATTCGGAACTGTTTCCATCATCCACATTTTAGCATCACAAGTTTCCAGACCCAGACATCTTTGCAATCCATAGATCGGTCCGGCCCCCCAGGTAGACCCGGAATTTTTCCCCTGCGACGGGCAGCAGCTGGAGTTGTTGAACACTTCCGTGACAAGTTTCACCGTTTCTTCGGCTGTAGTCGCCGGTCCGAGGTTCGATTTTTTCAACGGACTTTGAAACGCCAGTTCGCGCCAGATGGTAATCAGTTCCCGCAGTTCACCTCTTCCCTCTGGCAATTTGAAAATCAACCGAATGTCGCAGATATGCATTGCAAAAGCATCGCACTAGGGAAAATTGCATTACAAATCAGCCCAGCATTACAAATCAAATTTGCAATGCTGATTGACCTTGAGAAAGAGATTTGTAATGCATGAATGCAATCACTACGAGTACAATACTTTTGCAATTCATAGCAGAACTGCGCCCCCTCGATGCTGTCGATCTGAATCCTTGCCGTCGGCGTGGCGCCCCGGCGGTGGGCGACGAGCTGCTCCGTTTTGCAGGCGATCAACTCCACTTTCCGCAAATCGGGCGGCTCGATGCTGGTCGCCAAAACCTCCTTGGGCGGGTCGATCCCGTTTTGCGCATCCGCTTGGGTTATGCATTGCAAATATGTCTGGGCGAGGAGGATGGCAACTTGTGATGCGCATTTCAGATCACACAAAATCTGTGTTGCACAAACAGCAAAAGCTGTGTACTTATGTTTGGGCAGGGTGAGAGCGGATTTGTGATGCAGAGTAGGCATCGTGAAGCTCTCGAAGAACCTGTGATGCTGGTCCTGCATGCCAGACACTCCGGGTCATGCAAAACCTGCATCACAAACGTCTGCATTGATGCAGACCTAGACATTTTTGCAATCCATATGGGTCAGCTGGTCCGCCTTTTGCTTTTTTCCCTCCTCGCCCAGTTGGTCTTTCTGCGCGTCGAGCCGTTTCGTTTCGTCGCTTTGCAATTTCTCGGCGGTTTCCTTGGACGGCTTCCCAAATAAGCAAACCCGCTGGTTGTCAATGAAAACCGAACGCAAAACCTGCTTCCACTGCTCGTCCGTCCAGGCTAGCAACCGGTCGAAACGCTCGATCTTCGACATGTTGGCTAGGAGGACGGACCCGGGCTCCTGAGAAGTTGTCCCATTGGTCGTCATCTTCTTGTTCCCCTCTACATCTACGTCATTGTGGTGGTCAAACGACGGCCCGAACAGGAACTCGGAAATGAGAAAGTCGCTGTACGCATCGTGCGGCGACCCCTCGAGGCGTTGCAGGTGCTTCCGCTTGCCCAGCTCTAGCAAGGAGCGCAGGCGCTGCAAATCCAAGTTGTCGACCTCCTCTTCGAATACTTTCACGACGGCCTCGTCGATTTTGTTTGTAGTTCCTGGCGATTTGGATTTGCTTCCGTCGGAGGTGGAGGTCGCAGTAGTACTGTGTAGGTACAGCCCGAGGTTCTCCAGGTTGATGTTTTCTAGCTCCAATGTGAAGACCGTTTCTGACACCTCCAGCTTGCCGAACCCGACCGTCGCGCAGAGCGGCTCCATCTGCAACTCCTCCGGCGGGTCGGAGAACCGCTTTCGCAAGGGGGAGATGCTATCCTTGGTGAAGTAGCTCAACAGGGTTTCACAGGCGAGAATTCCGTCGAAGTCCGCCCATTTGGGGCCGAACCAGGAGATCTGCACACAGCCGCCCGCCTCGTCGTCCTCCGCGGGAAAAACAGTTTCCTTGTACTGGTTCGTCCTCAATTTCTCCATCGGGGTAGAGAACGGCCGGGCTTTCAGCAGCACGTTGGCCGGGTTCTTCGGGTCCAAGAGTTCCAACGGGTACCGGTCCAATACCGGCAGCAGCACCCTGCACAAATCCCCCAACTCGCACTGCCCGCAGACGATGCAGCAAATGTTGTTCGGCGCGTAGTAGGCCTTGTGGTAGTCCTGGATTTGTTTGTTCGTGATGTCCCGGAGTTCCCGCAGCCGCCCGCCCGTTTCGGATTTCAGGGACTTGTTCTGGTCTGTGAACTATGCATTGCAAAAGTATTGCATGGTATAAATTGCATTACACATTTACCTCAGCATTACAAATTTGAAATTTGTAATGCTGTTTTACCTTAGAAGGGAAGAAATTTGTCATGCATGATAGCAATTACGTACGAGTACGATACTTTTGCAATCCATATGAAGAGCATCTGACGCCGTTCGTACTCGAGCACGTCATCCATCTCGTTTTCCCGCGCTTGCATCTCGCAATACACCACTCCGGAATCCACCCCTTCGCCATCAATGTGGTGGATTTCCGTGACAAACGCACTGTCCGTCAGGGTGGGAAACAGGAGGTGGTCCATGTAGATCGGAAAAATCTGCAGAAACCCCTCGGCACCAGCGGTTTCGATCTGATTGATATTTTATCAAAATTTCGCAACTTCTTGCTGGTCAAGTAGAACTACAACATTCAGTGTCCTTTTGCTTTTGCATTTCCAATGCAAACTAGAAGCATGTGTACTTCTAAGCACACTCTTGATGCGTTACAACTTGAATGCTGATCCTGATACAATACAAAGCAAAATTTGATAAAGCGGATCAAGATGATGTACGTCAAAACTGTCCCGCAACGAACTGTGGTTTGTAGTTTTACAAAAACTTACTGCATACCGTATAGGTCGTGTTGTCCGTGTCTGTCCAGGCATTCGTTCCTTGCGCCAAGCATTGGTTCGCCAGTAAATCCAAGATTCCCTTGTAGGGGTACTTCTTCGAGCCCATAAAGATGAGGTGCTCCATATCCTATTGAAAAACGTCCCCACCCCATACGTCAAGATGGCGAATCGGCTAGACAAATCCACACGGTTTGGCTGTCTTGCATGACAAATTTGAACCACTCAAAGTGTAGTGCTGTTTTAGCTAGCTCAGCAGCATCACTGATCTAGTACATCATGCCGATTGGAGCATGACAAATTGCAAAAGACGACTAGAAAATCCTTCTCATGGGGCTCCGCATGAGAAACATTTTCAGTCGTGTGCAGATTTGCATTACAAGTATGGGCAGCTGGGGACGTTTTTAAATACGATACTCCAGCGTGTGCGGACAGCCGTAGTCGTCGTCTGCTTCGGTGTGGACGGAAAAGTAACCGCTATGAAATGCAAATATGTCTCAGTCTGAAAGATGAATGTAAGATTTGTGATGCAGTTTTTCCATGACACCCATCAGGCCTGGAATGCAGCACCTAGCATGACAAATGCTGTGAGGTCGTGTCTATCATGCCTATCCTGCATGAGAGACTCCCTGTCAATCTGGTCAAAAGTGGTGGACATCTTTTGGTAATCATGCAACGCAAATTTTTGCATGATCCAGACTCAGCATGACAAGTTGCAATCTTCCAGACCCAGACATATTTGCAATGCGTAACCGTTGACCAACGGCGATTTCACCTCGGCCAGACAGATGGAAATTATGGGATTCTCAAACGTTACATTCTCAACTGTTACATGGATTTGTCATGCAAAATTGCCATTGCCCTCCACTTGATCAAGGTGCTTAGCATGACAAATTTTCGAAGGGCTAAACAGCATGATAATCTGTGGAAAATCTGCGATGCGAAAGTTGCAACGTTGCCACTTTCACTGTTGCTGTTCTTGCATCACAAATTCATGTAACAGTTGAGAATGTAACGTTTGAGAACGCCATAGAAATCCCGGTCTTTTTGTGCTTTACCATCGATACCGGGACTTTTTCGTACTCCAAGGCAAATACCGGCTCGAACTCCTCCGCAATGCGGGGGTCCAAGGTGTCGCCATTCTTGTTTTTGGTGAGGTCGATTACTTTCCGGTGGTCTTTCATCCCGTTCTGGCCCGAAGATGCAGTTGACACGGTTGTCGTGCCATTCGTCGCCGTCGGCCCTGCCGGAGCTGCGACCATCTTCGAATAAAAGGATTTTCTTTGTAGTGTAAATGTAAATTCAACGTCTAGCTGGTGCGAGTATGGTACTTACTACATTTAAAAACCACGTTTTCACGTACTTTAAGGGCGATCTTTCCCCCTCTGCTGCTGCACGTAAAAAGGGTAGGTAAAAACTAGTAAAGCTTCTTTATTTCATCGAAATGCGGTACACCTGGTAAAGTCTTCTGGAGAATAAAGAACGAAAAGGTAGACCTAGACGTACCTATTGAAATAGGTCTGGTGGCGGTGGGGACTGGAAAATGAAATAATGCGGCCAAAGAATTTTTTCCTTTTTGGTCGAGGAAGGAATAAAAAAAGAAACAAAGATAGATGCTCGGGCGTATTAAGTGAGGCTGAATAGACGTAGAGCTGGCAGCGGGAGCGGTGGTCAATTTCATTATTCACCTAGTAGATTAACGATAGAAGATCCACAGCCAGATCACTAAGATCACATCGCAAAAGTCTCCCCGGCGGAGCTGCCTTGCTATTTCAAAATAAAAAAATCATATAAAAATTTTGATTTTCGGAGCACTGTTATACTGATCATAGCTAGGGATGCATAAAATAGGCCCCGACATAACGAATGGCGGTTCCTTTTTCATCCTCGGTACCTGGCTTTGGATCGAATGCACCATGAAAAGAAGCAGATCTGAATCTCATGCTTGAACAAATCAACATAGGACCATGATGCGAGGTCGAAGTGGCTGCTGCGCCGCACGTGGTGGTGGTCCACGACTTCAACCTCTGGGTTTCAAAGACAAACACTGTCACTGATCTACTTCAAGCATCGAACAAATACGATACAACGTTATGAATCTTGATCACGACAATGAAGCGCACGGCAGCGATGCCTCTCTCTTCTTGTTCTTGATCTTCAAGCACAGTACACTTGTTTAATCCCGCCGAAAGTAGTGGAATTGGAAAGTCGCTCAAACAAATTGATGAACACGCACAAGAAGTGTCCATTCAGAGTAGGCTTGTCCAGCACTCCAACAACTTTCCACTAGGCATGTCCACTCCAACACTGCGAATTGTTCATCATACAAAGTTTCCGCTGGTCTTCCATCTTTACCTTTGTTTTCATTGTGATTTTCTTCGAGCCTTATACAAAATTACAGATGTAGTGCATCTGCTTTTCCTGTTTGGTGAAGTCATAAATTGTAATTTTGTGCCAATTTCCCACCTGTAGCAGAGGTCGTTAACCTCTTCGAGTTCGAGACGAGACAACTAGAACTACATAGCCTACCGCTTCTCGTTGTCGTCGTGGTTGTTGCCGTTCTGATGTACGTGCGTGCTTGGTGCGCCCTCGTACAACTTTTGGCTTGCCTTCGCTGTGATGACAACTTTTGGCTTTGCTTTTCCTTTTCTTGGCAAAAGAAAAAGATGAATATGAAAACATACTTCATACAATTTTTTAGTTCATCTAAAGATCCAAAAATCCACGCGGCGTGCGCCGCGTGGGAAAAAAAGCAACTTGAGTTGCACAACGTGAGTAGATAATTACGACTTGTTCTTGTTTGCCTTCTCCTCAACGGGCTTCGGTTAATAAAGCAAGACACGAACAAGAGAAGCCCACCCCGGCGCCTGATGTATCTTTAAATCAATGGTGAAAAGATACTTGACTTCGGTGTTGTGGGGATGATGCGTGCCACCTGGAGCTTATGAGCTTACTCTTAATTTAGGGCTCCGGCTCATCACGTTCTTCACCATCCTCTTGTAGTACAGCTAGCCGCGCCCGCAAGTCATCTCTCTCTTCCATCAAGGCCCTCCGCCCTTGCGCGATGGCCTCCACCACGCGCTGGTGCTGCTCCCCAACATAGGCAAAACAGGCCGTGTACGCGGTGCACGCGCTCGACACGGCAGCGCCAGCACCGCGAGCAGTGCCACCAATTAACGTGCCCGCCGTTGCAAAGCCACCTGCAGCAACTACACCAACGTTGCGGACCCTCCGGGCGCCTCGGGCCAATCTTTCATATTTTCGCTGTTCGCCTCCGAGCCACTGTAAGTCCCGCTCAATAGCGTCGAGGCGCTCCTGTCGCACCCGACGTAGTCCCCCGTCTCCTTCAGCGCGTCGTCTTTCATGATCTCTACTTGCGTCATTCTCTCGAACCTGCGCCGCGGCTGGAACTAGCAGCGCCGCTGGACGACCAGCACCAGCAAGCAGACTTGCCACATCTGCACCTTCATGATGTGGTCGCTCCTCATGGTTAGCGCATTCCCGGCTCCACCTCCAGCCTCCTCCTGAGGTGGACGCAGCCGCAGGGGCAATCTGATTGCCGAGCGTAGAACCTGCACCTCCCCCAGCCTCGAGATCAACCTCAGGTCCTGCCGCGGGACTACTTCCCGCCGCCTGCTGTAGTCCCTGCTGGTCGAGAACAGGGGGTTGTAAGAGCGGTTGTCCTCCACGCACCCGCGCGGCGCGACGACCGGACGGAGAGCTGGACGAGGAGCTGGTGCGCGAAGGCGAAGAGATGGAAGGGGACCTGGAGCTGCGCGAAGGACGTAGAGCCCAAACTTCCACCACGCATTGCTGCTGTAGCAAAGCAGAGAACGAGGTCAGCAAAACGAAAGCGGAAGCCACCCAGCAGTTGGGGACTGCAAGAACGCCGATCAAACGCGTCATTTTATTTTGACTGGAGGTCTTGCGAAAAAAGATTGACTTTGATTCCTCGGTGGTGAAAGGAAAAAACTTTTGAGTTTTTACTGACCAGGCTTGTCCGTGAGAAACGGAAAAGAAATTCCTACGGTTGTAGACTAGTACGGAATAAATGTGTAGCGACCTCCTGCTACTTTACGTGAAAAAAAACTGGCACTTCGGTTTTGAAATTGAAGAAAGTTGCTTTTGGTTTTGATGAATTTGGATAAATTAGAGTGTGATGTTGTCCTGCGAATCAGTTTATCTTCCCTGGCAAAAAGGTAAGCAAACAGATACCCGCAGCGTAGGACTTCAATAATGTTGCGCGAATGTCGACGTTCTTGTACACTTTCTGTTTCGATCACACTTTTTCTTCACCCCATCGACCCATTGAGGTTGTGAACGTTCTGCGCCTACTGCAGTGTCTCAGGCTTCATACAGATTCAAAACCGGATCTTCATCATCAGGCTCTTTCATTCCGAGCAGCTTTCAACATCTCGTCGAGAAGGATCGTGAACTTTGTGTGAACTATGAGCATTTTGTTGATCACAAAAAACCTACCGATCTTCCACCGCCGTTAAAATCACCGACGTTGTTGATCTACCTCTTTCATTTTCAGGCATTATTTTCTTACCTTTCATGTGGTACAAGTTATGAATCTTGATCACGACAATGAAGCGCACGGCAGCGATGCCTCTCTCTTCTTGTTCTTGATGTTCAAGCACAGTACACCTTATTTTTAATTCCGCCGGTAGCACTAGTGGGAAGTCGCTCAAACAAATTGAACACGCACACGAAGTCTCCATTCAGAGTAGGCTTGTCCAGCACTCCAACAACTTTCCACTAGGCTTGTCCACTCCAACACTGCGACTTATTCATCATACAAAGTTTCCGCTGGTTTTCCATCTTTACCTTTGTCTTCATTTTCTTCGAACCTTATACGAAATTACAGATGTAGTGCATCTGCTTTTCCTGTTTGGTGAAGTCATACATTGTGATTTTGTGCCATTTCCCCACCTGTAGCAGAAGTCGCTAACATCTTCGAGACGAGACAACTAGAACTACATAGCCTACTTACCGCTTCTCGTTCTCGTCGTGGTTGTTGCCGTTCTGATGTACGTGCGTGCTTGGTGCGCCCTCGCACAACTTTTGGCTGGGCTTTGCTTTGATGACAACTTTTGGCTTTGCTTTTCCTTTTCTTGGCAAAAGATGAAAACATACTTATATACAAATTTTTAGTTCATCATCTGAAGAAAGATCCAAAAATCCACGCGGCGTGCGCCGCGTGGGAAAAAAAGTAACTTTAGTTGTACGCGAGTCGATAATTTTTACGACTTTTTGTTTGCCTCGCTCCTCCTCAACGGGCCTCGGTTAAAGCAAGACACGACGAGAAGCCCACGACCCCGCCTGATGTATCTTGTTTTAAATGGCGAAAAGGTACTTGACTTCGGTGTTGTGAGGATGATGCGTGCCACCTTGGGCTTATGAGCTTACTCTTAATTTAGGGCTCCGGCTCATCACGTTCACGAGCCTCTTGTAGTACAGCTAGCTGCGCCCGCAAGTGATCTCTCTCTTCCATCAAGTCCCTCTGCTCTCGCGCGAAGGCCTGCACTTCGCGCTGGTGCTGCTGCCCAAGATAGGCATGACAGGCCGTGTACGCGGAGCACGCGCCCGACACGGCCGCGCCAGCACCGACCGCGGTGCCACCAAGATACGCGCCCCAGGCTGCACTTAGAACTGCAGTAGCTGCCGCGCCGTTGCGGACCATCCGGTTGCCTCCGGCCATATGTTCCATATCGCGCTGGTGGCGTTCGAGCCGCTGTAATTCCCGCTCGATAGCGGCGAGTCGCTGTGGCACCCGTCGCGCCCCTTCTCCTTCCGCACCTGCTCGTCCTTCGTCTCTTGCTCTTCTTGCGTCATTCACTAGAACTACCTCCGCGGCTGGCGCTAGCAGCTCCGCTTGACCAGCAGGCAGACCTACCGCATCTGCACCTTCATGTACTCCAGCGTGGCGAGAAGCGGTCGGTGCTCCCTGCTCTGGCGTGCCCGCAGGAGGACCTCCACGCTCAACAACAGCAGGTGGGTGGTCAACAACGTTGCCATGAGCAGCAAGATTACCTGCCGTAGTACCGCCTCGCCCACCAGCCTCGAGATCAACATCCTCAGGAGAAAAGCTCTCTCCTCGTTGTGCCGCGGCACTTCCCGCCGCCTGCCGGTCCTGCTGGTGACGAGGTGACAAGAGCGGTTGTCCACGCCCTCGCGCGGCCCGACGACCGGACGGAGAGCTGAAAGGGGACCTGGCCCGCGTCGAAGGACGTAGAGCCCAAACTGCCACCAAGCATTGCTGCTGTAGCAAAGCAGAGAACGAGGTCAGCAAAACGAAAGCGGAAGCCACCCAGCAGTTGGGGACTGCAACGCCGATCAAGCGCGTCATTTTATTTCGACTGGGACTGGTCTTGCGAAAAAAGATTGACTTTGATTCGTCTGTGGTGAAAGGAAAAAACTTTTGAGTTTTTACTGACCAGGCTTGTCCGTGAGAAACGGAAAAGAAATTCCTACTGTTGTAGACTAGTACGGAATAAATGTGTAGCGACCTCCTGCTACTTTACGTGAAAAAATACTGGCACTTCGGTTTTGAAATTGAAGAAAGTTCCTTTTGGTTTTGATAAATTTGGATAAAATCAAGTGTGATTTTGTCCTGTGAATCAGTTTATCTTCCGTGGCAAAAAGGTAAACAAAAAGATTCCCGCAACGTTGGACTTTAATAATGTTGCGCGAATGAGAATGTCGACGTTCTCGTGCACTTTCTGTTTCGATGACACTTTAACTTTTTCTTCACCCCATCGACCCATTGAGGTTGTGAACGTTCTGCGCCTACTGCAGTGTCTCAGGCTTCATACAGATTCAACGGCGGATCTTCATCATCGGGCTCCTTCATTTCGAACAGCTTCTAACATCTCGTCGAGAAGGATCGTGGGCTTTGTGTGATGAACTATGAGCACTTATTTGATGATCACAAAACACCTACCGATCTTCCACCGCGCTTCAATTCACCGACTTTGTTGTTGATCTACTTTTTTCATTTTCGGGCATTATTTTTTGACCTCTTATGATGTAGTACGTGATCGAGCCTGAGATCATCTTCCGGGAGTTCATCTTTGGCTGCAGACCACAATTTGTTGTACTCCCTAATAAAGCAACGAAGATGGACAAGTAGTTTTTTTACAGGTGCATCACGAAAAGTTTGCACCTGCAAAAAAACTACATTCAAAACGACGAAAACAGCATTTCTTTTTTACTTCAGCGTCGTGTTCTTGTCGGATTTGACTTCGATCCAGCATTGCTGCGTGTTTTGTCGTGGGCATGCAGGGAGGTTATCCCAATGCTGCCTGAGATGTGTACATGATTTGAGTTTATTGTGTTTGATATTGGTCACATATAGTGGTCTGAGTCTATGACAAGCGAGAAAGTAATATGAATATGAAATCGTATGCAAAACGAGAAAAGTTAGAGCTCATGTTGATAAAATATTAAAGTCAAGTCAAATACGTGCTATGTACGCAATAAATCTCGAGGAACTGGATCAAATTTCAATGTCAATGAAAACGAATACGTCTTACTTTTTTGCAAAAAATGTTTAAATAAGCGAGCGAATACCATCACGAATCAGAAACGAGGAAATCTGGCAATGAATAATACGTGTACTGGATTTATTACTACTGCATGATGGCGATGATCATCTGTCACATTGTTAAAAAAAAATTTGTCTTGCTACTTTTGTGCTTTATAATAAAATCATGTTCTACTTGAAACTACTCTGCTATGAAACTCAAACTACGCAAGCGAGCTGCTGTTCTTGTTCTACTGCTCTTGCTATAATCCGAAAAATGAAAAATAAATTGAAGTATGATGTATGATGCACGATGAAGAAAAGCGACGACCACGAAGATGGGCTTCATCGTAGTCGGTGGGTTGGGTTACTTATTTATTTATTCTTTGCGGGTAGGCTTTACTATGGAACAACTTCAACTTCGTCTCGGGTCGGGTTACGATTACGGAGTAAGATTATATGGCACAAAAAGAAAAATCAAACAAAAACGATGAGGATGACGATGTACCCATCAGTTTCACTACATTCTGTTCGGTGACATGGAGCGTTGCCGCTGCGCCTCTTGGCGCATCATGAGTCCGAACAGAGTTGGCTGCGGCAGGGGCGGTGGCTGCTCTACTGGAGGTTCTTCTTCATCTTCATCTTCTTGTCCAGCTGTTCGAGCGGTCATGTAGTTGATATTTTGATGCTGCGCAAACGACCCTGGTATTTCCTCTGGACCGAAGATGCCTGCTCCGCTCGACAGCACGGCACCATGGTTGTTCCTCACGACCCCAATATTCGGCGAAGAAAAGTCGAAATAGTTATTCCGCGACAACACACTTTCCCCCTTAGCAATCTGGTCCAGTTTGTTGCTAATGATCCGCGCGCTGAGCAACTCTCGCTCCTGGTAGTAGAGCGGCTTCGTGGCCGCGGACGAGCCCCCCGGCCGGGCCTTCGTGGCGAGTTTCTGCGACTTGCGGTGCAAGTTCGCGTACTCCGCGGCCAAGTTGCTGTTCACCGCGGTCGCGCCGTGGTCGTGAAAGTGATCCTCCAGCAAGGCTCGCTTCCGCATTTCCACCTCGGACAGCTTGTTTTGCGCCGCGATTTGCTCCTTGCTGCTTTTCGCGGTCGCGACGTCGGCCTGGCCGGTGGTCCGGCGGTCGGCCGCGGCCTTGCGGAGTTCGATCACCCGCCGTTCCTTCAACAGTGCGTCGAGCTCCTCCCGCGACTTGGCCTCGTCGTCCTTCGCCATCTTTTCTAAGTCCTTCCGAGCCTTCTGCTTTTCGCTTTCGGACATTTTCGCTTCGTTCTTCTTCAGCTCCGCTACTTTCGCGTTGTACGCATCTAAGCGGGCGACGGCGCGCTGCTTCGTTTCCCGTGTGTGTTTCAATATGATCGCGTAGTCCTTGTCCTCTTCGGCAGGTTTATTGTTCGCTGCAGTAGTAGAAGCTGCATCACCCGCCGCCCCACCAGCACTCCCAAACGGGTTGCTTACATCGATGGAGGGCATATTTCCTGCTCCTGGCAACGACACGGAAACGCCACCGGTCGTGGGCAGAGACATACCCCCAAACAAGGATTTCCCGGCGTCCGGGTCTTTTGCAGCTCGGGCTTGGCTTTCCAGCTCCAGTTTTGTGCTGTTTAGCTGGTCCTCCAGCGCGTCGCGTTCCTGCGCCAGCTGCGCGATGATTTCTCGGTGCGCGTCTTTCTCAGACAAATGCTTTTCAAAAGCCTCATCCCGCTGGTTCTTCAGCTCCTCCAATCGCATTTGGTCTTCTAGGCGCGCTTGCCGGAGGATCTGCTGCTCGCGCTTGATCTCCTCGACGTGTTCCAACGTGAACTTCTCGCCCGTGTTGGGGTCGGTGATGGTGGTTCCCTGCTTCGCGACCTCTTTCAGCTTTTCGTTCAGGGAGCTGCCGTAGATCGCCATCTGCTGCTGCAGGGTCTGGTAGTCGTTTGAGATCCGGTTTTTTTCCTCCTGCATGCGGTCGTTGTGGTCTTTCCGCTCCCGCTCCATCTGCTCGGCCGTCTCCGCGAACTTGACGCGGTCTTGAAACACCTTTTCGTCGTACCGCTGGCGTTCCAACTCGTGCTCCCGCTTCTCCTGTTCCAGCCGCTCTTTCTCGGAATCTAAATACGCCTTGTACTCCCCAACATTCTCCTCCTCCGCCAGCATCGCGCCAATTATCGGTTGCGCGATCACGGTTTGCTGCGAGGCCATGGCCGCGGCCGGCGGCCCAAACTCCGCGGGTTGGTCGGACCCAAAGTAGACGAACTCCTGGAGCTCCTGGGACCGCTATCAAAAGGAAAAATCCCCCCTCCCCATCTCGCAAAGGAAATCTGTGATGCTGGATTTGCGTGAGGCGTGAGGCGTGAGGCGTAGCATGATCGCGCTCGGAAGAAGTGGAACAGTCAGCAGCCCGAACTCATCGGTTTTGCCAGGTCCACAACCCCCTGGGGGTGAAATACGGGGGTGGCTCCGCGTGGCGGCGATCTAGGATCGCTACCTGGAAGAAGGAATGGGAGCCTCTTTTCAGATGTACTCCGCAAACCTAAGCCAACCACTGCCCCCGCAGTCACAAACTCACACCCGACATCGAGAACCGATGCGAGGGAGACCCCGGCAACCCTTCCCTGCGACCGAATACCGAGAGGGATAAGTGGACCCCTCAGTTTAGACGGAAGCAGAGGCATAGTCCCGGAGGGCACAAAGTGTACGAATGCTCCCCCTAGTGAAAGCCGGGTCGTTTCAGCACTATGAAACAGTGTGGCGATCAACCAAGGCGCTCGACTGTACTCAGCGGCGAGTACGAAGAGCTAGGGACGTGAGAGACACCTTCCGCGCGACATCCCGACCAGGTAACCCGTATCCCCCCGCCTCAGGGGACCGGGGACCAAACAGTCGTGGCAGCAAAATGGGCGAACCAGACAGATGACAAGTCAACTGTCCGCAACCTCGTCATCACCAGCCAACACTGCAATCATGAGCTGGGGGGGCCAGATCGCCGACAGTCGACCGCCGGGGGGTGGCTGAACGAGAGCACTCCGTCCAAACTGACGAGAGGCAAACGAACTCCGACCCACACCTGAAACCCAAGAGCGGCCACCAGCCACCGAAAGCAGCGAAGACCTGAGCAAGCTCAAGCAACAACGAGGAGACCCATCTACCCATCCTGACTCCTGCCGGTGGCGAAGACGCGCCAAGGACCGAACCTCCTGCAACGGGATTATCAGCCCAAGGTCTGTCAACGACAGCACTGGGATGAAGGCGAAAGGGCTCTTGAAGGACCGCCAGAAGAGTAGGACACCACAGCGTTCCGTAGAAAAGGGTCGGCACCGGCAAACGCACCACGCCGCGAGCCACAGCTTGGGAAGGACACCCGGAGACAGCCGACCGCCAAGAGCGTACACAAATGACAAATCAGATTTGTCTTGCAGTAGAGGACTGCACGCAGATCGCCAGCCTAGTTAGGGGCCTTTTGGTGTAGGCGCCTAGCATGGTAGACGGCTGTCCTATAGTCCTTACAGCATTACAAATCGCCTGCAGAGAGTGGCAGAGAGCCTGGATTTGCCTTCTCGCAAGACAGACAGGATTTGTGGTCACAAATCTGCACCACAAATTTTCGGAAGCATACCTTTTCGATATGGGGAGGGGGGATTTTTCCTCTCAATAACCGCTTCTCCGCCAGGTCCCGCTCCGCCGCGATCGCGTTCAGCTGGTCGCGGGTTCTTTCGTGTTCCGCGTCCATCTCCAGTTGTTTTTCTTCGAATTTCTGCCGGTCCTCCTCCAGCGTGGAGCGGAGCACCTCCAGCGCTTGGTTCTGCCGCGCGATCTCGTCGTCGTGCTCCTCTTGCAGGTCCAGCATCTGTTCCTGCATGGTCCGCATGGCTTCCATCATGCGCTGGGCGAGCGTCGCCTGCATCATCCGACGCTCCTCCGCGGTCGCGTCGTCGTCGTCCCCGGCCGCAAACATGCCGGCGAGGTTCGCGGATTGCGCGAGGAGTCGTTCGCGGGCTTTCCGCTGGTAGTCGCGCTGCTGCTGCATCAGTTGCTGGGCTTTCTCGTGCGCTTTCTCCAGCTGTTCGGCGCGGGATAAGTGTGCGTTTTCGCGCTCCGACATCTCCAAAGCGAACTTTTCCAATTCCTCGGCAGTTATGCATTGCAAATATGTCTGGGTCTGGAAACATTGACCTTGTGATGCTAGTCCTACATTCCTGTAAAATCTGTATTGCATGACTAACAAAACGACACCTCCTTCTGTCATACAAAAGGGCAGTTTCTCATGCGAACTGCGCATGAAAAAGTGTCCGGAAAACTTGTCATGCTTGGCTGCATTGGGAAGTCTTTCAGTATATGCACATTTCAGCATCACAAGTTTCCACACCCAGACATTTTTGCAGTTGATAGCTGTCATGTTCTCCTGATTTGCCATCAACTCCTGGAACTTCTGGTTTTCCTCCTCCCGCAGCCGCTCCTCCAGCTGCGCCTGCGTCTCCGCGCGCAGCGCGTCGTCCTCGTTGGCGCGCCGGGCGTCCGCGGCTTCTTTCGAGGTTTTCAGCTCCGTGTGCTCCGCGAGGAGGCTCTCGAAGGCCCGGTCCTTGTCCGCAAGTAGTTGCGCGCGTTGCTGTCCCTCCGCGGCGCGGGCCTGCTTTTCGAGCTGGAGTTTGTTCTCGAACAGTTTCAGCTGGTCTTCGAGCTCCAGAGCCTTCATCTTCGTGAGCTGTTATCCAAGAAAAAAACATTGTAGGCGCAACTCTAACTACTTTTTTGGAGGAACAGCATTACAGATTTGTCTGGCATGACAGCAAAAACCTGTCATGCGCAGATACTACGCGAAAACGCCCTTCAATGGACCCTACGATGCATGCCAAGCATGACAGACGCAATCATCTTGCATGTTGCGCATCACAAATTTTAATTTACACTAACAACGTTTTTTTCTTGGATAGCTGTTCGCGGGATTTTAGCTTGTCCTCGAGTTTTTCCTTTTCCGACTGCAACTGCTCAAGCTTCGTCCGCAAGTCCGAAGCCTCGCTCGTCTGCTGGTTCAGCAGCTCTTGCAGATTCTGCTCCGTGACCGACTGCTGCTGAATGGCGGTGGTTTCCGCAAGGTGGGACTGTTATGCTGCGCAAAAGTATCGCACTCGTAGTAATTCTAATTGCAAATATGCATGACAAGTCTTCCTCCGGTGGGTAAAACAGCATGACAAATTCCACTTTTCTTCTTGCCGAAACTTGTAATGCGATTTCTGCTAGTACGATAATTTTGCAATGCATAACTGGAGTCGTTCGTTCTGTTCGCGGAACATCTCCTCCAGCAGCCGCTTGGATTCGTTCCGCTCCTGCGCCTCAAACTCGCGCAGCCTTTGGTTCTGCTCGTCGAACAGGTTCGTGATCAGTTCCTTCTGCGCGCGGTATCAAATACAAAAGTGTCTGGGTCTGAATGAGTGTAGGAGTTTGTCATGCAGATTTTGGAAGACCCATCATGTCTGTGATGTATGCTCTAGCATCACATATTTATTGCGAGGGGTAGTTCCTCATGCCTATACCGCATGAGAAATTGTTCCCCGTCCGCGTAAGTAGCAAAAACTGGACTCCTGTTGCTGCTCATGCAATACAGATTTTTGTAGAATGCACAGGCAGCATCACAAGTTTTACAACCTTTCAGACCCAGACAGATTTGCAGTTGATACGCGGCCGGGAGTCACCATGGTCGCTTTGACCGCCCCCTGGTTCGCCTGGGACGTGGTCCGCATGGCGACCGGGGCGTCGTTCACGTCCACCTTCCGGGCGGGTTTCACGCGAATCAGAGCCCGCACCGCGGCGGACGCGGCGGCCTTCTTCACTTTTTGCACGTCTTTCTTCAGTTTTTCCTTCTTCGCTATCAACGCCTGTTCCAAGTCCGCCTGGTTGGCGCGGAGAACTTGCTCCAAATCAGTGACCGAGGTTTCGTAAGCCTGCTGGATTTTTTGCTTGTCCTCCTTGGAAGTGGTTTTTGCCAGTTTTACCTGGTGCGCGGCGGCGAGCTGGGCTTTTTCCTCCTCGAACTTTTTCAGCAATTCTTCCTGCTCCTGCCGGTGTTTGCTGTTCGCGTCCTTTTCCTGCACCGTCCGATGCTCCTCGGCGGTCTGGTGCGCCAGCCTCGCCGCAACTTCGTGCTCCTTGCGCAGCTTGTCTTGGTCGGTGAGGAACTTTTGCTGGAGCTCCGCGAGCTGTTTTGCCTTGTCCTGCTCCAAACCTTTCCGTTCCTCTTCCTGCGTGTCCTCCAATTTCATTTTTTTCAGCTCCAGCTGCGCGCTCATGGTCGGGTCGTTCAGGTGCTGCATTTGCTCTTGCTTCATCTCCTTCATCTGCTTTTCGTGCGTTTGTTTCAGCTGCGCGAACTTCAAGTTGGTCCGGGTAATCACTTGCTGCATTGCCTCCTCGTGCTTCTCCGTCAGTTTTTGCATGCCGGCGTCGATGCCGTCCTTCGTGTGGTCATCGATTTCCTGCAACCTATCTCGCGCGTTGTTCGCCTCGATCTGCATCTGCAGCTGCTTCTCCATGTCCTTCAACTTCGCATCAAGCAAGTTCCGCTCGTGCGCCACCTGTTCGTCCAACAGCGCGCGCTGCCTGGCCCACTCCTCCTCGTGCTCGGCCTGGCGGTGCTTCTCGGCCTCGATTTTCCCCCGGAATTCGTCTTCGAGTTCCTTGTGCGCAGCATCCGCTTCTTCCTTCAATTTCCCGTGCTCTTCCGCGTGTGTGTCCTGTTCGGCCTTCATCCGGGTTCCGAATTCCGCCTGCATCTTCTCAATTTGCGCTTGGTGCTCGGCCATCACCTGACTGACGCGAGAGTCCAGGTTTTGCGACATGCGAAGCTTTTCCGACTGTAGCTCTTCCGCGAACAACCTCCGCATCTCCTCTATCAAATGCAAAAGTGTCTGGGACTGGAAGATTGCAAGATTTGTCATGCTTGTGTGGCATGACCAAAAAGTTTGTGATGCGTGTCCAAGAAGAGAGAGAGACCCTTCTGCCTGTCATGCAAAAACGCAGTTCGTCATGCGAAAAACGCAACACAAAGAAGCGCAGACATTTGTTTCTCATGCTTGCCTCTGCATTACAGAGCATGCACTATTCCCAACGCAGCATTACAAGTTTCCAGACCCAGACATTTTTGGAGTTGATATCCTCCTCCTGCGACTTCTTCGCCTCGTCCACCTTCCGGATCGTGGCGAGTTCTAGCGCGCGTTGTTGCTCCTGCGCGAGGACCAGCTTTTTCTCCAGCTCCGCCTCGCGGTCGCGCGCTTGCTGTTTCAGTTGTTCCAATTTCAAATCGTAATCGGAGATGTTCGTTGCGTGGTCCGCGGCCATACTTGCTTTTTGCGAGCTGTGGCTGTCGTGCAGATCCTGTTGCAGCCGCGCGAGGTCTTTTTCTTTTTGCTCGTGCTCCTGCTTCAATTTTTGCGAGAACTCCTCCTCTTTATCGACCAACGACTGCTGTTCCCTCATCAGGTCCAGCTGCAGATCACTTACCCTCTGCGTGAGTTTATCAATCTCCTCTGCCTGTTTCGACTTTGCGTTGGCCGCTTGCTCCATGAGTCTTTGCTTCTCCTGTTCCAATTGACGCGTCCGTTCCTCCTGCCGTTTTTCCTGGTCTTTCCGGAGTTTGTCTTGCTCTTCCCGCACCTTCGCGGCGAGTTCCGATTTTTCCCGCTGGAGCCGCTGCTCGAGCTCCCTTCGTTGCTGCGCCAGTTCGGTCGCGTGCTGCTCCGCGGTTTTGGTCTTGTCCAACTCCCGCTTCTTCGCCTCCTCCTCAATCTGCCTTTTCGCTTCCTCCGCCTCCTGGTGCAGCCGCTTCTCCTCTTGTTCATGCTGAATAGCCGCCTTGCGCATGTTCTGCTCCATTTCCTCCTTTTCCCTCTCGATCTGCTTGCGCGCCTGCTCCGCAGCGTCGAGGGCTTTCAAATCGGCTTCGTGCTCGGACTCCAGTTTTGCTCTCTCGTCGGCGAGCTGCGCGTGAAGACTGTCTTTTTCGGCTTTCAGTTTTTCCTCCAAGTCCTTTTTCCGATCAAGCCACTGCTTTTCGAGCTGCGTCTTATCCTGTCCACTCGCCTCGGCAAACGCCATCGCGCGCTCGTGCTCGTCCTGGGCGAGGCGTTTCGCCTGCTCAGCCTCGGCCTGGATTTTCGCGAGCTCCTCCTGGTGCTGGGTGTTCGCCCGCCGCATCTGCTCGTCCAGGGCGCGCTTCGCTTCCTTCGCGGCGACTTGCTTCGCTTCCTCGGCTATGGATTGCAAAAATGTCTGGGTCTGGAAGAATGCAAGTTTGTCATGCTCGGTCGACCATACAGAAGAGTCTGTCATGCTCGTTGCGCTACAACAGTGCCACTTATTTGTCATGCAAAAAGTAAAAGGCAATTCCAATTTGACATGCGATTAACGCTAGATATAGTCGCTCAGAAACTTGTCATGCGCGGCTCCGCAATACAGTTTGCGTATGATTCGGACATTAGCATCACAACCTTCCAGACCAAGACATATTTGCAGTTCATATCGGCCGCCTTCCGCTCCTTTTCCGCGAGCTCCTTTTTGTGCTCCGCCTCCATGTCGTCGTGCTGCTTGCGAAGCTCCGCGCGCATGTCTTCCTGCTGTTCTTTCACACGCCTTTGCAGTGCGATTTTTTCCCGTTCCAGCTCCGCCTCACTCGCCTGGCCGGCGGCGAGCCGCTTTTTGAACTGCTGTTCCATTTCCTTCTGCGACTTTTCCGCGTCATCCAACAGCTTTTTTTCCTCGATCCCGTGCTGACTCCGGGCGGCCCGCATCTGCTCCTCTAAAGCGAGCTTGGATGCCTCCACGTCTCGCACATGCCGCTCCGCGGTTTCCTTCTCTGCCAAGGCCGCCTGCGTCCGAGCTTGCTCGCGCTCTAACCCCCTCTGGTTGGATTTCATCTTCTCCTCGGCCTTCTGTTTTTCTAATGCTATGCTTTTTTCTAAATCCAGTTTTTTCCTCTCCAACTCCCTTTCGTGCTCCTCCCGTTTGTGCGCCTCCTGTTCGATTTTTGCGGCGTACTCGGCTTGCAGCTGCTGTTTTTCCTTTTCGTTTCTCAGTTCGGCTTCTTTGGAAAAAGTGTCAAATTTCTCCTTCTCTTGCCGGATTTTCGAATCGAGCTCTAGTCTCGCTTTCTCATCCGCCTTTTTCCTTGCGTCCGCCGCAGCCCGCTCGACCGCCTGCGCGCGGTCCTGCAAATGCTCTTGCTGAATTTTGGCCTGCGAATCGGAGAAGAAGAGTTCTTGCTTGTGCAGTAACTCGTCAGCCTCTTGTTCCTGCCGTTTTAATTCCTTCGCGAGTTCCTCCTCCGCCTTCGCACGGTCGACGCCGTCCTGCGTCATCTTTTTGTTGTAAAACTCAATGGTTTGCTGCCGCTTCTGATCCGCCTCGTCTTTCAGCCGCTTTTTCTCGGACTCGTGGCTCTGTTTCACCTCTTTCTTCTGCTGCTCCAGCACCTCCTGCGCCTCTTTCACCGCCCGGCGTTTCGCCTCTTCCGCAACGCGCGCGTTCGTGGCTTCCATCCGGGCGTGGGACTCTCGCATCAGGTCCTCTCGCTGGGTTCGGTTTTTGTCGTCCAGACCCTGGACCGCGATCTGGGTGCGCGCGTCGATTTGCTTCAGGCGTTCATCCAGCTCGAGTTTCAGTTTGTCTTTCTCTTGCTGCGTCACGGCGAGATTGATCCGGGCGGCGTAGTCGGAATTTGCCTTTTCCTTGTCCCGCTTCGCCTCGGAGAGAAGCTTCTGCTTTTGACCCTCGTATTCCGCCTGGATCGCGGTCAACCGGGCTTCCAGCCGCGCTTTTTCCACTTCTGCCTGGTGCGACTGCTCCTCCGCGGCCTCGGCCTCCTGCGCGTCCGACCTCGCACGCGCGTACTCCCGTTGCATCGCCCGGCGCTCCCCGTCGAGGTTTTTCTTCAGCTGCATCTGTTGCTCCTTGAAGCCGTTTTCCATTTGCTTTTCCTGTTTTTCCAGCTGCGCTTTCAATTCCGCCTGTTTCGACGCGTCGGCGGTGGCAATCTTGCTCTGATACTCGACCTCCATCTGGTGCATCTTCGCTTGCAGCTCGCGCTTCGCCTTCGCCTCGGCGGCGGCGTGCTCTGCGTCGAGGCGTCGCAAGGCCTCCTCCTGCTCGTGCTTTTGCACTTCGGCTTCGACAAGAAGTTGCTCGGACCGGATCTTTATCAAACGCAAAAATGTCTGGGTGCAACTTGTAATGCTAGCTCTCCATACATAGGAAATCTGTATTGCATAGCCAACAAAAGTCGCAGCCACTTTTGTACACGCAAGAACGCAGGTTCTCATGCGGATTTCCTATGACAAAGCGTTCTGAAGAGTTGTCATGCTGTGTAGCATTCGGAACTGTTTCCATCATCCGCATTTTAGCATCACAAGTTTCCAGACCCAGACATTTTTGCAATCCATAATCCTGGCGTCAATTTCCGCCTTTTCCTTCGTGTGGGTTTCCTCCAATTTTGCGTTCTTCACGTCCAGAGACCTCTTCAGCTCCGCCTCGCGCTCCGCCATCTCCGCATCCAGCTTGGCTTTCTGCTTTGCCATCTCGTCGATGTGCTCCTGTTTCAGATTTCCCTCCGAAGCGACTCTCGCCTTATGCTCTTCCTCCAACTTCGCAAACGCGGCGGCCTTCTCCGCGGCGAGTCTCTGCAGTTTCGCTTGGTAGTCCTTCTGGGCCTCCTGCTTCGCCTCCGAAAACGCGGCCTCCCGCACTTGCTCCTCGTGCTCCGCGGCCCGCTCTTTCTCTTTCGCGATGGCCAAAGCCTGCTCGCGGGCGTTTTCTGTCTGCAGGTTCTGCTGCTGCGCTTTCAGGCGCGCGTCGAGCTTTTTCTTGTCGGCGACCATGTGCTGTTCGAGGATGTCTTTCTGTCTTTTCATCTCCTTTTTCCACTCCTCATCCATTTTCCCCTCGGCGTCGGCGTGGCGACCGTACTCCTCCTCGAGTTTCCGCTGCGCAATGGCCATTTCCCGTTCTAACTGCAAACACTCCGCTTTATGCTCCTCCTCCGCGTGGCGCATCTTCAGGCTGAGCATTTCCTTACTGCTCCTTTCGATCTCCGCGCGCTCCGCTTGGGCTTCTTTCTCGTTCCGCTCCTGCTTCTCGCGCGCGAGCGTCGCTTCCAACTGGGCCTGGGTGGCTTCTTGACTGGCCTGCAAATGGCTCTTCGCCACGTCGGCCTGCTGTTGCAAATGATCGAGTTTGTGCTGCATCTCTTGCTCTAGTTGCAACCGTTTCGCCGGCTCGGAGGCGATTTTTTTCTTGTACTCATCCTCGATTTTCTTCTGCTCGTCCTTGGACTCCCGGAACACCTTGTCCAACTGCTTCGCGTGCTCCTGCTTCGCGAGTTCCAGTTGTTTCTGCAAGTCGGAGATTTTGTCGGAGTGCGCCGCGATCGACAAGTGCTTTTCCTTTTCCGCCACCGCTCGGTGCTTCGCGATCTCCGCGGCCATGTCCGCTTTCAGCGACATGTGCATCACAACTAACTTCGCCTTCTCCGTCTCGTGGTCTCTATCTAATTGCGCTTTTTTGTCCGCCAGTTCCTGTTGGAGCTTCTGCCGCTCTAGGGGCTCTTGCTCGGTTCTTTTCCGACACTCTTCTTCCAGCAGTTTGTGGGCCTCTTTCAAATCCTTTTCCAACTCCAACACCCGCTTCCCGTGGTCCTGCTCCGCCGCCTCCAACTTCAATTGCACCTGCGAAATCTGCGCGTCAGCCTGCGCGCTCGCCATGTGCATCTCCGTCGCGTGCTGGTGCTGCTGGAGTTCGTGCTGGAGTTCGGACGTGCGTCTTTCCAGAATCAAGTCCAGTTTCTGCTTCTCCAGCTGCAGCCGCTGCTCCAGCTGCTCGTCCTGCCGCGCCGCCATCGCCTCCAACAAAGACCGCTGCGCGGGATCCAGCTCGATCTTTCGTGTTACGTCCTCTTTCACTTGCTTGTGCGCGAGTTCTACTTCCCGCGTTAACCTCTGTACCTGCGCCTTGTACTCTTCCGCCGCGGCGGCGGACTGCGCTTCCAGGATGGCGATGCGCTCCAGGTGCGGGATCGCGGCGAGGTGCGCGTTCACCTGGGCTTTCTGCTCGGCTAGATCCTTCTGCAACTCCCGGTTCGACTCGCGCATCTCCTGCTCGAGCTGCCTCTTCTGCTCGAGCAGCATGTGCTCCATCTCGCGCTTCTTGTTCGCCGCGTTCGCCTCCAACACCGCCAGCATGGAACTAGTCGTCTGCAGCGAGCTGTTGCTCGCGGCCGCAGCTTGCTGGTCGGCCAGCTGTTTTGTCAGTTCCTCATCGATCTTCTGGCACTGCTCGCGAAACACGAGTTCGAAGTTTTTGATCTTTGTGTTGCAATTGGAAGTGCTCACGTTCAACTTCCCCTGCAGCTCCTCCACCTTCTTCGCAAACTCCGCGGTCGCTTCGTACCCCTTTCCCGCCGCCTTTTGCTTCGCGAGCTCGATCCGCAGAGACGCGACCTTCGCTTGCAACGCGAAGTCGAGTTTAAGTTTCTCCGACTCGAAATGCCTTTCCACTTGGTCTAGCTTCCGTCCCGCGTCCGCGTCAAAGATCACCCGTCTTTGCGGCTTATCTAGCAACCTCTCCCGGTACGAGCGGTCAATCGCGTTGATTTCGTCCTCCTTCCGGGACCAGAGTCTGGCGACCTCCACCGTATGGCCCTCCTCCAACTGCTTTAGATTCTTCTGGAGCTCCTGCATTTTTTCCGCCGCAAGGACCGCTTTTTGCATCAAAGAGGCCGAAGACTTGTCCATGTCCCAAACTAAGTTCGCAGCCATGAAAGTCGGACTGTTAATGCTGTTGTTAGCGAGGGAAAACAGAGGTGAGCCGGGAGGTTGGGTATTACTACTACCTGGAGCTACCGCGCCGACTGCAGTAGTACCCCCACCTTGGACAAAAGAGGATGACAGAGGAATCCCAGTCCGGTTGTACAAATTGTACATGTTCGCTCCGGATGTGGAGTTCGTCAAGGACTGATACCCCGGGGTGCCTATCCCGAGGTACGGCGTCGCCCACATGCGCAGCCGCTTTTCGAGCTCGACGTTTACCTTCTGGGCCTCTAGTAACTGCGAATGCAAGTGCGACATTTCGGGCAGCATGTGTGCGGACGCGGGACTCCCGGATAGCCCGGTCAAGGGGCCGGAGCCAACGACGCGAGCCAAGTCGTACTGCGCTTTCTCCTTCGCGAAGTTTGCCCGGTCCATCTCTAGCTGCAGTCTCTCCGTCCGCGCGTCCTCGACCTTCTTTTGCAGAAGATTCGCTTCCGCCTGCAGGAGATCCCCGGTCGCCTGTTTTTCCCGTAAAATTTGTTCCGTCGCCTCTTCCAACTGTCTTAGCTCGCGCATTTTCGCGGCGCGCTCCAGCGGCGCGTCGGCCACGTCGAGGAAGCCGCGGAGCGCTTCGTCTTGCAAAACCACCCCGCCGTTCTTGACGATTTGCAACTGCGCGTGCACTATGCTGCGCAAAAGTATCGCACTCCTACTAATTGCAAATACGCATGACAAATCTTCCTCCTGAGGTAACACAGCATCACAAATTCCATTTTTCTTCTTGCCAAAATCTGTATTAATGCAATTTATACTAGTACGATACTTTTGCAATGCATATGCACCATGAGTTTCTTCTGCTCCAGCTCAAACTGTTCCCGTTCGCCGAGCTTCGCGGCTTTTTCGTGTTCCTGACGGATGCGACCCCACTTTTCTTCTTCCAATTTCAGCTCCAGCTGCTTGGCCCGGGCGAGCGCGAGCTTCTCAGACTCTTCCACGAGCTGGGACCGGGCGATTTCGGCCTGCTTGGCCTCGCGGAGTTCGCGTTTCTGCTCGACCTTTTGGAGTTCGGTGTTCAGACTGTCCCTCGCGCGGCCGTCGTCCGCCTCCACGGACTTGTACACATCCAGCAACCGCTTCTGCGCCGCCTCGATCTCCGCTTCGCGCTTGTCCTCGTCGTTTTTTCTTTTCATGTTGTCCGCTTGCACGGAATCGCGGTGCTTCTGGATCTGCTTTATCCTTCCCGCCATCCGCTGCTTCGCGACCTGCAGATGCTCTCGGTCCCGCGCGTTCGCTTGGTTCACGGTCTGCAGGAAATTCCAGTCGCTGGCGGTGTAGTCGATCTCTTTTTTGTTCTTCAACCGTTTCGCGTGCGATTCGCGGAGCTGCTTTTGGGACTCAACCTCGGTTTCCAGATTCACCATGTCCAACTCCTCCCGCTGCTCTTCCGCGTCTAGTTTCTCTAACTGCACCTCCGCCCGTTTTTCGCGCTCGAGCCGCTGCTTCCGGACGAGAGCCAACTCCGCCACCATCTGTTCCCGCCGCGTGCGCTGCTCTAAATCTCTTTCCGACTTCCGCACCTCCAAGGCGTGCAACTTCTGCCGGATCTCCCGCTCCCGCGCCTCGTCCTGTTTTTCCGCATTCGAGGAGACATGGGCAAAAAGCGGGTTGTGCCGGACGTTTTCCTTCGCATTCACCATCGAAGTGGCGTTCTTCGCGCGGTTTACAACCGCTTCTTCGGAGGACAAAATACTCAAATCGTCCGCGGCCCCCGCGGGAACGTTGCTGTTCATTTCCGTCGCGGTCAACCCGATGGAGGACAGAATCTCCGAGCTGTGCAACTTCTCCCGCGCGTGCTGCTCCTGCTTTCCGGCCTCCTGCCCCCGCTCCTTGTGCTTCTCCATCCGCTTTTGCAACGCGTCTAACTGTGATTCGATCGCGTTCAACTGCAGGTCGAGTTGCGCAGCGGCGGCGGATTCGAGACGGGCCGTTTTCTCTTTGAACTTGTGCTCAATAGAAGCCTCCAAATCAGCCTCTTCCAGCACTCCGCTTTCGAGCAGAGACGCATTTGGGTCTTGCACGGAACTCCCGAGGACCATGTTTGTTGTGTTCCGAAGAAACTGGTTCGGGCTGGTGACTAAAGACCCGGCGTTGAAATTGTTGTGTAAATTGCTGTTCGATAGCGGCCGGGCCATCACCTGCTGCATTGCGGACGGCGGGAGCGGCAACCCCGATTGCACGGCGGCTTTCGCGCGCGACGTCGAGCCGACTCTTGTGTTGTTGTAAAGCAAATTCGTCGTCATCGCGGTCGCGGGGACGACGGGTGACGTCAAGCTGCCCGTTGCAGCGAGAGCCCTAGCTCCGGTTAAAGGGGAAGAAGTTGTGATTTTTTGCAGGCTGCTCATGTTGTTCAAACGCAAATCCGTGTTCGTCTGCGTTACCATTGCTAAGTCCCGCGCGTGCTGCTGCAGCATCAGCTCCACCTGGTACCGGGACTCGGTCATGTCCTTCCTCTGCTGGTCCAGCGGGTCGAGCTGAATCACCGGCTTCCGGTACTTACTCGTGTCAATGGCCAACGGGTTGGTTCCGATCGACCCGCCGAGCAGATTCGGCACGGGCGCCAAACCGAGCTTCTCCGCAACGGAAACTGGAGACGCGAGCGCTTCGGCGACGGCGTTGGTGTGCAGCTTTGGCCTGCGACTTCCACTCGTCGGGGACAGGAATCCGAACGCGCTGGCGCGGGAGTTTTGTCTCGCAGAATTTATCATTTGTCCAGCACTGTCGGTGTAAAGTCCGCTTTCGTGGAAGGACCCGAAGGCGGAGGAAGCCGAGTGGACGTGGACGTGGTGCTGCTTCCGCAAGGCTTCCTGGATCGGGCCGTCGATGGAACTGTACGGAAGCTGCCCCAACCGGGCGTCCGGCGTCAGGTAAAACGCGGGCTGGACCAAGTCCTTCGGCGCAGTAAGCGGGCCAGGGGGCAGCTGCCGGCCGGACGGGGTCGTCGTGTTAGTGTTTTCCGGTTTGGCCGCGGCGGAAGTAGAGGAAGCACCGGGCTCGTCGTCGTTGGTCGCGGAGTGCTCACCGTCGAAAAAGCAGCTGGTAGTAGTAGAGGGTCGTGATAGTGGTCGTGTGTCGAAGTTTTCATCAAACCCTGGCTCTCGCTCCTCCATGATCTCTTCTTCGTCGCAACTAGAGTCGTAGAACAGCTCCAAGTATTCCGTAGCTCCTGCTCCTGCGTAGTACTCAAGAGCATCAGCTTCAGCACAACTTTTATACGCATCAGGATCAGAGGTTGAACCCTCGTCGAGGCCACAGCTCCCTCCATCATCATCCTCCGGCACCTCCGCCCGATGCAGGCCCGCTTTTTGCTTTTGCGCGCCCAGGTGCTCCTCATACCGCTTTTCTAGCTCTTCCTGCATGGCCAGTAAGAACTGCGTGTGGGGCATTTGGTGTTCGCTAGTTGAGGATTTCACCTCCTCATCGTCCCCCGCCATGCTCTGGCTCATCTTGCTCGACGCCGCGGTTTTCGGGGGCGGGTACTGCGTGCCCTCCAAACCGAGGTGACCCGCGTAGGTCCCGTGAACTAAATCCCGGTTCGGCCCGAGCAACTGTGGGCTCAGCGCGTTCGCGGAAAATCCCCAAAACTCCCGCATTTCGTCCGCTGTTTGCATCACCTTCGGGCGCATCATCACCTCGGTCGCGGTGCTGGCCGCGGAGCTCATCGCGGACTGCGGTCCCACGTAGAAGCTGATCGGCTGTCCGTTCGCATCGAAGATGTCGTTTGTTTGCGTGGCGTAGCCCCCGTAGGAGGCCTGCCCGCCCGCCTTCATCGGGGTCGTGCCAAACGCGTACGCGGAGGGGCCCTGTTGCCGCGCGGGGATGAAGAGTTGCGGTGGCGGCATCGTGGGAATGACGACGTCCAGCGTTTCCCAGGGGCGTTTCGAGGTAGAGGTTTGACTGGGGACGGAGCGGTTGCTGCGCATCAAATCGTCCGCGTTTTCGACCAAGGGCCGGTTATCGGTTTCTTGTTCTGCGATCTCCTCGATTTCCTTTATCGAAACACGTCTCTTCTGCGCATCCTGCTTCGCCTTCTTGTTCAGATAATGCTCTGGCGTCCTCGTCCGCATCACTTCCATGCCGGTGGTCGGGTCGACTTCCGGCTCCTGAACAAGGTCAATGTCCTCTTCAGCTGGTTTTGGCAAGGCCATGTAGGCTAAGTGGTTGAGCCCAAAGTGCTCGTCGAGCAGGTCAACGCCCTCCTCAAATTGCTCTTCGACGACAGGAGGTGCGATTCCTGGCCCACCACGCCCGAAATTCCGCTCCCCCTCCGGTTTCGCGATCTTGTTCGAGTAGGTCGGCTTCTGCCGGCTACCGTAATGCCGCTCGAACGCCTCACTCGTGGGGCTCGGACGCGACTCTCGGGGCTGCATTCTCCCCTGCTGCTGTGCTCGCATCGCCGCGGACTCGTCCCGGTTGAATTTTATTTGCTGCTGTTGGAAGTTCGACTCCCGGGTTGGGCTCGTGCTGTGCATCTGCACGTGCCCCGGGTCCAGCTTCGTGATCCTTGTCGCCTGGCCCGGGTGCGTTTGCCCTCCGGCGCGAAGATATTCGTTTGTGTGCACAACGTTTTGGTCCTCGTCCGCAGTCTCCAAATGCCCCTCGTGAAAGGGTCGTTTCGGCAGCGGCTGCAGGGGAAAAGGTTCGATAGGGCCGGCGGGCGCGAGGTACTTCGGCTCCGGCTGCGCCATCGCGGCCTGTTCCGCGGCTTGCTGCCCAGGAAGCTTGTAGAGAACGCTGTTCGGCCCGGCGGTCAGGTGAATGGCGTTCTTCTTAGCATCAGAAGTTGTACCAGCCGCGCCCGGCCCGGTGCCACCGGCGTTGCGGGTCGACTGCGATTTCGCGTAGCCCGGGAGATTCACCGCACGGAGCTTCGAAAAGGGATCGGACGCTTCGGCTTCCTCACGGGCCTTGGCGACCGTCTCGAGGGTGACGGGTTCTGGCTGTCGCAGACCTTTCTTGCGGCTGGCGGCGTATTGCTTACCGCCCTCGACGACCTGATAGGAAAATGGGACATTGAAATCTGTATCTTCAAGCAGTGATTTCAGGTTCTACACTCGCTTAGCAAAAAAGATGCAGCAACTCGTACTTGCTTCTGACAGGAAGAAATGAACGACTACGTATTTCTACGAACATCCAAATCAGCAACACCAATAGATACAGACCTAAAAAGCTGTCTTGCATCAAGTTGTATCAATACGATGTGCCGGCGGTTGACCCGCGCCATTTCATCGATTTCGGCGTCCGCCGCAGCACTGGTCCGTGCCGCTTCCAGAGCCTCCAGAACAATACTTTCCAGCGCGTCCAGCCGCTTTTTGTCCATGTTTCGCGCGATTTCCAGGGTGTCCACCGACGCCTGCAGTTCCTGCTCGACCTGCTGTAGTCGTCGCTTCAGCACATCGGCCGGCGCGGAGCTTTCTTGCTCCAGCCTCTTCATGGTCTCCATGGCCCGCACCGCGTCTTCCTTCACCCGGTGCTCCAGCTGTCCCATACGCTGGATCGCCTTGAAAATGTCGTGGGGCCGGTATCCTATGTAAAAACGTCCCCACACCCATAGTCAAGATGGGGAGTCGGCTAGACAAATCCACGAGCTTTGAATGTTTTGCATGACAAATTTGGACTCGTAGTGTACTGCTGTTTGAGGTAGTTCTAGTTCAGCAGCATCACAGATCTAGTATATGATCCTGATTGGAGCATGACAAATTCCAAAACACGAATAAAAAATGCTTCTCATGGGGCTCCGCATAAGAAACATTTTCAGCATGCAGATTTGCATTACAACTATAGGGTGGGGACGTTTTTAAATACGATAGCCGGGCCTCCAACTGCCGCAGCCTGCGGTCCATCTCGTGCACCTTGGGTATGGCGTTCTCAAGTATTACATTCTCAACTGTTACAAAAATTTGTAATGTAAGAACGGCGAAAGTGAAAGGGGGAAGATTGCGCCTCTTGCATTACAGATTTGGCACAGATTTAGATGCTGTTTAGCCCTTCGGATATTTGTCATGCGAAGCAGCTAAATCGTGGCGATCTTGGTGGTAAATTTGCATGACAAATCATGTAACAGCTGAGAATGTAACGTTTGAGAACGCCATATTGGGTTCCGTCCCGGAGGGCGCGGCGGCGGAGCTGTGGCCGACCGGCTGCATGCTGTCCGTGAGCAGCGCGGGGTGCTTTTCGCTCAATTGCTTTTGTCGCGCGAGTTCCGCCTCCGTTTTCGATAATCGCATCGCGTGCGCGTGGGTTTTCTTGACCCACTCCTGGATCTGGTCTCTTCTTTGCCTTATGGACTTCGCCGTGGGCCGCAACAGCCACCCGAGCTGCACGGTATCCACCTTGTCGTACGCATTTTGCAGCACCGTGGGGCCGGACTTGAGCATCGCTTCCAGTTCCATTTTCTTCTTCTTCACCTGTGCGCGCTGCTTCTTCCCGCGGAAGTTCGCCTGGATCTTGGAGGCCGCACGGACGCGCTTTTTGTACACCGCGTCCTCGTCCGCCATAGCTAACGCCCGCTTCCGCTCCTGCTCTTTCCGCTCCGCCTCCCGCCGCGCGTTCTCCTCATCCAGCTTTTCCTGCTGCGCGAGCCGGTCCTTAAACTTCTGCGACCGCGTGTTCATGAACGCGCGGCGCGCGACGACGTTCCGCCACCATTTCTGGAGACGCCTGGTCTGTTCGCCGAACTTCAGCTCCAACCGTCGCGTCCGCGCCTCCTCCACCTGCTTCTTCGTGGGTCCGCCGCGCGCAGCGATGTTGTCCATGTTCACCTTGGCCTCGTCCGTCTGCTTATCAAATGCAAAAATGTCTGGGTCGGGAAGGTTGGAACTTGTGATGCTAACTTTGGACTCTAAAAAAATCTGTATAGCATGACCAGCAAGAGGAGTCTAGTTCGTGCTACGCGGAGAGGGCGTTTGTCATGCGGAGTAGGCATCAGAAAGCCCTCGAAAAATCTGTGATGCTAGTTCGTGCATTACAGACATCCTGGGTCATGCAAAACATGCATGACAAGTCTCAGAATCTTCCAGACCCAGACATTTTTGCATTTGATACTGCTTCCACGGCGGGGGCCCGGTGTTCCGGCTCCAGCCCGGCTTCTTCCTGCTTTGTTCTTCGGGGGCAACAGAGGTGCCCACCGGGTCGGAACTCGCGACGATCCGGTTCTCCGCGCCGAGCACAATTTTCTCCCGACCGCCGGGGTCGCGAGTCTCATTGAGCTCTTTCTGCAGCGCTTGGTCGCCCTTCTTGCTGGACTTGATCCCGCCGGGAATCCCTCGCGTGGTCGGCTTGAAGGAGGCCGGCGGGGCGGACTTTTGGTAAATAACCGTGTTGCCATTGGTGTCCGTTTCCGCAAACAGCCAGGGATGGAGCTCGCCCTTCTCATCGTAGAGCAAGTCCAGCTCCTCCGGCTGGGCGGTGTGGTCCGACTCATCGCCGTCGAGCGGCATTTATTTTTCGATAAGGTGAGGGAATAATTTCTATGCGTGTTTTCTTGGGTCGTGCTGTGGGTCAAAGTGATGTGGGGCTTTTTTTAATGAGAATGTCTTCACAGGTTATGTTGGGAGGTTGGGTAAAGTCGGGGACCAAAAAGTTTGTGTACAGAAATTCCAGTTATTATGGCAGTAGTGTAATCGTGAAAAAGTTGTAAAGGTAAATTTAGTTGAAGTTGTAGTTGTTCAATATCGCAATAGGCCGTCGCTTTAGCGTTTGTTTTCCGTAGAGAGAGTGCTTTGTGTCACATACTGAAAAAAAAACCCTGTCGTTGCGAGCAGATGCAATATGATGGTATGGGAGCAAACCATTTTGAAAGTTCAGTAACTGTTCATCCTTTATTGACAACGAAACATTTACGACGACACGGCGAATGAAGCAAGGACGGTTCTTCAAGTTCTTTTTTTTTGCACGGATAAAAGCACGACGCAGCTGTTCATTCCACGAAAGCAGGACGAGAAAACTTGAAGATGTGATCACGACTATAACTTAAAATTTCACCTTGTTATCCATGTGTGTTAACCACATCATCAAAGAGATCTTTCCATTTTATTTTACAAGTGCTCTGACGATACGTTTAGTGGTCTGACGATAGTACGCTTAGCTTTGCGTATACGTGCACGAGCGTATAATGACTTGGAGCGAAGTGCGGAACTCCGCAGCAACGAGGACAAGGAAAACCTCTTGTAGTATTTGTACTGCAGCAGCAATCCCTTATGGGACTTTTGAATTTCATTTATTTTGAAACGACGATGTCGACGGGTAGTTGTTAAATCTTGCTGCTAGATGAAGTAGTTACATTTGACTTTTTTGGTTTCACATAGCTTGGCTGTTTACTTTGCTTCGGCAAGCACCGTCGACGAAATCAAATCCTCACATTTTTGTTGAAAAAACATCTCGCAGTACGAAATATGCATTTGAGATTCATCAGCTTGTAGAAACTTATCGGTACCACCGAGTCTTCGACGTAAATGGAAATGATCATACAGAGACTAGAATTGTAGTTCGTTGTGTCTTCATTGTTTTTGGCCGTGGTGCTGTCAAAACGCAGCCTCACGAACAAACTGAAGCTGCAGGTCGTTCACGGTCCGCTCGAAGATTCTAAACTCAGAAAATCTCCGCCACACCCACAAGCGAAATCGGTCCACTCGCGACGACTTCGCAGCACGTGCTTGAAATCGGCCGGGATCGTCACGTGGCCTGGAAGAATCACCAGATACGGCACGGAATTCTCTACCAAATTTTCCACTTCCCGGGAAAGTCTCCCCACAGTTGATGTTCTACTACTCGCGCCTGAAGCTCCCGCCAAGGACGACGACGGCCTCATCATCCCGCCATGATCCGGACTTGAAGCTGCCACGGAAAGAACCTCCGCGAGGTGTGTGGTTGTCATGCTGCTGTTTTCGCCAGCAACATATGAGAGTGCACAATCCCCCCTCCCCCTCATTTGTAAGGCATGACCAGCAATACAAACAACGAACAAAACTGCAGGCTTTGCATCACGAATTTCCACCACAAGATTGTAGTGCTGCTTGGGCTGCCTCTGCCAGAACTTGTCATGCACACAGTGCCAAGGGACAAAGCGAAAGCGTGTGTGTGGAGCTGGTCCTGGAGGTGGACTTGGTATTTTGCATTACAAATGAGGGAGAGGCCGCGGAGTTGCGGTGCACTCTCATACAACATCATTATCAGCCAGCAGGCTCACAGCTTCCAGGCCGAAGTTCCGCTGTATCCGCCGGAGAAACATCGCCACCGCCTGCGTTGCGTTTGCGGTCAGCGGCTGCACCAGCATCGCCTTGCGCATGCTGTCCTCTCCGCGGCTTGCGTCGGGGAACTTGAACTTTGGCGGCATGCGCTTCGGTTTGATGAAGCAAACCAATTCCAAAGCGGAAGTAGATTCCTTCAAAATCTCTGCTGTTCCAGGGAGCCACACCTCGTAAAACCCGCTGGCAACGCGCGAGGAGTGCTGCCCTCCGGCGCGCACGAGGTAGGCGCCCTTGCCCTTGTCCGGGATACTTGGTCTCGCGACGAAGTTTGCTCGAGAAGCAACAGCCGCTCCGCCACTGCGCTCCTGTTCTGCGCCTGGATTCTTTGCACGCTCCACGATTTTTTTTCTCCGGTCAGCTGCACTTGTTGCGCCACTACTAGTAGTAGCAGTTCGGGGGTCGGGATAGAAAGTAAGCTTGTTCGTGCTTGTAGAAGACGGAGACGGTGCCCTGATCCTAGAAGCTTGAGCTTCCCGCGTCGTGTTCGTGTAGTTCTCTTCATCATTACTCTCGTAGATGTGAATGGCAGAGAGCATGGAGGCGGAAGCCGGAACTGTTTGTTCACCGACGTTTGTAGCTGTCCTCGTATTGTGGTTCTCCCCCCTGATGTGCTGTGCCGCAGTAGCGCTTGAAATTGTACTAGCTGAAGCTGCACTGATATGCCTTTGCCTCCTTTCCTCGGTGATCCGTTTTTCCGTTGCTTTCTTGGACGCGGCCATGATGGCAGCAAACCGGTCCGCTTCCGCCGCAGCTGCGGCAGCTCCCTTCGCAAGCGAACCGGCAGAAGAAGCCGTTTTATTCATCTTCTCTTCCTGTTCCAGCTTCGATTTCGAGCTGACCAAATGTTCCATCTCCGCGGTGAATTCGCCGAGTTTTTGCTGCAACCGTTGCGACAGTTCCAACCGGTTGGACAGCGGACCAATCCTGTCGCGTTTTGCAGCAATCTGCCGCGGGTCTATTTCGGAGACGGGAACTGGCGGCACGACAGGACCATGAGAGGATGTAGTTGCCCCTCCACGAGGTGGACCTGCTGTAGTTGATGATGAACTAGTACTCCCATTCGAGGAACTTAACCCTCTAAACGGTGCCATCGCGGCAGCCGCCGACATGGGTTTGTTTATCAAGCCCCCACCGGAGCTGCTGTGGGTCCTCCTCGCCGCTGCGAGACTACTCTTGAAAGCTTCGAAAACGAATTCGCTATCGTCGGAGGACGAAACACGGGGTGGAGCTGCTGCTGCTGCTGCTGTCCCTTTAGAGCTTGGAGAGGAGCTTTTGGTCGTGTTCTTGGTCTTTGTTATTCCTTCTTGCTGCTGCTTGTTCACCGACGTCGTACCCGAATGTTTGTCGTTCTTCGCCATTTTCACGTTGGGGTTTGCACGGACGTTCGTGGACTTCTTCCTCACTGACTGCTGGTTAACATGATCCACAGCAATTTTTGCTTTCATTTTCCCACTCCCTGGACCACCGGGGCTGCTGCTTCGAGACGGTGAGCCACCTCCTGCTCCGGTCTTATCGGGCATAGCAGCCTGTAGTTGTTGATGCGCAGCAGGAGGTCCGCCAGCGGCTACAGCCAGCTTGACCTTGTTCCCCCCGGCTGCTAGCCCGCTTTTCGGCTCCTGATAAAATGTGTACGGATTCGTCGTCGCGTTTTGCAGTCGGCTCTCTCCGACCGCCATGTTTTGTGAAAAGTTGATGTCGCGGTGGCCAAATTGGTGGTGAAAGTGGTCCTCGTATATGTCGTCTGCTTGTCGCATCAAATCCCGCCGGCGCCGGTCCGCCTGGCCATCGATGTCATACGGCTCGCGGAGCTGGAAGATGTCGTACTTCGGTACCTCGCCATCGGTTCCGGGGGCGGGGGGCCCCCCCGACCGGAACCGCCCCGGCGTGGTCACGACTCCGCGCAACGGCGGGGTGCCCGTTCCGTAGGGCGCGTGCGGACCCTCCGGGCCGGGGTCGGGAAGCCAGTTTGACTTCTCCCCGGGCGGCTTGTTTGACAGGGGGGTGAAGGACGCGCCCCGGTGGATTTTGCTCGCGGCATCCATCGCTTCGGCCTTCGCAATCAACGGTTCGCCGAGGCTGTAGCCGCCCTGCATGCTCGCTCCGTACTGCGCGGAGCCCTCGCGGCCTAGCAGCTGGTTCCCCAGCCGCAGCAGCTCCTCCGCGACGGCCTCGCGGTCACCGCCACCCGCGCCCCCGGTTCCCGCGCCCCCCGCGGATTTGCCCTTCCCGCCCGTGGCCGCGTCCAGAAACTGGTTGTGCATCTTCAGCCGCTCGGCCACGCCGGGGGGAAGTTTCTTGTCCGCGTTTTTCTCCTTCAAGATCGCTTCGACCTGCTGGCGAAGACCGCTGCCGCCGATCTGTCATGTGTGAAGATATCAAAAAGTCAACATTCCATTTGTCTTATAACTGTGCTTTTGTGATCATGCAAGAGGTTGTTACCGGCGAGGTAGAAAAGTGTGGTGGTTTCATTCCGATTTTAGTTTTTTTTCAGATGCAAATAAAACTCTCCTGTGCACCAGCAGTTCCAATACCCTGGGCGGGTTTGCGTTATTGATCGCCGCTTTCAGCAGCCGCAGCATGGTCTCGTCACTGGCCACGTAGTCGCGGTAGGGTAACGGTGCCTCCCCCGTCGCCGGGTCGAAGCCGTCGTTCCGCAACCCCGCCTGATTCATCAAATCCCGGAGCCAACGGAGAATGTCGGCGGGGCGGCGCTTCAACGCTTCCTCTAGCAAACTGTGGATGATCGGCGCCAGGGTGCGGTCGTAGTACCGCCGTCGGTCGTAGATCGTGGCGTTTAAGGGGGGCGGGCGTTGGAGCTGTAGTTTTTGGCGGGACGATTTTGAATGGTTGTTTCTTTCGAATACTGATAAAGAGACTGCCAACAAACTCATAGCGAACTTGTCATGCTACAATTAGCTACTTCGATGCACTGCAGGTGCTAAAACGCATGAGCATGGCGAGCACGAGGTCTTCAATTCCAATATAGACCTTCTCTACCAAAAATACGATATTACCCATCTCCGGATGTAGGCCATGGGGTTTTGGGGCATCCGCTTGGACAGGTCGTCGATCAGCGGGCGCAGCACCGGGTCCAGAATGCGGTCAATGTATTCGGCGTCTGTCATCTGGTCGGGGGCCATCATGTTCAACCCTCCCCTATTATCACAGCAAAAAGTGTTAATCTTAACGGAATTTGTGATGCAGCAATGCATCACAAAACACCCAATGCATAGAATGCATATAATTGGGCTACATTTGTGATGCATGACTGCAATCTGTGAAACGAAACCGTTAATGCTAACACTTTTCCTTGTGATATCTCTGGAGCAGCGCTTCCGTGATGACCGGCTGGAAGGGCAGAACACCCTCGGGAAGGCCTTCCATCGCACGGGGATCTGTCGTTAAGATAATGTGGTCGTGTTGTATACATTTTATGTTGCGAACAACATTTTGATTGTCATCATGAGCACCAGCTCTTCGAGATTATGATGTTGGTTATCGATATTCTTGATAATCGGGTTGGAGATCGTTGGCACAGCCGCTGCCGTTGTTTGCGTGAGTGAAGATGTCGGTCGTCATCATGTGCGTATTTCTATTGCTGGTCCGTCTCGGGGTTGAAAAGGTAAATTAGCTTCGGAAATCCGTGAAGAGCTGCAAATAGCAGAGCCTATGTGCGTGATCGATATCTCCTTCAATGCCCCCACCTCCGCCAAGAGCTTATACGTGCATCGGCATCTTCATCTGAAGAAGCTTCTCAGTTATCATAAGTCCTCCAAAAAGAAGAATCAACGAAATTTCAAAATTTTATTTTTATCGATTTACAAAATGAAAATCCGCGACTTTCAATAAAGTTTTATTTTTATTTGCATACTGGTAGTGTGCTCTTTGTGAAGTTCTACTTTTCAAGTATCATAGTCCGCGAAACCGAAATTTCGATAGTTTTACTTTTATGCAGATTCGAAATCCGCGAAATTTTAAAATTTTATTTTCATGAAGATTCAAAATCCGCGAAATTTCAAAATTTCATTTTTATTGCAGCAAAAGTGCTTGCTCGATATCTGTTCTTTTTCTCTGGTGCGCTGTCTTCTCGCGGTGGCAAGAGCTAACCAAAATAACGACTTCTGGAAGAAGCGCTGCTTTTTCTTCTTTTTGGCAACCCAAAACACGACGGAAGGCTGCCTTCTCACAGTAGCAAAAACCTGCTAAAACGCCTACATCTGGGAGTAGCGCTGCTTCTCCCCCTCTTTGCCAACCCGAAACACGGGGGAAAGCCGTCTTCCCACGGGGGCAAAAACTAAACAAAACGGCATCTCGGAAGAGCGCTTCTTTTTCGACATTTTGGCAATCCGAAACACGAGGGGTGGCCGACTTCCCACGGTAGCAAAAACTAGCTCAGAGGGTTTCTGGGAAAAGCGCTGCTTTTTCGATTTTTTTGGCAACCCAAAACACGAGGGGTGGCCGTCTTTCCGCGGTAGCAAAAACTAGCTCAAACGAACGGCTTCTGGGAAAAGCGCTGCTTTTTTGATTTTTTTGGCAACCCGAAACACGAGGGGTGGCCGACTTCCCACGGTAGCAAAAACTAGCTCAAACTGCTTCTGGCAAAAGCGCTGCTTTTTTGATTTTTTTGGCAACCCGAAACACGAGGTGTGGCCGACTTCCCACGGTAGCAAAAACTAGCTCAGACGGCTTCTGGGAAAAGCGCTGCTTTTTTGATTTTCTTGGCAACCCGAAACACGAGGGGTGGCCGACTTCCCAAGGTAGCAAAAACTAGCTCAAACGGTTTCGGGGAAAAGCGCTGCTTTTTCGAATTTTTTGGAAACCCGAAACACGAGGGGTGGCCGTCTTCCCACAGTAGCAAAAACTAGCTCAAAGTAACGGCTTCTGGGAAAAGCGCTACTTTTTCGAATTTTTTGGCAACCCGAAACACGAGGGGTGGCTGTCTTCCCACGGCAGCAAAAAACACTAGCCGAGACAGCTTCTGGGAAAAGCGCTGCTTTTTCGAGCTTTTGGCAACCCGAAACACGACGGGTGGCCGTCTTCCCACGCTAGCAAAAACTAGCCATGACAGCTACTGCGAGAAGCGGTTCTTTTTCGCCTCTTTTGGCAACCCGAAACACGACGGGTGGCCGTCTTCCCACGGCAGCAAAAAGCACTAGCCGAAACCGCTTCTGGGAAAAGTGCTGCTTTTTCGACTTTTAGGCAACCCGAAACACGACGTGTGGCCGTCTTCCCACGGCAGCAAAAAGCACTAGCCGAAAAGGCTTTTGGGAAAAGCGCTGCTTTTTCGAGCTTTTGGCAACTACCCGAAACACGACGGGTGGCCGTCTTCCCACGCTAGCAAAAACTAGCCATAACAGCTTCTGCGAAAAGCGCTTCTTTTTCGACTCTTTTGGCAACCCGAAACACGACGGGTGGCCGTCTTCCCACGCTAGCAAAAACTAGCCATAACAGTTTCTGTTAAAAGTGCTGCTTTTTCGACTTTTTGGCGACCCGAAACACGGCGGGTGGCCGTCTTCCCACGGCAGCAAAAAACACTAGCCGAAACCGCTGCTGGGAAAAGCGCTGCTTTTTCGAGCTTTTGGCAACCCGAAACACGACGGGTGGCCGTCTTCCCACGCTAGCAAAAACTAGCCATAACAGGTTCTGCGGAAAGCGCTTCTTTTTCGACTCTTTTGGCAACCCGAAACACGACGGGTGGCCGTCTTCCCACGGCAGCAAAAAGCACTAGCCGAAACGGCTTCTGGGAAAAGCGCTGCTTTTTCGAGCTTTTGGCAATTCGAAACACGACGGGTGGCCGTCTTCCCACGCTCGCAAAAACTAGGCATAACAGCTTCTGCGAAAAGCGCGTCTTTTTCGATTCTTTTGGCAACCCGAAACACGACGGGTGGCCGTCTTCCCACGCTAGCAAAAACTAGCCATAGTTAACAGTTGCTGGGAAAAGTGCTGCTTTTTCGACTTTTTGGCAACCCGAAACACGACGGGTGGCCGTCTTCCCACGGCAGCAAAAAGCACTAGCCGAAACGGCTTCTGGGAAAAGCGCTGCTTTTTCGATTTTTTTGGCAACCCGAAACACGAGGGGTGGCCGTCTTCCCACGGTAGCAAAAACTAGCTCAAACTAACGGCTTCTGGGAAAAGCGCTGCTTTTTCGAATTTTTTGGCAACCCGAAACGCGAGGGGTGGCCGTTTTCCCATGGTAGCAAAAACTAGCTCAAACGGTTTCCGGGAAAAGCGCGGCTTTTTCGATTTTTTTTGGCGACCCGAAACACGAGGGGTGGCCGTCTTCCCACGGTAGCAAAAACTAGCTCAAAATACCGGCTTCTGGGAAAAGCGCGGCCGTTTCGATTTTTTTTGCAACCCGAAACACGACGGGAGGCGGTCTTTCCACGGGACCAAAAACTGCCCAAGATTGGTTCTCAAGAAGAGCGCCCAAGATTGCTTCTCAAGAAGAGCTTTCCGCAGCGCAAAGCACGAGACGTAGAGGGCCAGAAAGCAGATAGAAACTGCCACAACGTACGTCTGTATCAGAAGCGACTTCCACAACACATCACCATCAGCACAAATCCAACGAAAATGAACGTCAAAAATATAATCAAGCAGATTCTAGCCTATGTAAGTACAAATAGCTGATTATACCGTGATCGCTTCCCTCGTCACTGTCGTCGAAGTCTTCATCGTCCTCGTAATCTTCTTCTTCGTAGTCGTCTTCTAGCTATCCCGGGGAAAACTACAAAATTGGCCAAAGAGCCGCCCACAACAAACTTCTAGAACTACACATTGATCGTGTCCGTGCCTACTGTTACTAGCTACGTTAAAAAGGTGTTCATCGAATGGGAATGAGTAGTGTAGATGACTCTGGCTGATGTGAAAAATGGTCGTGGGCGATTCGATTACAACATAAAAGAGTTGCGCTCAGTTCTTCTATGGAGATAAAGGCACGATTTCATATTGATTTTTTATTTCCTGGATGCCGTGGGCGGCCACAGGCATGCGAATCCATAATTTTTCAGTTTCTTAGCTCGTACTCCTCCTCCTCGTCATCCATCGGCAAGTTAAATTTGTATTCCGTTCCCTTCTGCATTTCCGACGGGCTTTGCGACTACGTATCCATTGCAAAAGTATCGCACTTGGACTCGCGTCGCTTGTTCCCTTTGCAGCATTACATGACAAAGTAAATTAAGTTGTAGTTTTTTTTTTCGCTGGATCTCCATGAGTAGAGTCGTGGAAGCTTTGTGTTGGTTCTTTCTGAACAATTTAGTAACATGGTGCAATAATTGTAATTCCAATGTGTGCTACTTAGTACGATGCTTTTGCAAATGCATACTGTGACTGGGACTGGGACTGAGATTGGGACAACTGCGATGCGGTTTGAATCTGCGCGCTCGACGCATCCGTTTCCGGAATGTGGGCACTGGCCTGGGAGGCAGATTCGTTCGGATCGTGCTCATCGTCGAAATCTTCCTCTTCGTCGAGCTGAAATGTCGTAATTTTCTTTTCTTAAAAATCAAAGTCAATTCTCCAATTCTTTGCGAAGCGTGCATAAGAAACTACTGTGCTACGTGTCAAGAACGCTGTCGCTGTACTTCTAGCGTTACGAGCGAAGTCGATAAAAATCACACTGTAGTACTGTTTTCTCGTCCTGTTCTGGGCCGTCGTCGCTCTGTACCTCCGTTTCCGGTGGCGCGCTGTCTTGCACGGACGACTTCTGCGTGAGATTGACGCTGAGCGTCCCGGTGGGCGCGCGGCTGGTGGCCTCCGAAAAGTCGGTCGATGCCGGCGCGGGGATGTTCGGCGTGTTGAGCGCGGTCTCCCGTTCATCCGGCAATTGTGAGTGCTTCGGGATTACGCCCAAGTTCGCCTGCTCCAGGCTTTCTTCGACCTCGTCCTCCTCTTCCTCGACTTCGGAACTCATCTTGTTGCAGTTCCCACGAGTTGATGTCGTGTATACTAGACGAGTCTTATCTCTTTTTCCACGACGACGGTGCGGACTTCTGGAGGACTTTGTTGTTTTATTTTGATTTTAGTGTGCAACGAGCCAGCGGACGCACTACTAGAAGAACGATATTGATTTAGCTACAGATGACCAGCAAGGTCAAGACGATATTGATATCCAGATGAAGAACAGCAAGGTCAACAGTGGTGGTAGGTGGTGCAATGTGAATTATGTCGAGTTTATTCTATATTCGTCTAAAAACTATGATGTCTACGCTTGAGTTCGACAAAAACCAGGTCGTTGACTTACCACAAGCTATAGCTTGCCAACTCCAACTCCACAAACCTTCCTCTCTGTGAAAATCACGATGCCTTCTACCTCTCCGTGAAGATCACGATGCCTATCACTCAAGCTGGTATTTTTGATAACGCGAGTTATATCTACAACTCGTCAGAAGTCTCTCGCACTACATCATATTAACGCTCTGCAATTTATTCCGGAGCTAGCACGAGAACGAAGGAAGTGAAGTAGTGAAACTAAACAAGTCCACCAGAAGTACTTTTCATGGATCACTCGTTCAGGCCCCTCGTCTTCCCAAGACGAGGCGTCATTCTGTGTCTGCGTGCATTTTGAAAGCAAATAAGGCTCGAAGCAGGGCAAGCGCAAACAAGCTTTTGCAAAAAATATATGGAGCTGTTGGCACACGTACAACGATAGATCGTGTTTTAACAACGGTGACACCACCTACAGCCTAGAAAACCTCAACATACTGCGACGGTGCAGAAGGAGGCACGATCATGGTTCAAATTCATTTTAAATACTCAAGTGCTGGCATCTCAAAACTTGCACGAATGATTTACTTAGCTGCTCTACGTCGTTATGATCTAGATCTTTGTATACCAAAATTCGTGATTGCCTCAAAATCCCCGTGTCGTTGTACCATCGAGGGGAATGGTTTCTTTTTGTTTCTCTTTCTGTTGTATTCCCAAATTAGAATAATTACATGAGGATCTCAATTATGTCCTCGGGTGGCACCATGGGGCGTAATAAAACTCACATCGACTACTTCAACATCGTCGCCCTCGATTCTACTTCTTCATCAATTGTCCCTCTCCTAGACGAATCTTTCCCCTGCCAGCGCCCGGCCCATCTCCTCGCCGCTCATTTCCCGCCGCCGCTTCAAGTTCGCCAGCCTGCTTTCGTTATCAGCTAGCGCCTCGTATGAACTGCAAAAGCATCGCACTAGTAGTAATTGCAACACAAATTCAAATTCGCTCACCGTGACAAATGGAATTTGTCATGCTGATTTGCGTTGGGAACGAGGTTTGTAATGCATGACTGCAACTACTACGAGTACGATACTTTTGCACAGGATACCTCGCTTGCAGCTGACGTGACAGCCCGGCTCCAGCAGTAGCGAGGGAGGGAGAAAATTTCCGTGTTGCTCGAATCAAAACTCACATAAAGTATGTCGTTTGATGTTTCTTCATATTCGCCTTGAACAAATGGCAGAGCGGTATTTGTAGCCCTAAGCAAATTCGTTTTACTCTCTGCCTTAACAGCACCGCTCGCATAGGGCGTCGAAGTTTCTGCACCAGCTCCTCCTGCTGCTCGCTGAATACGCAATACGCGCCCCACTCGCAAATTGGAAGCCTGCAACTTCTCCAACTGGGTTCTCATGCGAAGTAACTTGATGGTGCTCCCTTCCTCTACCAAGTTCATCGCGTTGTCTGATGTTCCCATACCCATAGTAAAGGAACTGACCGCACTTTGCCTTTGTTCGATCTCCTTTTCTAGTCTCGCCCTGCAGGAATCCTTTTTATCCTTTGCTCGTGTTTCCGCAGTAGTTTTTCCTGTTGAGTCTTCCTCCTCGTCGGGCTGTTCATCTATTTCCCAGAACGACGATGAGGGAGATGACGCTGTTGATGTTGTACTTGGCGACGAGACAGGGACACCAGGCACACGGCCGGTGATATACTTGTTTTTCTTCTTGTCCCCTGAAGACCCAAAGACTTTTTTCGGATCGTAGAAATCCGCGAGAACAACTGCATCTCCGGGGAGGATTTTCAACCTGGTCAGCCGTGCGTTGTCGATACCCTTCAGAAGCCGGGACCACCGTCTCAAACATTTCCCGACCAAATCGGTCAGGCCCGCGGCCCAGGAGGCGGCGCCGGTGCTTTCCGTCAGGAAGTAGTGGTCGAATTCCGCGGCCGGGGCGCGCAGCAACTGTTTGTGCTGGTTCAGCGTGTTTTGGAGTAGCTTGATATCTTCTTTGTGGTCGTTTTTTTTGGAAGTAGATAGTACCTCCCCAGTGCACAACCGTGTGAAATCTTCTCCAGTACAATTCTGCGTCAGTAGCTTGTCGCCAATAAACGCCTCTTCTTCTTGAGAGTTATTCGGCATAATGTCACTCGACATTCTCCAGATCAAGAGTTCGGGCGCCGGGGGGTAGACATAGGTATACATTTTTTCAGATGAAAGCGAAATAAGCGTGCCCTGCGTGCTCCGGCCCTTCTTCCACCTCGTCATGCCCTCAACATCAACATTCGTCTTGTCCACAGAAACAGCTCCTACTTTACCCGCCGCGATCGGGTCCAGTAGCCGCTCCATATCCCGGAGAAAAATCCGCCCTCCCCATATCGAAAAGGTACGTCGCAGAAAATTTGCAATGCTGATTTGCGACCACGAATGATCTCTATCTTGCAAGAAGGCAATTCCCCACGCTCCGCCGCATTATGCAGGCGGATTGTGGTGCTGGTGCTATTTGGCCTACAGCGCAGACGTTTCTCATGCTAAGCGCCTAGGCCAAAACCTCTTTACTCCGGCTTGATGCGGGCCTGCAGTCCTCTTCAGCAAGACAAATCTGATTTGTGTACTCAAATCCAGCATCACAAATTTCGTTTTCGATATTGGGAGGGGGGATTTTTCCTTTTGATACTCCAGCCACTCCCCCGACGCGATCTCGTCCCGGAAGCGTTCCTATGCTTTGCAAAAGTATCGCACTCGTACTAATTGCAAATACGCATGACAAATCTTCCTCCTAATGTAAAACAGCATTTCAAATTCCATTTTTCTTCTTGCCAAAATTTGTAATGCAATTTATCCTAGTACGCTACTTTTGCAATGCATAGTTCCAACCTAGCCATAGCCGCAATCACCGCCTCGGCGCGGGAGACGAAATTCGCCATCCGCTGCCGGAGCAGCTCCTTCAGGCCGACTGATCTCGTCAACTCTTCCACACCATCCGCCATGTCGAGCTCGAGCATCTCGCGGACGTCAGCATAGTGAAGATCGTCGGCAAGCCTATGAATTTCGTACTGCTCGCTCGCGGTTCTCAAGGTAGAAGTAGGCTCTTGCTGATACGGATTATACCCGCGACGTTGCTCGTCTACACGTTTTGAAGAAGATGAGGAAAAGGGCAGTGCCAGCTGGAGGCCGGTCTGTTGCCAGCTCAAGATGGCACTGACTTGCACCTTCAACTCGGCGGGACGAAGAGTCCGGCGTGCGGGACGCGAGGAGCGATTATTTGTTGCCCCGGGTTCATCTCCTCGTCCGACCGCATTCATTGCCCCAGCAGCAACGTCATTTGTCGTCCCCAGAAGTGCAAGTGGTGGTCGACTTCGTTTGTATCCTTCCTCCACATTTTTCAGCAACCGCAACCTCCTGTGTGTATGAACTGCAAAGGTATCGTACTAGTATAAATTGCATGACAACTTGGCCCAGCATTGAGAATTAAATTTGTAATGCTGATTTACCTTGAGAACGAGATTTGTAAATGCATAAATGCAATTACTTTTACTACGAGTACGATACTTTTGCATTGCATAGTGCGCTGTCCACAGCAGCTTCTGCAGGTCGGCAACCTTCACCAAATACATGTCCCTCGTTCTGCGCAGGTCGTCAACCAAGAACCGCCGGTGGGTCGTGTGCTCGTCCTTGTGGTTAGGGGTCGTGCAAGGAGCACGGCGGTCGTGGTCCGAGGAGTGGTTTGCTGCGCAGGGTAGTAGAGTCTTCATTTGGCTTTGGCTTATTTGGGGTGCCGCGAGTCGTGTTGGAGTCGTGGTGAGATCTTGTTTCGGAAGTAGATCCAACTGTTCGTCATACGTAGCTTGTGGGCCGGCTTCTCGTGACACAGAAAGAACTACTTCATGTTCTTCACAAGGTCGCGCGAGATTTGTTGACGCCACGGTGGACGACGACATCGCAACGACCGATGTTGCTGCACCAGCTGCATGCTGCGCTGCAGGAAGACCGGCTTGACGGGCGGCCGGGGCTCGGCGCTGTTCTACAGTGCGGCTAGGAAACAACAGCGAATTGGGATGACCACCAAGGTAGCCTCCGTTCCACAGCCTGGATACAAGACCACTGCTCGAGCTCGATGCGGATGCTTCATTTTCTTCACTGGCAGAAGATGTTGACGATGTTGAGTCGTCCGCGTCCGTCACCTGCTCTACAATTTCCTCTTCGACGCGGCGGCGGCCAAACTGCTCCACCTCGTGCCTGACGAGGCTGATTTGTGGACTGATGGCGTGACTGCTCTGACTGCCGCCGTCCCTGGCGCCGGGGGCCGTGCAAGCGCCGACGCGAACAAGATGTTCTGGTGCCGAATTTGAACTACTACTTCTGGTAGACGAAGAGAATGAAGATGATTCGGAAGTCGAAGCTGAAGCGCTTGCTACACTCTCGACTGAAGTAGAGGATCGGCCAGTCAACAGTCCCGAATCCCCCGGTGGTGACGGCGCTGATGATGATGTTGACGCAGTAGGTGTACAAGAGGAGCTCGAGGAGCTCGGGGAGCGCGTCAACGACGTCCCGCGCTGTTCTTCCTGGTCCAGCTGAGCACGACTTACAGCAGTACCAGTCATCGAGACACGACGTCTCTGTTGGTTTATTCGCAGCGCTTGCGCAGCCGCAAAATTTTCCGCAGCATGGAAGAAGAAGTCGCTCGGCGTGCGCGCCGCCGCTTTAGAGTCAGAGGTGGAGGGCGGCGTGTGACTGGTTGTCCCCGCGGTCCGCTCCTGCGGTTCTTGTACTGCCACGTTTATTCTGGTTCCTGTGCTGCTTGGGGGTCTTGTAGTGCCGGTCGCAGGCGTGGTCTGCGAGGAGCTGCCCCTTGTTGGAGGTGATGCTGCAGTACTTGCAGGGGGAGGAGCTTGAGAGGAAGTAGAAGCTGCTGTTCGTGAATGTGGTCTCCCTACTTTCACCTCCGCCTCAACCTCGTGTTTGAAAACGCGGAGAACCACTACCCGTCTGCCCATTGGGAAAAAGGACCGCCTGGGGTCCAGTCGATGCAGCTCCTCGTCGAATGTAGTTATTTCGTTTTTTATTTTCGCCCATTGATGCGGGTCATGGTCCACCTGCTCCTGCGCTTTAGAATGAGAAGGAGGAGAAGCTGTCCCAACATCTTTGTATTTTTCTTGTTTCCCTCTCCCAAAAGCCACTATCTCCTCGTTCACCGCCGCAATTGCATCTACCAGCTCCCGCACTTTCCGCGTGCAGCGTGCCACGATGCTGTCCAGCAGGCTCTGCTCCCGCTTCACCACACCGAACCAGTGCCCCAGTCGTATGGCATTCTCAAACGTTATACATTCTCAACTGTTACATGAATCTGTAATGCAAGAATGGCAAAACCAAAAGCAAAAGGGGGAAGATTGCAAAAATTGCATTACAAATCCCGTGCAGATTTAGGTGCTGTTTAGCCCTTCACAAATTTGTCATGCGAAGCAGCTTGAGCTTGTGGATGATGAAGATGATGGTAGTTTTGCATGACAAATTCATGCAACAGTTGAGAATGTAACGTTTGAGAACTCCATAAGTCGGTTGATCTGCATCATCTCGGCCTGAAAGCCGCGCTTCAACTGCGCTAGCGACTCCTGCAAGCGACTCTGCACGTGGTGCGGATCCTGGCGCAGGGCGGCGGAGAGAAAATCGGGGTTAAGAACCGTGGGAGGTGGGGATCGCGGGATATCATCAGTACTCTTGCTGGTATCAAATAAGAATGACCGCATCTCCCCCTCATTTTTGTCCTTTCCGTGGGGACTACCCGCTTCGAAGGTGCGTCGAGCCCGAATGTCAGAAGGAGAAGGAGAATGGTCCGCATTATTTGATGGCGAAGAAGGTGAAAATGCGAATGCCGGGTTTATTGGGCGGAAAATCTCCCCGTGAGCAGTAGACGACGGCAGCTCTGCTGGTGCAGCAACGTCTTCTCCTTCCGGCGATGAAGTAGACACACTAGAGGAGGACTGTTGCTCAGCAACATCTACTGTGGCCAAACTAAGTTCATTTCCTAGTACACGACTGGTTCTTGTGGTTTTTGCAGTAGCTGTGTTCTTCTTTTCCTCATCCATTTGTCCTGCAACCCGGTCCGGCTTCCTCGCCCCCACGTCGTCGCAGCCCACAACGCGTTTTGCTTCAACCACCTTTTGCAGCCACTTTCGGAACAAGTCCACTGGCCGAACGACCTGAGCAGTCGTGCTCGGACGCCGGGGACCTCTCGCCGCGTTTGACGACGAGTCAGAGTTGTCGTGCTGGCCTACCACAACTTCTTGCCCCGAACCGCCGGCGTGGTCGGCCAGGAAACTGACCAGATCTTCGCCAGGGGTCGTGGCTTTTTGGGCAACTTCAATCATCGAAGCTTCCGTTGTCTCGCTGTACAGCACCATCGCCATGCGCCTCACCCCGTCCGTCTCATCCAACCCCGTACGCTCGCGCCGCGCTGCCAAGTTCCCGTAGAACGGAGCGAAGGTCGCGAGGGCGAAGAGTTTGTCAAAAATGACAAAGTCATCTTCATGATCTTCCGCGGCGGTAGAAGAAAAAGTCTCAATCTTAATGTCAGAAGTAGCCGCCGGTAGCGGTGCCCGACGTCCTGGTAAATCGCAATGATCGTGAAAAGCCTCGACGAATTTGTGGAGCACGTGTGTCTCTACTTTCTTCAAATACTTCCGCAGCCGGTATGGCGTTCTCAAACGTTACATTCTCAACTGTTACATTAATTTGTCATGCAAAAATACCATGACCATCCCCAAGATCAAGCTGCTTCGCATGACAAATTTGCGAAGGGCTAAACAGCACCAAAATCTGCGCAAAATTTGTATTGCAAAAGGCGCAATCTTCCTCCTTTCACTTTTTCCATTCTTGCATCACAAATTCATGTAACACTTGAGAATGTAACAGTTGAGAACGCCATAGCCGGTCCCGGCATTTTGAAAACTCCGCAAACTGCTGCTCCTCCTGAAGGATGTCTTTGATCACGTTGATTCTATTCCGTTCTTCTTCTTCCGCTGCCTTGCGGCAGTGCTCTTCGTCCCCTGGTTCCTGACGGAGCCTGGACAAAAAAGTAGAACCTGCTTCTTGATGGTCACTAGCTGTCGTCGTACCACCACTGCTACTTCTACCTTGCGATGTTCTACTTCCGGAAGGTGCAGCAGCACCAGAGGAAGCAGGAGTCGCGACGCCTGCTCCCCTACTCCTGCTTCTGCCTGCCAATTCAATTAGTTGAAGGAAATCGGGTATCAAGTGTAAAAATGTCTGGGTCTGGAAACTTGTGATGCTGGGTGGCGTCTCATGATGAGGCCACAAGTGCTGGCTCAGCATGACAAGTTTCTGAGCTTCTAGGTGTTGCCTATTCTGCATGACAAACTGCGTTTCTGCATCACAGAAAAATGGAGCTCTTGGGTAACGTGCATGACAGATTTATAGAGTCATGCCAGACAAGCACGACAAACATGCATTCTTCCAGACTCAGACACTTTTACATTTGATATCGGGCTTTGCGTACCAAAACCCATTCGGATTCCATCCGACATTCTCGGGCGGACAGTAAAAACAAGAGGTCGACGACTGGCCGACCTGCTGTGGAGGTGTGCTGACTACAACATCAGCAGCTGCAGCGCCCTCCTCGTCGTGTCCACCTCCTGCCCCGTCAAGCAACTGGAGGGGGTTGCTCGGCGGCGAGCTGTCGTGCTGCGCAGCTCCGCTAATATTTTCCCTCAAAGCTGCTGCTTTGCTCACCGAACACCAGCAGTCCTCGAACAGAACATTTGCGTTGGCACGGACGGCACGAAGCAGGTTGAGGGCCGAACAAGAAGCGTTCAGATGGAATTTCAAATGATTATGCAGCTTGATGGTGTGTGACGCTGACGGTGAAGGAGAAGAATAGAGCGTGGCGGCCTCGTCCTGGTGGAACATGCTGTAGCTCTTCCTCTTGATGTCGTCCACCTGATTATGATGATACTCAAGGGCAATTTCTTCATCCTCCCTGGTGTCTTCACTAGTACCCTGCTGTAGTTGTACGACAGGAACCAACTGCCGGCCGCCCGTGAAATGACTTGTGTCGTCCTCATTGGAGCTGCATTGGAACTTGCGGATGGTCTTGATTTATCCTGTGCAAAAGTATCGCAATCGTATAAATGCAAGACTTGCAACATTACAAATATTTTTCTTGAGGTAAAGTCGCATTACAAATTTTCTCTCTCATGCTGAGGAAATTTGTAATGCATTTATACGAGTACGATACTTTTACTTTTCTTGCAGTTCATCATCATATGATTATCGAAGAATCTCTCTCGTTCAGCCGGATGGCCTCGAGCAGGTAGAGAAAATTCGACCGGAGCTTTTTTGGGATATCGAACGTAAAAATGTCGGGGTCTGGAAGAATGGAAGGGTTGTCCTGCTTGTCCTCTGGCATGACCCATGATGCTTTGCTTGTAATGCATGACCCAGCATCACAGATTTTTCTCTTTGGAAAGCTTCCTGATGCCATTTCCGCATGACAAATGCCCTCCTCGCGTAGCACAAATGTGGCTCCTCTTGCTGGTCATGCAATGCAGATTTTTTTAGAGTCGTCCAAAGACAAAGTTAGCATCACAAGTTCCAACGTTCCAGACCCAGACACTTTTGCATTTGATATGGGAAGGTTTGAAACAATTCCGGACTCTGCTTCAATACCAAATGGGCGATCAGAGGGTACTATCCTGTGCAAAAGTATCGTACTCGTACTAATCGCATTCATGCATTACAAATTTCTTTCTCAGGGGAAATCCGCATTAGAAATTTTCTTTTTCATGCTGAGGAAATTTGTCATGCGATTTATACTAGTGCGATGCTTTTGCATTGCATAGGTACTCGATTACCCAGGGGGGGCATACCTGTTGTGGTCTTGGTTCTTGTGGGAGGGACGTATATTTATACCACCATCGGCGCGAAACATCCAATTCACACATGAGCCAGTACGTATAGACGGAATGAAATATTTACTCAGAGCGTCTCTTTATTTCTGCGAATGAAATGGAAAGTCTGGTAGACAAGTTCAAGCACCTCGCGATCCCGGAACTTGTTCCCGCCCGCTTTCCGGATGGCTTCTTCACACTTAGCCAAAGCTGCTCGTCTTTCCTTCGCCAAGGGCGCCGACCGCAGGTGCTGCAGCGCGACCCGCAGGGCGCGCGCGGATATCACGTGATTTGTTTTTTTCCTCGGTAATTCCCTACCCTGGTGCTGGGAGGACGTAGCTGCGGTGGAAGGGGCATCAACACGACGGATCCGGTCCGGCTCTTGGGGGAGGATGTTGTCCATAGACGATTCACCATCATACTCCGCCGTTGAAGTGGACACTGAGGCCGTATTTGGCTCAGCAACAACGCTTGTTGGCCTATTAGTAGCACCTTCTCTGCTTCTAGCCGGAAAAGCCACAGACGTCAGCCGCACTGCGCACGCTGGTGTTGACGATGAAAAGGAGGTCATCGAAGAAAAAAGCGCGACCAGGCTGCTGGTAAGTAAGCGCAGACCTGATTTGAAACGAAATCGAATGCGAAACGCAGCTCTCGCCTGGGCCTTGCTGGAAAATGGCTCCTCGTCGTGCACAGAAGCTGCAACCCTTCTCGTCGCTTCTTTTGGTGCATCTTCGCTGCTGGGACTCGCCAAGAGTTGTAATGATCCAGTGGTCGCAGAACAACTGTTCCATGACGCGGGAAGCTGCGACTTGCCAGAATTTCTTGCGGAGCCGGAGGTCGTGAAGGGCAACATTACGTTGACCTCTATTTTCGGTTTCATCTTCATTAGCCGTGGTCCCAAAACTAAAACGGTGGGTACTACGTATACAGGCTCAAGCACCACCAGGCTTAATTGTACAAATTGAAACTAAACGTTCGAACTGGGTTCTCGATGGCACGGCACACAAAAAAAAAAGGAAAAAAATAAGTAAGTAACTTTATCTCGTCCGTCGTGATTGATCAAAACTACAAAACATAGGTATTCATGCCGCAGAAGTTCAAGTTGACATTATGTGCATGAGCTTACCCAAAGTGTGCTGTAAAGGTACTCCACATCCGATACGCTGCTGCTGCGTACGAAAAAGAAAATGTGCCAGATCGATGATAAAAATAACAGCGAGGATCATTCAAACCAAAGCATCGCAAATTGCCTAGGCCTCATTTATTTTCATTGTCTAACCCTAACCATCAGACGATGTCGACAATGGCCTGTCTATCAGTTTTCGCCTTGGTCTTTCGTTTCTGCTTCGGATCTTCGATCGAAATCGACAACGAACTCTACTTTCGTGGCGCAATAAACAGCCTACTTATGGCTCTGGCGTCCCGGTTGTGGTTGATCAGAGGCGAATCTGTGAAGACGGCGTAGTAGTGCCACGACCTCGTGATCTACTTTTTTCCTGCATCACCCGGCCGGCTTGCTGCGTTGTTCAGCCCCAGTGCATTCTGAAGATTTCTTCTTTCGCGTACCCTGAGCAAGCAAAATTTTTCTGGAATTGCAAAATTTCAACAGACAAAAAGATCTCCTGCGAACAACAGCGGGCCGTTTGTCGTTCCTTCAAGATTCTTGTATTTACGCAAACTACAAGTCTATAATGTATTCAAATAAAGCTTGCTGGGTAGCGGCAGCGCGTACTGTACATTTGTTTTTGTAAATATATGCACATGAAGAAGAAGACTGAACTACGCTTGCGATCGGAATAGAAACTCTGTGACTTTCTCTTTCGTCTTCACTTCGTGTACTTCTACTACATTCACATTGCGTTGCAATACCAATACATGACTAGGTACGACTAAGATGTCTGGATCTCGTCCCGCGGAAGACGTCTTCGTTGTCGACATTCCTGCTCCTTTCTTAGCAGGAACAGGAAGGCAGGGTATAAAGTAAATACTATCTGTCCCCCTACGGTCTGCTGCTACGAGGTGTCCCCAGGGGCGGGAACCTGGGAGCTGCTGGGGAGCTGCCTGCGTGGTAGTTTTGCCCCCTATTGCCGCGCGCCGAGCTATTTTGTCCTACGCTTTTCAGTAGTTCTTGTTCTTCCGTGACTAGCAAGCCATTTTGGATGCTCCGCACCCGCGCCAAGACATCACTCTCCAGGTTGAACTCCGCCACTTTTCTGATCCCGTAATAGAAGTTCTGGCGGAATTCCACAAACGGGGCGAGCTTCTGCTGCCAGAAGATGGAGGAGCCGAGCAGCGCGGTCGCGGGGGGAACTCGGCTTTTGTTTACACCGCGGCCCGTGACTGGCATTTGCCCACCACCAGTACTAGCCGCAGCAGGAATGAAATGCTCCACCGTGGTATGGATGTGTCAGAGTTGAAATCGACAAAGTTGAAATAATTTGTCATGCATAAAATGGATGCCAGTTGGAACCCAGTTTCCAAGTGGCGCATGACAAACTTCAGCGGTCCCTAAATCCAGTCTGTCACGCTATTTAGGCAAAGAAGAGCGATTTTCTCATGCTACTTTAGCAGCTCGAGCTGTAACCCCAAACAGGCTTACAATCGGCCTCACTTGCCTGCTCTGCAACACACGCACCCCGGGTCATGCATTTTATGCATTACAGATTATTTCAACTTTGACGATTTCGAACCTGACGCTTCCATACGTGGACACTTCGGCGATTTTCTGGTACAGTTTACAGACGGGATGACCGTTCCAGTTGACGTCAGTATCACCTGAAAATCTTTGGCCACCCGCAACATCCAATTTGTCATACAAAACCAGGAGAAGAGCCTGCTTTGTTCTTTTATCGTGCAAGGCGAGTGGATGTTGGGGATGGTACATTTATTTCAGGGAATAGTCAGAGGTATAGCCGAAGAGAGAAACGCCGGATCCTCGCCCAGTGCCATCAGAATAGAACTGCTCCGTTTGGTGCGATTTGAGTGGCTGCAGCCAGTCTCGTAGAAGTTTCGCGTCGCGCATCATCTGCTGCGGGGTATAGGCAGCAGCGCGGTCGTTGGAAGGAACGGTTGGTGGGTGCTGCTCTCGTCCTGCAACGAAGTTGTATTCCAGAAGAAAGTTTTGCTGCACCTTCTCAAGCGGCTATCCTATGCAAAAATGCTCTGCCATTGGAGTCCTCAGAAGTGGTCTATTGTTACGTGGAAAGTCACATGTAGTTCGACGTGGTCGCCCTTAGACCTACACAATTACTTACTTCTTTCTTCGCATAATTGATGCAAACTCTGCAGATTCAAACTGCAGAGCAGGCTTCTAATAAAGAGCATTTTTGGCGAAAGCACACGATATTTTCGCAATACAAATAAGTAGTCTCCTGTCTCGTGAGAAACGGTCAATTTTTTTGCACCTTCTCATCTGTGCTGTTAATGTTCTGCAATACAAAAAATTTCAAAGTCGAATCTTCCGGGGCCACTCAACCCACTGTGGCATTGGCATATCAATTGCATTTCATAGCTCGTCTCTGATTTTTCCAATCAGACTCTCACTCGGTTCCGGAGTCATGGACAGCATAAATTCCGCTTGCCCCAGCTGGGCGTTCGCCGCGATAATTTGCCGGGAGAACAGCAGTATGCGGTTCATTTTAAAAGTGTTGAATTTCTGCGCAAAGTGTTCGTAGTTCAGCGGCACAATATCGCTACTTGTAGCCAGTCGGTCTCCGCACTGGTTCGTGAAACCACTACTCGCAGCCCGCTGCCCGGTTGACCACCACCGCAGGTCTTGGCCCGAGGAATCGCCGGAGGACCGGGAATCCGGAGACCATTGCCGTGGTCTTGCTGCGTTCACTACTAGTATCACGCCAGGGCCTATCCAGGAAAAAACACCCATTTTGTGCATGACATCAAACACAGGACTTTATACATGTTTTGCATCACAAATTGGATGGGGATGGGTGTTTTTTCCTGGATAGGGCCGCTGTAGTTTGTCAGGGAGGTGGTCGTGGTGGTCAAGGCGAGGAAGAAAGGCGTGTCGAATGCCATCATGATCGACCAAACTAGCGGCCATCCTGTTTTCATCATCTGTACTAGGGGGAAAAACACCAACACCTCCAGACATCTTCGGCACCAATAGTTCAATATCACGACCATATGGCCAATCATTATCTGCTTGTTGGGCTGAAAAATCATGATAAGGAGAAACAAAAATAATGCCTCGGGCGTACCACTGACGATCTTCCAGCTTTACACACTACACGACAAGTGCGTCAACGAGACAACTGGGTCTGCTCGTCGTTAGCAAAAAGATTTCCGTCCTCGTAAAGATGATCTTGATGTTGTTGTTGATCATCCAAAAGCCGTCTGCTCGAAATAATATATAACGACAGCACAGCGATATTTTTGTAGCTGAACGAAAAAAAGAACAACCTTGTAGCATCGACCAAGGCCGCTGCTGATCAAGACAACGAGTTGTCAACAACCACGGGGACGACAACTGTAGTTCCCAGCTTCGTTTATTGTTGTGATCTTTTTTTTCAGCGTACTAACTCGGTAGGACGAGCTCATCTTGGTAGGACAAGAAATGGACAGTTTAGAAGGGTCGCAGACATGATGCTGCTGGCTCTGTCTCACTTAAAAGACAACAGAAGCCGCCCTTAGGGGAGCATAATGATTTTCGCTTGTCAAGCACTTCGCATATATGCAGACTCGTCTAGTAAATCATTCATTCGTCCTGCAGCTGCTAGTGTGTCAACTGCATTAACTACGGTGATCGTGATGCAAATGCTATAGCGCACATTAATACAAAGTTGTGGTAGGAGCATACATCATGATCATGCAAATCCAAATTATAGTTTATTCATTACATATACTACATCTGACTGTATTGAGGCTGGATATTTGCGAAGTGCATTGACATTAGTAGTCGAGTGTATTTCGCCGTAAATCGAGATCGTGTCGACGAGGTGCTGGTTGTAAAAAGCTGCGACGCGCCGCGTGCTCCGCTTCCTCCCATAGCCTCCAGCGGTTCTGTATCAAAGTACACAAACACCTCTCCCCCTCATTTGAAGTTGAAGAGCATGTGCATGACAAGCCACGGAAACGCCAACGATTATTGCGAACACGAAGCCTGTCTGTGTGCCAAGTTGTTCCTGCCGCTGGCTCCTGCGCCGATTTCTGTCGTAAGTTAGTAATTATCGTTTGTGCAGTTTCTGAAACTTGTCATTCAGGCAGGAACACAAGGCAACACATGCAAGCAATGCCACTGAACTTCGCATTTGGCGTTACTCATCATGCGGGGGAGTGGGGGTTGTGCACTGTCATATCAAGAGCCTGCTGACTAAGAGCCACCCTCGTCGCCAGTCGACTCTACCGCTGTTGTACGTTTGTCTTTACATATGCATTGAAAAAGTATCGTACTGGTGTAAATTGCAAGAATTTGTCATGCGGATTTGCCTTTTTAATTAACAAGACTTGTAATGCAAGACTTGCATTTCTACGAGTGCGAAACTTTTGCAGAGGATATTACACAAGTGAAAGTGATAGATGCTGGAGATAGATGGAAAATTGTTCCCCCGGAAAAAGAATGAGATACAGAAAGAACTGGTGCCATGCAAAGCATCAAACGATGTTGAACACCGTTGCTTACCTCCGAAAGGCAAACTTCAAAATTCAAATTCCATTTCCAGCCTCGACTGGGGATGCAAATATCAACGCCGCACCAGCTCGTCTTTTTCGTTCTTGGATTGTAGTTGCTGCACTGTGCAAGTAGAGAAAAGAAGTGGACTGTGTAGTTCCACCCTTGTTGAGCTGCCTTCTTCATCAATCTGTATCTGTATCGCGCGCTTTTTCCTGCACCACGGTACTTCGTAGAGGCATAGAGTGGTGGTTACTTGTGTGAAGACAACGACAATTCTGCTGGTCGGGGTACTCAAGTGGGAGGTGACACGTGCAGGCAAAGAAAAATAGACATTTTCGGAGCCAAAGGTTCTTCGGAACAACAAAAGACATAAACTCGCGGGACAGGGCTATTCACCGTTGTTGTATCGATGATCCAAAATCTTTTTATTCATAGTCTCAACTTACAGAGTAGCGACTGGTGGCGCCACAAGAAAAGAAGGCTGGCCGTCGCACGGGAATAAACTAGGCGCCGAGGAAGGCGAGCGCCGGCATGCAAAACAAAAGGACGTAGCGCACAGGAAAAGAGGCGCACAGGAAAAGGGGCGCATAAGAAAAGGGGCGCACAGGAACATAGGATAGTCAGAGGCGCAGGGAAAGAAAGGCGGCGCCGGCATGAAAAAAGAACACCCCCCCCCGCGGCACACCAAAGGAGGCGCAGAGAGAGGAAAGGAGGCGCCGGTAAGTCAAAGCGGCTGGCAGCACAGCCAAGCAAGGCAAAGAAGCGCTCGTGAAAAAAAAATGGCGCCAGAGAAAAGCGCCTGCCACATAAGCAAAGCGGCACTGCCACATAGGCAAAGTGGCGCACGTGAAACAAAAGCGGCGCCAGAAGAGGGGCACTGGCGCGCAACAAGAGCCTGGCGGCGGCGGGCGCACAGCAAAAAGGCATGCAGGTTCGGAAGAAAGGCGCCGCGGCGCCGGCATTTAACAAGGAGGCCCCGGCGCACAGGAACTGAGGCGCAGGCCGGCAAAAGAGGCGCACAGAGAAAGAGGCGCACAGAAAAAGAGGCGCACAGAACAAGAGGCGCATAGAAAAAGAGGCGCATTTTTGAAAAATAAGAACAGGCGCCGGCATGCAAACTAAAAAAACCCCGGCGCACAGAAAAAAAGGCGCACATTTTTGCGGATTTTGGCTCGATACCTTATTGGCTTGGAACCCCACCCACAAGCTATGCCCCGTGTCACTCCAATATAAAAATGTCGCTAGACTACAAATAATCGCAAGTACTGTTAGACCTTCAACTCTGCTCCTCAATTCTTGTGGTCCCCTTTGGCGTGTGTCAGATACAAATGTTGTAGCAGAGATTGAGCATTTTTTTTTTCGAGTTCAAAATTTGTGAAGAAGGTGAAGATGTCTATTCCCCCGCCTGTGCCCCTAAGCCACGAGTATTCTTTCGAGTGGAGGACTGTCTGCTGCGTTCGACGATTCTTGGATCAGGATTCCTTTCGCTCTCGAGTCGTGTTTCTTCCGACTGATTCCGTCTTTCCGGATCCGGTGGCTCGTTCGATTCCTCTGCTGCTGCGTTCCGAGATTCCGCTGCCGATCTGTTCCCGCTGCCGCCTTCCACGATGGCAAACCGCGCAGGAGGAGCCGCTCTAGGCTAGCTTCATTCCCGTGTAAGGTCGCTGCCTGGGTCTCTATGAAGATGCGGGGGGCTTCTGCATGCGTCTGAGATGAATGGTATTTGGCCGAAACGTAATGTTAGTGTCGATCCAATAGCAAGACAAATGACGCTAGAACTTCACACGCAACTTATCCAGGAAAAAACACCCATCCTCATCCTTTTTTTGCATGACAAACACTGGAAGGTTTTGATTCTATGCATGTTTTGCATCGACAAATTCGATGGGGATGGCTGTTTTTCCTGGATACAACTTCGGCTTCTCACATTTGCTGTTTGGTTCGACGTCGAAAGCAACAAAATTTTTTCAGGAGGGTCCCTCCTGACGGTGGTGTGACATGACAAACTTGTTTTCGACGATATGATGAAGCACTAGCACAAAACCAACCACGACGTGATACGTCCAGAATAAACTACAGCGACGTAAGAACCAAGTGAATGCGGTGCCGCGTCCTCACATTCACCATCATGCTAGTCTGGCCAGCAGCTCGAAGTTCGAAGTCGGTGCAGCTGCGATAGTACAACAACCGCATAGAAAAAACTGTTTCTTTCCCCCGAACGATTTTCCAAGTTTGACATTCACATTGCATTTGCAAGTTTGTTCTCATCTACATGACCAAGAAAACCTGATCCGAGTGCTCCCTCGGGGAAAACACGGCAAAAAATCCACTATCTTGCACGTGGAGCAAGAAGACAACCGCATGCATCCTCTGTATCAAAAGCTTATAGTGAAACAGTTTTTTCTTGCGATACACAGTACAACATTTGTATTGCTATTTTCCCAAATACCATTCAAATTCATCCTCGTTGCCCCTCTTGATTACTGGTCGTACATGTCAAGCTGGTGGGAAGATGAAGCTTGCCTCGAGCGATATTAGAAGGGCCGGCGAAGTACGTAGTGGATACCGCAGGAGCAGTAGTACAAAAACCGGAAGTAGGTGGGCTGCTGCTACTCAATAACAAATGCCAGCTTGTTCCGACGACATACTTACACGTTGAAGCGGACGGTTGCTGGACAGTAATCAAACCAAGTACAAGCTTCGTATGTAAGTGCAGCACAGCCGAACGACCAGACAAGGACCACAACGTCGTAAGTTGATAACCAGCAGTTCCACCAGCCCTGGTGAAATGTATGTGCAATGCTGCAGCTATACGTCTACTTCCTGCCCAGTACTACCAGCGCCTCCGTGGCAGCGAGATCAGGAACGTCGGAGTTCAAAATTCTGAGTACGCCTAGCGGGTAGGAGTAAGCAGAATTTTCAACTAGTTTTCCGCCACTGGCACAAGCCCATGGGTTTTTTTTGGCTTTGGCTGCATTCAGACTGCAGAAGTGTGCTGCCTCGAACAGGGACAAACACATGATCAGTCGTGAAGCAACAACATATAAAAAAGAATGCAAACAAGGATCTCTCATGCCTTCATACAATACCCCATGGCCTAAAGATGTTTCGGATTCGGTAATGAGATCGGTCAAAAAATAAAGAAAAAACAAGACGCGTGAATTTTATATGAGATAACCAAACACATCGAATCGGAGGAGCCCGGAGGCCGTAAGATAGCACAGATGAAAAATGTCAATATAAAATAGTTTACCATAACACATTTATTAGCGTATAATATTGCTACAGAAATAGGTAAGTTGGAAAGAACTCATCACATTCAATCAATTGTGGTCGCATCTTCGCAAAAGGATTTACTACGGATCTTTATCTTGTCCTCATCCACCATCGCATCTCGACATGATGATCATTTTTATTTTGATATCAAGATGAAGAAGATGTTGAAAATGAAGCAGCAAAGCACGGAACATCTGGTCATCAAGTGTAGCAGTACCTCTTTGACGGCAACATCTAGCGTTGACTCTCGTCAATTGCATCTTCTGTGCGTGGTGCCAAAAAAAGTTGTACAAACGGCACGGTCTAGGTGGAGGTGTTAAGTATAATTCATGTTGGTTGTGTATATAGTAACTCCATGTCGTATGTCTTCTATTTTCCCATTCATCACCAGTTTTCATTTTATTTCGGCGGAGCACTACATGCTGCATGATGTGCATTCGATTTTGCCTAACTGTACGTCAAGCAGGCTTCACATACTTCTCCCGAAAAGACCTTCTGCTGATCCCTTGCACGGCCGTTTCAAAGCAGTAGCTGCTTTCACTGTATCTCAAATCTCGTTTCCACGCCCGTTCGGACTGTCGATACCGGTTGCACAGCGCGGGAAGGTCATTTGCGTTCGGAAAGACGGTTTGGTAGTACGGAACAACGTTAATATTCTGGTGCTCAACTGCATCAACGCTTGTAGTCTCGCGGCCTTGGAGCTCCTCCTGCTTTGGCGCGACCACACTTTCTTCCTCGCGGACAAAGATCAGATCCGTGTCCCCGTAGTAGACGAGGGTGTATCCGTGTTGGTTCGCCAGTTTCAGCAGCGCCTTGGCCGTCGCGGGGTAAACGCCCACGTCATTCGAATTCGCATCGTCATTCAGGTTGATGTCCTCTGTTTCTTCTACCGCTTCGCCAGGATCCGTTCTTTCATCTCCACTGTTTCTGTTCTGTTCGAAGATCGCGTTGAGGTCGGCTTCGGAAAATGTCGCAGTACTTCTCCTAGCAGCTGCTGGTGCCACAGCTGCGTCATCATCCTTCAACCCAGCATCTTCTACTGCGCTTCCAGCAGGAGCAGGACGGCGAGATGTATGGATTGTAAAAGTGTCTGGGCCTGGAAACTTGTGATGCTGGATGGCGTATCATGAAGAGGCCACAAGTGCTGGCGCAGCATGACAAGCTTTTGAGGTTCTAGGTGTTGCCTATTCTGCATGACAAACTGCGTTTCTGCATGACAGCAAAATGGGGCTCTTGGGTAACGTGCATGACAGATTTCAGAGCCATGCCAGACAAGCATGACAAACATGCACTCTTCCAGACCCAGACATATTTGCACTTGATAAGATGCTGGCGCAAGCAATTCATCTAGAACGTGTTTCTTCGGCACCGCCTCCAAATCCAACGGCAGTTGCAGCGCCGGCCACCAGAAACCGTGTTGGTATGGATGTGTTTCAGGTGGGGAATCGTCACAATTATGGCCGGAGTGACTTAGTGTGTTGCACGGAGCGCTATGTGCGCGGCCAAAAATGTTTTTGTTGGAGAGGCTCCTCTCTGCAGGAGTTCGTGCGCCTCCTGAAGCCGATGCTCCTGGTTCCTAGAATCAAATGTGGGTTCTTCCTGAAGGCCCAATCACGAGTACAGCAGTGAGTTGTAAGTACTCCAAATGGTATGTTGAGCACAGTCGATTCTTTGATTGTAGTTGAACCGCTTATGAAATTAATGGAGATCACACAACAACACAAGCTGAAAAATATCAGGATTTTAAGTGATTTAAATTGCGGTCCACTGCAACTTCTTTATCAGGCTGGGCACCTCCATATTTCCGGTCATTTGTCGTCGACCAATCGCGACCTGAATCAACCTCCATAATCCGTGTTCGACGATGAGAACTTCTGGGAAAAATCTCTTCGACTCCAAAATTTTCTTCAGGAGCCAGTAGTCCTGCCCGTCGACGTCGATGGAGAGGAGGGAAAACTTCTCCGGAACTTGATATTTATCTCCCAGCAGCTATCACGAGAAAAAAGTGTTACAGTTACACATTTGTTGGAGTTTCTGCATCACAAATTTTCCGTGTGGCAGAGAAAACTTGTAATGCGAAGATCATAAGGTGGGAAAACAGAAAGGAAACGAGGCTCCCAAGCATTTCCTGCATGACAAAGGTTGTCTCTTGTTGCTGGTCTTGCATCGCAATGTGTAACTGTAACAGCACTTTTTTCTTGTGATAGCAGCTCCAACACGTTCTCCGGAAAAACCGCCTCCGGGTGGCAATTCAGTCGCGGGTTGTCGCACATCAAATGCAAAAGTGTGTGGGTCTGGAAGAATGCAAGTTTGTCATGCTTGTCTGGCATGACTTGAGAATCTGTGCTGCATAGGCACGAAAAGGCCCTCTTCCCTGTCATGCACAAACGCAATTTGCCATGCGAAATACGTAAGACAGGTCAGCCAAAAGATTTGTCATGCATAGCTGCGTATTGCAGTGCGTCATCTATCATTCACTTTTAGCATTACAAGTTTCCAGACCCAGACATATTTGTAATCCATATCGCACGTGGGGTCTAGCAGCAGCCCGGTGTACCCGTGCCAGGTGCGCAACGCGCGCGTGTTGTGCTCGATCGGACCCGGGCCGACCCCAATTTCGACGTAGAATTTGGGTTCATCATCCGGGTCAGTTTCTCCAGCAGCAGGGACATCATCATGACCATGACGAGTGGTAGCGGTCCTCTGGTGACCTCCCGATCTGATGTTCTTGTCTTGCAACTTTAGGTACACCAACACGGCGATCACGTGCGCAATCACGGCGTCTTTCTCGTCTTCCGCGAAATCGACTGTGTTGGAAAAAACCTCACTTTCTTCATCTGGGGAGGAAAACGAAGAAGATTTGTTTTCCTCGTCAAGGAGAAAATGACCGTTCGCCTGAGCTGTCTGCAAAAGAACCGCTCGCACCATGTCCGCGGCCTCTTGGGTGCGGTACAGGTCCAGGAGGAGAGACTCATCTAGCTGGTGCGGATGCTGTTGCTGGTGCGCAGGAATGTTCGCCATCTTCTTGTCGTTCTTGAAAAGTAGCGACATCATCAAGGCTCCTGTGGTGCTTCGTGCCGAAGCTGCAGATGAAAAGTAGTTGAGCAACGGATTATATCCTGTGCAAAAGCATCGCACTCTTAGTAATTGCAGTCATGCATGACAAATGCAAATCTGGTTCCCTAGCTTATTCAGCATTACAAATTCCATTTTTCCTTCTGAAAAAATTTGTAATGCTATTTCTAGTAGTACGATACTTTTACTTTTGCAATGCATAGGTTACCGGCATGTCTAGAGAGCAGGTCCAACCGCTGGCGGTACATCATCACTGCGTGTAGCTGCGGCTATCCTGTGCAAAAGTGTCGTACTAGTAGTAATTGCTATCATGCATGACAAATATTCCTCTCATAGGTAAATCAGCATTACAACTTCCATTTTTTTTCTTGAAAAAATTTGTGATGCAATTTACACTAGTACGATACTTTTGCAATGCATAGCGGCTCAGTCGACACAATATCCTGATTCAACGCAACCGCAGCTAGCGATTCCACAGCAGTTCTCCAGACGATATGAAAGCCTCAGGTTGGAAATCCTCAAAGTGGAAATGATTTGTGATGCAAAAAAACGACTCCAGTTGAAGCGGCATTTGTAGTCGGCGCATGACAAATTTCACGAGCATTTAAAGCATGTCTGTGATGCAGGTGAAGACAAAGGGGTGCCCTTCTGTCGTGCTAAGCAGCACTCCAATTCTTCAACCTTAGCAGGACAATAGTCGGCCTTCATTGCGTCGTCTGCAATGCAGTCTTTTTATTTTTGCGTCGCATTTCATGCATCACAAACAAGGTCCGAGCACGGGGGCTGGGGCCCCCGTGCAGAGACCTTGCATCTTTGGAGGGCATTGGGCGGTCGGAGCAGTTTCCGAGGCCGGGCGGGCTTGCTCCTCGCGACATTCGAACGCAACCGCAACGGGGACGCGCGTCGCGAAGTAGAGGAATGGCCAGTGCCGCGCC